AAGGGGACAGTGTTGCTTACTATGGGGAAGAGATGGAAGAACAGGACCGCCTACTCATATCTGGTCGTGATAACGTCGACGTGACAGTAGAAGCAAAAGCAGTTGATCAGCGCCAATCAGTATGGCCGGTTGCCGCCTTCACTCTCGCCTGTGTCGGTACAATTTTCTCTTTGGCGTGGGTAGCTCTATCATTAGATCTCCACCGACGACCAGAACCGTCTCCTCTAGAGATAGCACATACCGTTCCTCTTCGCCGTCCAGACAAGGACTACATACTGGATCCCAGCTGGGATTTCGAAGCCCCGAACCAAGTGCGAAAGTATGACTGGCTTATCATCGACAAGGATGGAGAACCGGATGGAATTTTGAAGCCAGTGATGACTATAGAGGGTCAGTTTCCTGGACCACTGATAGAAGTTAATGAGGGTGACATTATCGAGGTCAATGTCCATAATCATGCTTCCAACGCCACCGCTATCCACTGGCACGGCATTTTCCAGAACGGCACGAACTGGATGGACGGGGCTGTAGGCGTTACTCAATGCCCTATTGCTCCAGAAACTTCGTATCTTTACAGGTTCAATGTTACTGGTCAAGCTGGTACCTGTAGGTATTCTCTCCACTAGCGAATCCGAGACCTCGTGGGTCTATTCGTGTAGTATTATATTACGAGCAAGATACTGACTCCTCATGCAGATTTTTATCATGGTCATCAGGGCGTCCAGGCCTTGAATGGACTCGTAGGACCTCTCGTGATCCACGGCCGAGACGAAGCGACGCATAAGCCCATCCCATATTCGTCAGACCGCGTGGTCTTACTCCAAGACTGGTACTACGATTCAGACAGTGGGCTAATGCGAGACGTGCTATCTCCGGGTGTTGAGGATGCGCCGATACCTAATACAGCTTTGATTAACGGTGTGAACCAAGCTGACTGCTCGGATCATCCCAACAGATGGTGTTCAGAACTGGAGAGGTCTCTCCCCAACTTGGATCTAGTCCCTGGCGAGGGCCATAGGTTACGATTCCTGAATGTTGGTGGGTTCGCCTGGTTCCAGGTTGCAGTAGATGAGCATGATTCTCTGCCAATTATCGAAGTGGATGGTACAGCCGTTGAACCCGCATCCGAGTCTTCGCTAGTAATTGCCCCAGGACAACGGTATAGCGCAGTCTTAACGGCAGATCAAACCGGAAACAAGGCTTTTTGGCTTCGTGCTAGGATGATAAGTTCTTGCTTTGCAAGCCAGAAGCTTCCAGAAAATGGTATTGATGAGGCAAAAGCCATTATACGCTATCATACTAATGCAAGGAGGGATGATAGCCACGAACACCCTCCCCTGCCAACCACCACTTCCAGCCTACAGTACCTCCCAACATGTAAAGACATGAGTTCCACAACCTCATTTTCCCCTTTACCAGCACAGCCAGCCCCTATTTATGCCGATCATTCATGGTATCTACGTGTCAATCTCGCCATTGGCCACTGGCGGTTACAACGAGGCGTTATGAACTCGTCCTCGTTCCGACCGGATCCTACGTCACCGACTTTACACCGAGTCCTCGACGGTCTCGCCCAGAACAACGAATCCTTCGTCAAAGACGGCATACTCGACACGGCGTTCGACCCCGCCTCCGAACTCACCATCTCTCACAACGGCGTCGCCGACACCGTCGACATCATCCTGCAGAACATGGACGAGAATAGCCACCCCTTCCACCTCCACGGTTACCAGATGTGGGTTCTCGGGGCCGGCCACGGCTACTTCCCCGGCTACCAAGCCCTTGGGCTGAACCACGAGGGCAAGGGGCTTCTCGACCCTACGAACTCGACCGTCGTCGATAACCCTTTGAAGCGAGACACGGTGACGGCCGAGGGCTTCGGATGGGTGCTCCTGCGGTTCGTAGCAGATAATCCCGGCGTCTGGCTTTTCCATTGCCACGTGCTCTGGCACTCGGAAGCCGGCATGGCGATGCAGTTCCTCTCCCGCGTAGATATCATGAGGGAATGGGAACTACCCAAGGACGCGAAGCGATTGTGCTCGATGCCTGAGGCGGAGTTGACGAAAGGCGCCCCGCCTAAGGACGAGGTATTCTTCGGCTTCAACAATGAGGATGAAGAATGAAAGAGGTGAGTTGTTTATTTATACATGGACTGTTTGTGATACCGATATCTCTATGAGAGTACAGGCGATATATAAGATCGCGTTAGATACCCCGTACATACGTATGCTACATATTCTATTGTACATTAGTTAGCGGCGTTGCTTTGAAGTATATAACGAAATAGTCTTATGGGAGAGGTTATTAGTGAAGAATACCGAGGTAATTTATACCTAAGGAGCAAGTATCCAGATCCTTTCAAAGTATCTTTACGACACGATGAGAGAAAATATTGTAGGGAAAGGGGAGTTTTCCCTGCGACTAATTCATTATTACCTTTGCCAATATGCTTTTGCTTAACATTTAGTCAATTAGAATATCGATAATGTGACCGTCACCTCTTGTTTTGTCAAGACAACTATTAATTCCCTCTAGTTCAACGACAGAATATGGGATGTGTTTAGGAACTGACAATATGTGCTATGGGCCTAATATTAGATTATGCCTTGACGGTTCGGTTTTAAACATATATTTTTCTTAAGCTGCTGGTTTAGATTACCGCATAGAATAAACCCGTATTGAATATTGGGGTTGTGTAGATATATTCATCAGATATCCAGGTAGGTATAATATTCAGAAGTTGGACACGAAGGTAGAGGCAAATCATAAAATATGGTTTTATTTCATGATCTTAATACTACATTCAACCGCTTACAACCCCGACACAACTGATGAATACGATTACTAGCTTAATTCATTCATATTATGGTATATAGGTCGAGGCACTAGCTATGGTTCCTTGCACGATCATTCGTCATAGCAGTAGCATAAGCGAATCGACCTCATTAACCCCCTTGTTCCATATAGAAGAGAAACAATGGAATAGATCGTATGAGATAGACGTCGAAGCAACCGAAAGAAGCTCTCAGATCCCAAAATTCACCAGGGTACACACCTGGCGACGTAGGTTATCAACCACTTCGATACCTGCGTCAGGTAGCATCTGTCGTAATCATTCGTGCCATGCAATGTCCAGCATACACTTAGATCATAGGTAGTAAGTACCTCTCATTAGCTACGCAGTTCCTCCATCATCCCAATGTGAGATTCAAGCAGCGGCAGCGCCATTTCCTTTAGGAACGCTGAATTTCTTGAAGAAATCAGGCTCCTTCTCCAATTCTTCTTTGACCTGCGTTGGATAGGTATATTAGCTAGAATGCTCTTTAGGGGAACGTAGTTAGAGGAACGTAGTGGAGTTGATAAAAGAAGAACTCACAATATCTAGACCACCGACTAGCTCACCCGAAACCCACAGCTGCGGGTACGTCGGCCAGTCTGCAAATTTCTTAAGACCTTGCCGAACATCGTCGTCTGCGAGGATGTTGAAGAAGCCATACTTGACGCTGCGCTCTCGGAGAATGTTAACAAGCTGGCGCGAGAATCCACACTTAGGCTCGCTAGGCGTGCCCTTCATGAACAGCATGACAGGCGCCGCGCTGACTAGGCCCGTCAATCGTTTGTTAAGCTCCTCCTCGGGGTTTAGCACATCTCCGTTCTTATCTAAGGAGTCCTCCTCTATGGTGTCTGGCTTGTTGCCGTTGGTCGCGTCGGGCTTCAGCGGGGCGTGCGTCTCGATAACCTTCCGTAGCGCGGCAGCGTTACTACCGCTGACGGCATCGAGGACTTGGTCGTTTTGTTGTAGGACTACGTAGGGCACAGCGACGACGTCGTACATCTCGGATACGTCGCTAAGCTCCTCGGCATTGATAGAAACCCAGCTCGTAGGGGGCGCACCTTTCGCGGAGTAATCGTTCGCGAGCGTCTCGATAACCTTGGCCATCTGTGCGCATGGCGCGGCCCAGGGGGCATGAAAGAAGATGATGAGGATGGTTGATTTGGGAAGCGACCCGACGAAGGTTTCCCACTCGTGCTGGGAGGTAATCTCCTTCACCAACCCCATCTTGCCGTTCGCAATGAATCGTTTCTATGTGTGGTTGTAATGATTGAGCCTCCGTGTCGTGTTTATATGTATATCTATACCTAATCTTGGGTATAAACAAAACAAGAAGCAGGCGAGAATGGTAGGTATTGATTTAGTGGTTAGCCTTTTTGATGGTGTATTTGGGAATATTTGGGAAAGTAGTTTGCCCTTCCGATAGATGCGCCGGTTAGGAAGTTTAAAGGTTGAAAGGTGGGTTAATGTCCAATGGAGGGGCAGTTGATTACCTTTTTCACTTAAGGGATCCTTATCCGTTAGCGCCTTCGAAGTCTCCGGAAACTATTGCGTCATTTTGGGTGATTCTCATATATGAGTACAATTTCAAAGACAACATCCCTTCCGCTACCGCTACTACCTTTGTCACTGGCTTAATAATATAATGGTCTACTAGGTACTTATTCTAACTATTAATATATAACCGCACTTCAAATAGTTCGCCCTTTAGTTCGTTGGAATTATTAAACTAACGTTTACATATATAATGCAACTTAAGTCATATTATTCAGCTTGCCGGCTACATAGTGTATTTCTGTTATCGGACACGGCCACCCGGTAATCCCTCCCCCCCCCCCTTTTTTTTTTAATATTTTCAAGCTATGGTCATATTTAATACTGCGTTTACCTTATAACTTGAGCTTTGTGGTTTGCTGCCTCGAGTAGACGTTTAACTTTGAAAAGGCCATCGGGTCGATTTTAATCATATCTAAGAGTACTTTGAAATTTGACGGAATAAGGCATTCACTTGTTTCGCGGCCCATACTAGGGATGAAATTGCAATTGGTATTTCCCCGAACTAATAACGCCATAGATTCTAGATGTATTATTATATTCCCTAGAAGCTTGGGAACGCACTCGTCGTAATGCCTAAACCCTTGAGCGCTTCCTTGCGCTTCTATTCATAACATTTAAAGTCCCTTCTGTAATCCACGAATATATGTAGACTACATGGCATTGCCTTTTCATTACTATTTTGAAAGGGGGGTTCTCTTCAAGCCTTTAGTCTGTGAGTTGGCTTAAACTGGCCGCAGTAACCTGCGAGCCGTTGGCGTTATCCTGAGTATCCTCCAACGCAGCACTTTCCTCTCCCTTGTTAGCTATTCGAGTCTTTGCCTCTGCCTCGAGAACCAACTCGCGTCGTTGCCACCAATCTTCTTCGATTTGGATGACTTGGTCTAACAGGGCCTCCTTCTCTAGCCACTCCTGCCTGTATGCCTCTTCCATCTGTTTGCACTGTCGCTTCAGCGTCTCGCTATCTTTCGTCACCCACTTGAGATTTGCCACACACAGCTTGTACAGAGATTTCATATCCATGGTAAGCTCCTTGCTGGAGAAGCCCTGTTGTTCCGTCAATGGTGTAAAGAAGTCTGCTATGTCCGAGCCGGTATCCCCATCGTCCACGGCATCGTCTTGACCTGCGGCGTGCGACTGCGGGGTCTTGATTATGATCTTCAGCTTTCCGGACTTAGGGCCGGACTGGGTCTGCATTGATTTGGGTACGGGATCGGATGGCCGCAAAGCCTCGGTCTCGTGGACTGTTCGCATATGTTTCGCTAATGCGTCGGACCTTGTAAATGCACGATCACATTCTACTATTATCAGTTCCTGTTCCCCTCATACGATGGAGATTGATCATCTTACCGGGCAAATAACAGTAGAATGGCTTCTCCCTTGTGTGACTTCTCATGTGAGCTTTCAATGCGTAGCCACTGGCATGTGGTAAACTCTTTCTCGGGCAGCCAATCCATTCGCAAGTATACTTTTTCTGACGGCTCTCGATATGGTCGTTATGAATATGCTCAACCAGCCTGTCCATATTCCCCAAGTCGCCTACTCTGCATCCGTCCCAGGCGCATACCGTGACCTGCTCCTGGAATTCGTCCTCATCGAGTTTAGCATTGATGGGGGAATTGGGTATGTCACCCGAAGTGTCTGACGAGATATCGCCATCGAGATCATGGTCTGATTCTTGTTCAGGCTCGGGTTCTATATGAATGGAGGAAGAAGCTCTCGATCTGTCGCCTAGCTTCTGTCGTTTGAAGGGAGGGGGCGCTGGTTCATCAACGACGCCGGTATCATCGAAATCGTTGTCGGCTTCAGGCGAGTCGGATGATAAAGAGCTGATTGACGACGAATCTGACAACAGCACCATCTTTGATCGCGGCCGACGTTCAAATATTAATAATTCAAGCGTAAGGAGGCGTAAACGGAGCGAGCCCGCGCTGGAACGAGATGGGAAAACGAATAAGTTATAGGCGCAATCTTAGGCAATTAAGACAATTCGATATTGTTATTGAATATTTCGAGGAGAGGAACTAGAGGTTGATAGATAATGGAATTTAGATTAAGGTAACCTAGGTAGGCTGGTTGGATGACAAAGGGAGGAAAGTGAATCGTAGTGGTGGAGGAAGGGAAAAAGGCTGACGAGCTGAGACAGCCAGCAATCAGCAAGGAATCTCTAAATTGTTTCTAGCGATGGGATGCTTTCAGCGCGCATTAGCATTAGCATTGGCGGCCGCGTTGTTACGATAAGCACCTAACAGGTATAGCTTTAAATATGCACAAGGCAGATAAAACGTTGGAATAATTTAATGCGAACATTGAATGGTAAGTTATGTTAGGTAGGTTAACTAGGTACTTTTAGGCTGCTAGGTTAGGTACCTTAGGTACCTACGCAGGGGGTAATGAAATGTATTTACTGAAATATACCTTTAACTAACCTACTAACATACCGAGAAATACTCACTAACACGTGGGGTATCACAAGCTATAAGGTCTTGGCTTTCAATTGGAGAAGTTGGGCTGCTACCTCCTGCATAGTGGAATGAATGTACTGTACCGGCTAGAAGGCGACCCCGAAGGCCGGGCACCAAAAACCAAACACAGCCCACTTTCGTAACAAGCTGCGATTGCTCGACAGGCACGAATCGAAACTATCGATAAATTGGAACTACGAGGAACTTCCTCTCTTTTCTTTCTAACACGTTAATGTTACTCACTCAATCACCACCGAAACAAGCCTAAACTATCATTAGAATACTTCGTTCAGGTTGGACAGATATAACTTGGGTTTGAGCAGCGGAAATACTTGAAGCTCTCTCTTCCCCCCTGGTTGCTGTGACATCACCCCCACTCACTCACTCGAATTTATTACTCCTTGTGTTACTATTCTACTATTTTACTTGGGTTGTATTTCACCAAGCCTCGTCATCGACGATAGACGATAGACAATACCTTCCCTCTCTCTCTAAAAAATGGCTTCGTTAAATCTTTCTACAAACGGCCCCTCGATCAAGAGCAGTTACCAGGGAGTTATCAATGCACCGCCTCCGCCTTCAGGGAGTTCTTCTACATACGGTCAATGGGCCCTATTCTACGTACAAGCCCCTCTAGCCAATGTTTTCCAAGATACTGGAAACAAAGAAAGTGTTCTGAAAGTCCAGTCCACCGGCTCTGGTGAACTAGAGGATCTTATTGAGGACTTCAGCGAAGGTCGTATCCAATTCGCTTTCCTTAAGGTTAAGGATCCAAATACAGGTCTGCCTAAATATGCTCTAATCGCATGGGTTCGTCTTCTCACTCTTTTTCGACCGAGAATTGTGATTAATCAGCTAACATTTGTAGTGCGGTGGAGGTGTTCCCGAGAGGACTAAAGGCTACTTCACGAGTCATTTAAATGCCGTTTCTAAAGTTCTTCATGTATGTAATTTAAATTATTTCAAGCATTAGAACACGATACTGACTAGGACTAGGGATACCATGTTCAAATCACAGCTCGCTCCGATACCGACCTCGAACCCGCAAATATCCTCCAGAAAATCTCAGATGCGTCTGGTGCCAAGTATACAGCGGGTGGAAGTGCACCTGTGCAGACTGGAGGAGGACCCCCTCCAGTAAAGTCGAAGCCTGTCTTTTCTACAACTTCGAACTCGTCTAGTAACCCCATAGTCGCTGCACGAAACGCAAGCCTGCGAAAGACAAATGACGACGGCTGGGGGGATGCACCGCAGGTTTCGCGGACCGAGCTTGAAAAGGTGGAATCGGCATATAAGCCAACCAAGGTCAACCTAGCCGAGTTGACAGGCCAGAAACAAGAGCCCTCGAGGTTTAACGGTTCAAGCCAACAAGACGACAGGTCTAGGGATACAATCGGGGGAGGGTACCAACCCGTTGGGAAGGTCGACATCGCTGCTATTCGAGCTGCAGCGAGGAACAAGCAAGACGATCGACCGATACCAGTCAAGGGTGCTTATGAGCCGGTAGGCAAGGTTGACATTGCTGCGATCCGAGCTAAGGCACAGAAGCCAGGGGAACCTGAACCCGCACCTGAACCTGAAGAACCACCGAAGTCTCTAGCAGAGCGGACTGCAGCGTTTAAGCAAGCCGAGCGTATTACGGAGCTTCCCAAGCCTAAAGTCGCAAAGAAATGGGGTGGCGCGTCTACATTCACAGGCACTAAGGCGCCTACTCCTGGCGCATTGGGTTTGGGAAGCCCTTCGCCAACGCCCGTCGCTCCTCCGGTGGGATCTGCTAGTCGAACCTTCGCTGATCAAGGAGGCAAGACGCCGGCTCAGATTTGGGCCGAGAAGAAGGCACAACAAGGCTCTGTTTCTGGGATCAACAATCCTCCAGCGTCCCCTGTCGCAGCGCAGAAGAGCGGAGGAGGTGGTTGGCAGAGCAGTTACAAGGGGAAAAGCTGGGCACCGGTCCAGACGGGACAATACGGTCGTAGCATTACGGGGCAAAAGACTGGCGAGACCGAGACTAGCCAAGAGGCACCGGCATCTCCAGCGGGAAGCGTTGGTGCCATACGCGACCGTTTCAAGGAGACAACTCAAATTATCTCACCCGCACCATCTGCTCCGAAGATTCCATCGCCTGCCGAAGATAATGAGCGAGCGCCACCTCCGCCGCCTTTGGCCTCCCGGCCTTCGGACGGAGCACCTACCGGTGGTTTTGCGCTTCCCGGTATGCCTCCACGCCCACCTCCTGTCACAGATGAGGATGAGGAGCTCGAACGAGAACAAGAACGGGAATACGAGCGAGAACCATCACCTGTTCGCGTGGCAGTGCCTGTCCCTCGTGGACCTGAGCCTGAGATTGAGCCAGTCCACGAACCTCCTCGATCGCTTCCTATTCGGCCTATCGAACAAGAGCTCCCCAAGGAAGAAGAACTACCAGCGGAAGAGGAGACTTACGATCCTCGCGCGGCTGCTACGGCCGTTGCTGAATCCCATTTCGGCCACGAGCAAGTGGCAGAAGCACCAGCGGCTTCGAGTGGAGGCAAACGTGCTCTAATCCAATACGATTACGAGAAAGCTGAAGATAATGAATTGGAACTTCGCGAAGGCGAGTACGTCACTAATATCGAAATGGTTGACGAGGACTGGTGGATGGGTACCAACTCTCGAGGCGAGACGGGTCTGTTCCCTAGCAACTACGTTGAACTCGTCGACGATGAGTCGGAGGAGCCGGCACCGGCACCTACAGCCAGTCACGAAGCACCTCCGCCTGTGCCGGCTGCGGAGACTGAACCCGAGCCAGCAGCGGGCGCCGGACATACAGCTACAGCCCAGTTTGACTACGAAGCTGCTGAAGACAACGGTAAGTAACCCCTATCTAATCCATTTACTCCTAGAGCAGCATAACTAACAAGCGTGACAGAACTGAGCTTCCCCGAGGGGGCTACGATTACTAACTTGGAATTTCCCGACGAGGACTGGTGGTTCGGTCATTACAAAGGGAATTCGGGTTTGTTCCCTGCCAATTATGTGCAGCTAGACGGGCAGTGATCTACTATTATCTTCACCTACAAAACGATGCCACGACGAGTATGACAGCAGCCGTTGATTTGGAGAGTTACCTAGACAAGGAGCAGTAGACAGCGACTCAGCGGAGAGACTTGGCATGAGAAGAGTTTGTTTCATTTATCTTTTTTTTTTTTCGTAGTTAGCTGAATAAGAAAAAAAACGCACTTCTATATACGAAAAATCAATCAATATTCCCCGTATGTCAGTGTCCGCTAAACTAAGGCTCCTCTTTGATATCTTGGCATTCGGAATCTTTCAGCCCTACGTGTGGTGTGATTGGACCTGCTTTTGATGCTCCATTGCACATACAAGCACATCCAAGCAAGCAGGGTCCTACTCGGACGGGGATATCCGGCTTCGGAGAAGTAAAAGTTCACAGATTCGGTTCGTGCCTTACGTTAGTTTCTCTTTAATGCAGTAAAGTAGCATTGGGTATTGGCAAGTTGCTGGACCGATTATTTTCCAATTATATCATTAATGTTAAGAAACCGCGGTACGTACCTATAAATCACATGGGACTTGAAATCCTTACATGGAGATAATTACCTAACATATACCTAAACTATATATGGTATATACCTATACACGTATTAGACGGATATCTCGGCCTTTTTAGCGCAAACCGAGATAGCCTTTCTTAGTATTTTACTATCCCACGCGGACGTAAACGGGCTAAGTCGGTGGGGATATTAAAAGCCTTCCAGCGCATACGTACATTGCTACCCTTAAGCCAACATAGCATACTACCCGTACGTGGCTGATGAAAGATGGGAGGCCGCTAATGTGGAGTATCGACATCAAGGCGTTAAGCAGCGGTCTAGCGTACGCGCCACCTATTACCAACCAAACGTATTCCTTTGTAGTCGAGTCTACAGACAATCCCAAAGTTACCCTGGTCCTACAGCCCAAACGCTAACTTAATATAGTAAGATACGGGCCACAACTAATTGATTAGATTTGATTGGTTAAATTTAAAAGTCCCACACTCGACTAATCTAACGATTCAATTCAATTCATTCAGTTGTTAAAATATAAGAAATTCATTAACGAAATAATCACGAAACAGGGGGTAATTAGCTAGAGCCGAATGATTGCATGTGTGTAAGTGTAAGTATGTGTGGTGCGAAGTGCGAAGTGCGAATAGCTTCACGTATTTGGTTATCTAATCTGCTATCTACTTATCAGCACGTGACCTGGTCTGTATAATCCGTCGTATTTAGAATTTTTTAAAAAAATAAAAAAATAAAAAATAAAAAATAAAAAATAAAATAATTTAATTAATTTCGAATTAATTTATAATCGATCTTTAATTGATTAATAATCAATTAAAGATCGATTATTTTATTTTATTTTGAAAGTTGAGCCTAAAGGGCGCTAGAGCGAATCCGGACAGTAGGCTTTACCATCTTGGGTTAGCGTTTGGGCTGTAGGACCGGGGCAACTTTGGGATTGTCAGAGTACTCTTTGTAGTCTTGTTACATAGTGGTTTTCTCAAACTCGGTATATCTGAATTTCTGGCAGATGTTATATGTAACTGGTTGAGATGATGTTGTTGCGCAAAGGAGCATTTTGCACAACTGTGATTTTATGATTTGTACGTATGTACTTATTACATATACGTTAGGTATATTTGATATGGATAAGTAGGTACTTATAACTATAGTGAATAAGGGGGCTATGAGTTTCAGGTATGACGCGTTTCGAGGACCTCGAAAGGCAAAACAGTAGCGTACCTAGGTACCGGTATCTACATTCAATAGGTACATACCTATGTACCTGAAATTCAAGTTAGCGACGATAGTGGCTGAGCCACCTTGCCCAGTTGCGTGCCGTTTAGCCGCACAGCACCGCAGCAGCTTGCAATAGCAACCGTCCGAGACAACAAGAGAAAGCGCCAGAAATAGTTCCGTGCAAAGTACCATGCCCATGCGCTAAGGCGCCTACCCAATGCAGGTAGCAATTCCAATAATTCCAGTCATTTACAGCTAAGGTACATGTGTATCCCTTGAAACTCTCTTCCAAAGAAGGAATGCATGACCATCCGATCTCAATTCATCTACAGTTACAGGTCTTACTTTGATGTATCTAGTACCTTAGCAATACATTTACATTCATATTCGACCCACCGCTTTCTTTTTCCCTTTTCATTTATCATTTACACTTCTTGATCTCAACTATTCTTATCAAGCTTCTCGTCGTCACCATCAACTTTTCCTTCATTCTGATCCTCCAGAACAACCCGACCTATTCTATCATTTTCGGCGTTTGGACGCGAACAAAACATCTCCGTATCTGAATAAAGTACGTATGGCGCATTTAGCTAATGATGGTTATTCGATTGAGGCTCTAGAGCTTATATTCTTGGCGGATTGACCTAACCGCACCGCCATGCTTCTTGGCTAACTCATCCTGTTGTCGCAGAATTCCGAATTCAACTTACATCTATCAAATCATTCCAGATGGCTAGTCACGATTACTACCAACAGGGTCCTCCCCAGGGTTATGGTGGTGGCTACCCGCAACAGCCTCAACCGGTATGTCGCAATTTAGCAAATCGCTTCAACGTTTCTAGAATATACATGTCGCAATCCCATTGAGACATCAAAACCCATCTGCCAAGACAATACTTTATGCCTGCGCTACACCCCGCGATCTCCAAACCTCTGGATCAGCACGCAATATTAGGCCAAATGTCACCTTTGTTCTATATATGAATGGCAACCTTTCTCTTCGCTACAGGCTATATAGAAATGCAAAGGCTGGAAGCTAACTCGATCGAATTATAGGCATACGGTCCTGCTCAAGGCCAGTACTATGGCCCGCCTCAAGGTCAACCCCAGATGCAATACCAGCAACAACCCCCGCAAGAAAGAAAGCAGGGCGGCGGTGGCTGTCTCCAAGGCTGTCTGGCAGCACTGTGCTGTTGTTTCGTCTGTGAGGAGGGATGCGAGTGCTGTGCCGATTGCTGCGAATGTTGTTTCGAGATGTGTTAAGGTGGCCCCTGTCTAAGCCGATACGATAACGACGCCCCCGACGAAATGAGATGGCGGATCGGCTACACTTGAAGGAGTGTGCTTCAGGATGAGGTGTCGAATAATATTGCGCATGCAAACTGCTACCTCGACGGTGCACTTCGACACTAAGAATGAATAAAATTCGATAGGGCGATGGGTCTTTTTGCAAATGTTGGTGCGATGAGATTACCAATGCTTCTATAGCAGACGCATTTATCCTATTATTATTTTTCCTTCAGTTCATGAGCAAATCCAAGTTTCGGAATTAGTTTATATGATATTGGGCCAGCTTCTTTTGGTTTTATGACATAGGCACGGATATAGGCTCCTCGCCTTTTCCAGAACACCATTCGAATGTTAGCAGTGATGCGCGTCAGTACTATGGTAATTCGTGAAATTTAGGATTTCTTTTATGCCCACATTCTCGGTCCAGACCGAGCATTATTTTTATCACCACAGTGGACATCTTAGTGAAGTCAAGGCTTCTTAGTCTAATGGCTTCATTGCGCGTGCATGAAACTGGGGATCCCATAGATGTACATACTAGGTTACATTCCTTGCCCTTTATTATATTTCCCTTTAGTTCAACCACCAATAAGAAAAACAGCCACCTAATACTTCTAGGCACACCTCTTATATTCGTAAAATAGTAAACTGTCTAGGTTAGAACATCTATCTAGTAGATTATATTCTCTTCATAAATGAACACGTTAATTTATAAATCTTTTACAACTATAAAGTCATCATGTTAACAGGTGAATGACTATTTGGAAGCTAACAATACAGGAAGTATGTCTAGAAGACAGACGCCATAAAAGACAAGTAGATCTGATGACCGGGAGTACATGTACCCTCTCAAGCTCTTTTCCCAAATCAAAGTCCAATGCTAGGGGAACTACTTGACAGACTCATCAAGCTTCACAACTATCAAATTGCTAGGCGACGTCACTTTCACCAATCGGATTATTAGCATACAGTGCGATATAGTATATTTATAGTATTTAAACGGTATGCGTAAATAAGGGTAACCCCGCGGAACAAGGGCCTTACATCAATGATAGTATGTAGTGGGGTACCGCCACCCGTCCAATGCTAGGGAGCCGATTTCGCATGACAAAAATTCGATAAACCGCATTTCAAAGCAACTCCGATGCGACAATCATTACAAAACTTCCAAGAATTTGCCTTTTCAGTTGACTTCAGACCGCACATACCCCTAAAAGGAGAAATATCTTGTGTGTTCTATTCATACGTCGACTTGATTATACCTTGAGTAAGGAAAATTCTTGGCTACAACCTCTATCTATCGTTTTGGCTTATACGCATTTCCCATCCCATACTTGTATTTGCGGTATCGCATCCCAAGTCCATAGGTATTCAATCTTCCAAACCAAACAACCAACCAACGACGGGGCCATATAAGTAAGTAAATCAGGGGACTTGTCCCCCCACGCCTCGGCTCCTCTCCCTTCCCCACGTTCTCCGACACAGCCATACACAATGTCAGCGATCCTCTCAGCCGACGACCTAAACGACTTCATCTCCCCGGGTGTAGCCTGTATCAAACCCGTCGAGACCCTCCCTGCTGCCTCCACACAACCCGCCCCCAGCGACCTCGAGCACGAAGTCATCCTCGACGGCCAACAGAGCGCCGGCGCGAACACAGCAGGCCCCGCCCAGATCTCGCTGACCGATTGTTTGGCCTGTTCCGGCTGCGTGACCTCCGCCGAAGCCGTGCTCGTCAGCCTACAGAGCCACTCGGAGCTACTGAGCGTCTTGGACGGCGCGCCGGGGTTACGGGTAATACGGCGCGATGACGGGTTCGGGGTCGAAGGCCTTGAGAACCCAGATAGCAAGCTCTTCGTAGCAAGCGTGTCGCCACAGACGCGCGCGAGCCTCGCAGCTGTCGCGGGACGAGACGTAAGCGAGCAAGATGCCGGGCGCATGATATCACAGTTACTGATGGGGTCAGGTGGGCTGCGCGCGGGCGGCAAATGGAATAATGGGTTTACATGGGTTGTCGACACAAACACAGCAAGGGAGGCATGTCTAGTACTGGGCGCGGAGGAGGCGCTAAGCGACAAGGGCAAAGTCGCAAAGCCCATTTTGACGTCGAGTTGTCCTGGATGGGTATGCTACGCCGAGAAGACGTATCCACATGTCTTACCATACATCTCGAAGGTGAAGTCGCCGCAGGCGCTTATGGGCACACTACTAAAGACCACGTTAAGTCGGACGCTGGGGATCTCTCCCGACCGGATATGGCATCTGGCTGTCATGCCGTGCTTCGACAAGAAGCTAGAGGCAAGCCGCGAGGAGCTTACGGACGCAGTGTGGAATGGGGAAGGGCAGCCCGGCAGGGGCGTGAGGGATGTAGATTGTGTCATCACGAGCAAAGAGATCTTGATGTTAACAGAATCGAGGAGCATTGATTTCTTCGGATTATCCAAAACCCCTGTTTCCGCCTCATTGCAAACTCCCTTTCCTGATCCCACACTAAGACGCTTTCTCTTCCCTCCGCGGCCCCGAGCGGGCCAGGCGGATCCCCTAGCGGGGACCTCGGGGGGCAATCTCTATTACACACTAAAATACGTCTCCGCACGACACCCTGGGTCGAAAATCGAGACCGTACGTGGCCGGAATGCCGATGTTGTGGAGTATACGGTGACCTCGCCAACCGGGGAGCCGATATTCAAAGCTGCGAGATATTACGGCTTCCGGAATATCCAAAATTTAGTCAGGAGGTTGAAGCCGCCGAAACTGTCGCGGATGCCGGGCGCAAAAGTTACCGGACCTCGGAGACCTGCGGGTAAGCCGGGTGGGCTGGAATACGCTTACGTTGAAGTCATGGCATGTCCCGGGGGCTGCACAAATGGCGGCGGTCAGATCAAGGTCGATGATCCGGTAGTAATTGAGAGGAGAGGCTTGGAGACGAAACCTGGGCCTCAGGAACAGAAGCAGTGGTTGGCACAAGTTGATGAAGCATACTTCTCGGCTGAAGACTCCGACTCGGATCCGGAGGCCGAGGATGTGAACTCGGCCGTAGAAAATGGAGATCAGGCGCGAGGTGACATGGTCGACAGCATTTCTCCGTCATACATTCGAGATACCCTGGCGCATTGGGCGAGCATAACAGGTATAGATGTCGATAGATTGGTATACACGAGCTATCGCGAGGTGGTGAGCGACGTGGGCAAGGACAAAGCGGCGGGCAGCACGGAAAGGGTCGTCCAATTAGCTGGCAAGATCGGCGGCGGCTGGTAGCATCATTATTGTAGATCGGCATATAGAAGAACCCGAGTAATCATATCAACTGCCCTTGGCGCCACGCTTGGCAAAACCGAACCCTCCCCTTCCACTCCCGTCCGGGCCCCGTGGCGCACGGATAACTTGATCTTCCTCCCGCGGCGTAGAGCGTCGGGACAATGGTGCTCCACCATCGCTGTTGTTGCTGTTCCCCCTCCGCTCAAGTTGAACTCCAAGCTTAGGCGAGTAGTTCGGGTCGTAGAGCTCCCGCCCCCCGCCCGACTGGCTACTAGGTCGTTGGATGTTACTATCCCTGTCCCTATCCCTCTCTCCTCGGCTCTCATTATGCCGGTGTCCTCCCCCACCCCCTCTACCACTTCTTCCCCTGCCCCGCGGACCCCGCCCCTCGGCCGAGCGCGGGGGAGTCACAGCGCCAGGCGTCGAGGTGCCCGACGACGGGTTCGAACTTCCTATGGCGGTACTATTAGTGCCGAATATCTTGGCGCGAGCCTCGTCGTAGCGCCGTTGCTTCTCCTCGCGCTCCCGCTGCTTCTTGGCCAGGATCTCCTCCGGCGTGAGCTGCGGGGTCTTCTTGCTATCTTCGTCGTCGTCGCCGTCGCCAGCATTAGGGTCTGAGACGGGTTTCCGGCTCAGGACTTTGACGGCGGGCTTGAAGCCTGTCGCGAGAGGCGGATCTGAACGCGCGGCGAGGTAGTGGAATGTCTCGGGGGGCGCTTCGCTGCGAATGCGTGTTAGTCTATCTGAGAATATAGGAAAGGAGAATAGAAACATACGCTGATTCCCAGAGCTTCTTGTTGGACTCGGCATGCTGCGCCAGACGCTCGGCTTTGCTCAATTGCGGCTGTGGTTGCGTTTGAGACTTTGATTCGTCTTCAATCGTTATGGCCTTGTCTGCTTGAGCCTCCCAGTCGTCGTCTTCCCAGGCATCTGGGACCTTGGTCGTTCTCTTTGCCATGGTAGCTGGGTGTACTAGGACGCGGGGTGCTCGCGCGAATCTAAGGCGTATGTACTTATTGTATTAATCTAAGAATAATCAATTATCTCTGCTCTTCAGCTTCTATCCGTAATCGAGTATATAGGACTGTAATCATATTAGGTCTTAGAAAATGAACAACTCCAACGATTAAGCGGGAGGGGAGATTTTTCGCTTTTCGCGAACGGAGTTATTAGGTTAGGGATGTACATATGTAGAGTTACCCCATAACCCATAGCCCTTGCATTCAACGCGGAGCTTTGGAGCTTACCTAATTTGGGGCGGTCTAGCTAACCTCCTGCGTACATGTACGTCTTGTGTTACAGTGCATGGTAACCTGAGTTACAAAGAACGGAACCAATCACAGTAGCGATCTTAGAGTGGGGCCGGCTATTATCGCCATTAGGTCCAACTACAACTGTACCTAAACCGTACTAACAACAACTCATCAAGAACATCGGACAACATTAAGGACATACAGTAAGGTAACAAATATATTATATACACTAGACAACTCGCTCAATACCATAGGACCTACCTTGCTTTTCCTTTCTTCCTTTTTACCCTGCCTCGTTTTACTTGAATTACCTGGCTACCTATTCACGTTTCTCAGGATATCACAAGCTCGTACACCTGTTTATATCAGCATAGGTACATAACTCACCCAAATCCTAGTAAGTCAACTGCTACTTTGGAAGCCGATGGGATATCATAACTAACTTGAAGCTATAGTAACTAAAACTCCTGTATCCTATTACTTACACGGGCTAGAAGATACTCAGAAGTCATGCAGAGCAACACTCCTAGCTCATCTCGCCCACTCACCTCGCGGGTACCGGGGCAGCTTCACACGCCCACGCACTCCTTTAGCGATGCGGCCTTCACTCCGGACTCCTCCGAAGTCAGAGTGGGTAACTGGAACGACAAGCGGTCTAGGGAGGATCTAGATCTTGCGCGAGCTAGACTTGCCGACCAGAAGTTCAACATGAGCAAGTTCCTGTATCCTCGGCTCTGTTTGGGATTTGTCTACTAACCGTGGGGTATAACTCTTTACAGGAGATTATGAAGATCCTCTCTTACCCCGTCAACATCCACAATCTCATTACTACCCAAAGGGTGTTACGGCAGAGACGGAGGCCCAACTACTAAAACTCGTTGCCGAACTCACAGGCTCCTCTAGTTGAGTCTGACGAGCCTGGAGCACAGATTGGTGTCTAAGGATGCCTGCACTGGAAATTTGTACTATTCAGCACTAGGGAATATATTGTCTTTCTACCTATCACTCTGTCTCTGACTTAAGGTTCGTTGGTTTTGGACATATTCGTAGATTACATAACAGAACGCTTAGAAGGATATTCCAAACTGTTGTCTACAATTCCTCTTGAACCTGTTACATGATTATTACCTGGCTTGCTAGAGTATCACAATGTCTTGATGTAAGTCACAAAAGAGCCCCGGTCTGAGCCAACTAAACATGTCGAAACAAAGAACGTAGAGTTCGTAACTAGGCAAATAGGCGTACAACTACCTCTTAACTCATAATGATAAGAGCTCCTTCGCCACAACAGGTACATACATTCTAGCCAATCTTGAAGCTATCACAGTAATAGAAACATATTGACCATGTTGTTAGATATATCAATACACTGTATCCTTTTCTTCCGCCGCCAAGTCTTCTCGATATAAAGCAGTCAACGTATCCTCTTCTATTCCTTAATTTCTCCTCTGTTCTGGAACTGCACTACGATATCACACCACGATAAGATATACAATACAAAGGGGTGTATTCAAGATTACCCACGGGTAGCGAAAAATACAAAGTTATTGTCCGAGAATTCATAATAAATTTCAGGGGGCGTCTAGGTAATTTGCTGAACAATGTTATGATCTTTTCTTTCGGCTTTGTTATATAGGACATAACCCGCGAACAATGCCGTCTTGTTTTTTGTCGAACATTATGTTACGATATTGAACGAAAGTCGAGAATAAAGGGGCTCGGTACCCGACCTGGTACTAAATTTCAAATTACCTCCTATGTACATCTTTTAGGAGGATCAAAAAATTGGTTTAGCATTGACCAGGTGTCTAGAGGGCATTTAGGGCAATATACCTGCATACATAAGGTTTTAATATTTTTAGGTAGGTACCTTAAACCCTCAGTTCAGCGCCGATAAGTATCGTGATTATTTCACAGCCTGCCCAGCCTCCTCTTACCGCCCAAGTTCAAGCAAAGTACAGGAATTTTTACAACACAAGACTTGAATTTTTTACTTCTTCCCCTCAAGTTCTTATTTTATTCCAATCACTCGATCAGTTCAAGAGACTACAATCACAAGTACTCTTCCTAGAGAAAAGAAAACTACTACAAGGTGAGTCAAGTACTTCATCATATGCAACTTCAACATCCACCCCATTACTCACCCGCACCCTTCAAATTTTTTGTCTACACACTACAAAAAACTGTCACGGTTATTTAAAATAACGTTACCAAAAATCAAACACTGCACGCTTAATCATCGCAATAAAACTACACTCTGAAATATATTCACAACCCACCACACTCTAACGTGTCTATTAGTCAACTAACTGTTTTAAGATGCTGCTATCTTCAGTAAGCTCATTGACAATGAGCTCGTTGACGGACGATTCACAGTCACCACCAGAGGATCCGCCTTCACCATGGACTGACCGATGGCCAAACCACAACCTACAGAACTACTAGTAAGTAACATTGAGGTTTCCGTTTCCCTACTTATTAATCTATCTTGAGAGTCACTAGCTCCTAATAGAAAAGACTAATGAGTTCTTTCTTCGGGATACATTTACTCTTAGCAAACACATGCACTAACCTATTTTCAAAGCATGGACGCGGATGCCAACGCTGTGCCTTTTCCAGTTTCTCCGGGTGGTCAAAAGGCAGCTGCCCCTTCAGTTGAGCAACAGCCGGCTGTTGCTAGGAAGAATGTTCCGCTTGGTGATTTACAAATCATCCCTCACGAGGATTACGATCCTGACCTCCCTCCACAATGCACATATCCCAATTTCAATGAGCACCTAACAATTCTTCAACGACGACAGCTTAAGCTATTCGTTAACACTCTCAAGCAACCTATTGCCATTGTCCTACCGACAAAACTTAACTACTACGATAGCAAGCTAGTTATCTCTAACCTCGATCAAGAGCGTGTCCTCACCAATCTTGAAAAGCACCCACTAGCCCCCATCGACGAACAAGACCAGGCAAGTTCTAGCTACGAAGAAGATCAGAGCACTGCTGTTGCCGAAGAAGAATCCTACGAAGAATCCTACCAAGAACCCTACGAGGAATCTGCCAGTTCCGTCGACAAGGAAGTCCAAGTCCAAGCCCAAGACGAACCTACCAACATGGCTGAGAGCAACTTCACCAACGACGGCTCGTTCGACGTTAAAAAATACCTAGCCTCCATCGAGGACCCCGTACAGCGCAAGAAGACCGTGCGTGCTGGAATGGACGCCATGTGGCCCTCCAACCACGTAGTCAACAACGTCTGGCGTCACCCTTGGTATCGCGGCTTCGAGGAGGACGGCGACTACGAAACCTGGTTTAAAGCTACGGCCGACGAGCTTGACTGGGACAATGATGACCCCTACCACGAGCCGGAAGATGATGAGCATTGGAGAGAGGTGAACGTACCTCAGATCGGCGATGAGGGTATCCCCGACCAGGACGCGCTTGACTATGTCATGCATATGCGATACACGCGCGAGAGAATGGAAGTTGCGATTCGACGAAAGAGAGAGCTGTGGAAGGAGCGACATGGCAATGGCCCTTACGATTCCTTCGCTGCTACTTTTGGAGGTAGCGACAACGACGACGACGATGACGATGATGATGACGACGATGGTGACGATGATACCGAAGAACCTCCTCCCCCTCCCCGCCGTCCCATTCGCATCAAGTTAGTCTCTAAGGCTAAGAAGGACACCGCAAACGATGTTGGCCCCGGGGTTGTTAACCCCCAGGACCCCCCGCGTGGTATAAAACTCGTCTCAAGCACCGGTCTCTACTCTACGCAAGCCCCAGGCTCCCCATCAAGCACAGGAGGTCCATCCAAGCGCGGTCGTGGCCGTGGACGTGGCCGTGGCCGTGGACGCGGTCGAGGTCGCGGTAGTGGTCGCAAGCGCAAGACGGATGACGACGCAGCGTATGAGCCGGAGAGTGATGAGTCTGATGAACAGGACGGTGCGCGCAAGAAGCGACGTCGAATTGCATGATCGTCATTACAATAACCCTTTTTTCGGATGATTGATGCCGGAGAGGGAATATGAAGTTACGTTGAGACTATAACGAGATCTGGAAGCTCGTGGTTTGCGAATATGGTCTTGGAACTTGCACGCTTGGTTCGTCTAGTACTACTCCGATATTGAGAGTAAGGTGTGGACATGGGATGAGATGACTTGAGGATTACGTCTAAGTCTAACTACTTGATTTGGACAGGGAGTCGATAGGCTCATGGCAATAGGAGGGTCACGATACGGTTCTTCTGTTCTTCTGTTCTTCTGGCGGCATGGCAACAAATAGGCCATGACTGCTTACCATTAGGCGTCACATTCACTCTGAAGTGATGCGATATATATGGACACTGGTGCTATTTGCTGATAATGAGGTCTCCAATGAAGAGACTGGTACCTCGAGTACATAGCTATATAGATACTTTCACATTTTCAATCAATGCGTGTTTAGGTTTCTATGGTATCATCTTTACTCTGGTGTCTGGGTCTAGGTGCTGATCCCGAGGAGGCTCATCTAGAAATACCCCTAAGATTACCTTCTAAATGCGAAAAAGTTATGCTTACTATTATAATTCTAGTTCAGAGCAGAGCAGAGCCGCGATACTTTGGACATGCCTTCCACATCCCCTTAACGAATATATGATTCCTACAGTAAAGTACTACCACGGCGAGAGATGGATATTGCTACCCTAGTTTCGAGTCTTATACAGTTCCACAATATGTTGTAAGAGACGCGTATTGTCATACCTATTTCTAATAACTTAGTAAAAGGCTGAGATGCCCCTCCCTATTATCAAGATGACCGACTATGTAACAAATGGGATATCTGGTGTCGTATAGCTAGAACTACTCGGCTCGGCTTATCGATCATGAGCAACCTACTCTGGTCAGCGCAATTGCTACCGAAGTCTTGGGCTCGAGCGTTCTGGGTCTCGATATTCAGGTAACTAGGTGGTTAGGTTAAAGTTGCCATAATGTGACCAATATAGCTGGGTTCTTGTATTGCCGCTACCCCTCGTGTGATGATATACATATCTCTTCATCCCACTAATTTATATCCTCCATTCAAAGCGTATGTGCTAGGCGCTGGGTGCTAGCCTTGCTATATTTATCGTATAACCGACTGCCACACGTGTTATCTAAGTATTTGGAGCAATTGCATTTCTGGAGGAGGATGCTACCCTCGATAAATCTGTGGGGTCTCGGTTGTGCGTCCGTGATACATGTTACCTACCTACTTCAGTAGGTAGCTTTCAAGTCTCGTACGTATTCAATATATAGCGTTAGGTAGTTGATATAGATTAGGCCCGCCAAAGAAAAGATTACGTGTTCGACGGCATAGGAAATAGCGTTCTAGTTCTGATATAGCGTACATATGAAGATGAGAGACGGGCATGTCTGAGGTAATCTTCAAGGGAAAGGATATCGGGACGTGGGTGGTGATCGCAAACTTGATAAGCTTGTGGACATGGACGTGTTCATGTATGGATGTGAGTAAAATTCTAGACTTCTCATCTTGGTTTCATTCTAATCTTTACATATCCATCTATATACGCGCGGTAGATACCGTGGCAGGGATACGCTTATTATATCTCCAACTTGAACTTTACCTTGGGCGACAAGCTTTTGGCGGGGATGGTACTCGATACCCGATCTCCCCGTTTTCTGCTCTAGAACTAGAAAACGGGACTGCGCCGTCCGTTGATCTTGGAGGTGGTCGGCTACCACATGGCGACAAGGGTCCCGTTTTCATCCTCTCCCTCTGGGTGAGCATCTCCCTATTCTGCCTGATAATTTCCGAAAGGCTTAAACCGAGAAACTTACCTAAGGTAGCATCAAAGGGCGCTTACTGTTGCTAATTCATACCGGCGCCCTCTGGGGTAAGGAAGATTTTTTCTTTTTTTCTTTCGCCCCCGGAGTAACGGAGGATATTTGCGAATGGGGCCGCGCGGGTTGGTGGCATCGATCCGTCGGCTCGGATTAGGATGGTGGGACTTACGGCGCGCTATGAGGTTAGCGAGATAATAGATCCCGGCTCAGGGTTTTTCATGTACTATGTAAGGTATACTACCAAGGTTATGTATGTAAGGTATAGCCCTAAGGCACGCGAGTATCGCGTGGCCCGAGAGCCTAAAAGGATGGATGGACGGGTTGAAGAAAAGGGAAATGTTGATAAATTCGGATATCCGTAAATGGGGCAGCCCAACGGCTTGGCATCCGAACTCTTGGATTTGCTAAGCTTCGACTACTTAATTATATTATCACTCTAGTCTCTTGCGTTGCTGGACAAGGTAGAAAGGGGAGGTCTCACGATCTACTCAGCTTGGCTGAGTTATGTGCAATACCACATAGTTACCCACGGGAGAGTACTATAGATTGCTACCCACCCGTAATGAAACCCCGGATATGGATAGAAAGCGGCGATGGTTTCTGAGAAAAGAAAAAAAAATGAATCATGACTCGCAGGCTTACACCACCCCCCCCCCCCCCGATCCCCATCCCGCATCTCCCGCATATAGTCCCACGATTACGATCAAGTGGCTTGCGCATGCGTGACAGCTCGGCTGCATCATCGGTACTGTAAAATGTCCTTTCGAGACACGGGCATATGTGAGCGCCATACGCTGGGTACTTGGAATAGCACTTGACAAGGCCATGCTGGGTTGGTGACGATGCTTGGGGAAGCACAGCTTTGTCGTCCCGCCTTAGGTTGCAGGGGCGCGCGGAAATACACACACACACACACACACACACGCACATGGATGCTTGCTGGTAACAAGCAGATTATGCCTATCACTGCAGCAGCCAGCCTCTTCGGTCAGTCAGCGCCGACATGATGCATCCCTTTCCCAACGCACCAACAGTTGACATAAATCCCTAAAACATTATCATGCATGTTTCGTCACCACCTAGTTACCTAAGGTATATAGAAATACAGATAGAATTTTGGTAAATAGGTAGTCTTGTCTTTAACTTAAGTCAAGTGCTGCAATATTTGCGCTTGGAGATGACAATATTCTTAGTAACTTAAGACATCTTATTAGAGTCTAGTAGGTAGTGTGTTACTCGTAGCTAAACTAATAACAGCACTAAGTTATGCAGCTGACTCGCTGGATTGGCCACGACCATTATTAGAAAGGGGCCAATCTACGAAAGGAGTTTAACGAAAAGAGATTAAGGCCCGGAGCTGTAACATGAAGCTATTCCAAGCTTGAGAAGGATGCAAAGTGATGACAAGCGTCCAGCTCTAGTTCAAGATACTTAGCTCAGGGTTAGTGGGTTTCATTGTGGTTGGCAACGCAAGCGTCCAGCGAGAGAAAAGGGTACACATGGATTCATTAATGACAAACGCCGCGTTCCGCATTAGGGCTGGTGGTAGACGCCGCCGCCATTTTAGAAAGGGATCGCGGATAGGTATCCTATCAGACGTTCTCCACAAAGTATGTAATAAGGATATGTAGATAGGAGGTAGTCTAAGTAGGTGCTTTGTGCCGCGGAGGTAATGAGCTTGAAGGATTGCCGTGTGTACATACATGTATGTACGTTATGGATTACCTAGGTATATACGGATTACACCTCGGGCTTATATTACTTAATATATAGGAATAGTCGACACCGCAACTTCGAGACTTCTAGAAGAACCAGCCACGTCAAAAACGTCCAGGGCATAGCCGTGACCTTTCCGTCTTAGGTACCATCTTAGGTAATATAGGAAGCCGAATGAAGTCAATGAAGCTAATGAAGCCAATGATAGTAACAAATGATAATAGTAGGCTCTTCTGGGCTCTTACATACCCTAGCTGCCTAGGTAGGTAGTATACATACATGATATTATTCGGGTCGGGTGTCATGTCATCGAATCGTCAATAAGGGGATCCCTCCCGTATTCTACCGCCTTGACTTGCTTTGCTTGTTTTGCGCCTTGCGGGCGTTGCGTATGTTGCATATGAAACCTGGGAATCTTGTTTTAAGAATGCAACAGGCGCAGTATGGTACCGGTGTTGGTGCTGTATGATGATGCTATATGGTTTCGTACGTAGATATATAGATCAACAAGGTCTTAGATCTTGCCCGCTCCGGCGAATATTCGTTGACAAGGTCTTAGTAGAGATGTTCTCCACCTTTTCCCACCATTTTCCTACCCGTTTTCCTGTATTTTCGCCGCAATTGGCCTGCCCCCTTTCTTTAGTTAAATGGTATTTGGAATTTGGAATTGGTAGATATTCATTCCCGACTGTTCGTGTGTCGTGTTTCCTGCAATTCGAATTCGAATTCATCATACCTTTGTAATACTTTAACCCCCCCCTTTCCCCGTTTCCCGCCAAAAGTCGGCGTTGACAAGTAATCTCATCGCGGCTAGTTTCAGAATTGCGACATAGATCTCGCTCGTCTTAGCCGGCTAGCCAGACCTAGGTACGATCGCCTTCCCCATCAGGCATTCCGCTGGGTTAGGCACAACGGGCTGGTACGGTATCAAATCACGATAGCACAGTTCCCCCTCTCCAGACCCTGAAGGCCTGAAGGGTAAGAAGAATCAAACGTCGGAGAAGGGAGAGAGAGAGAGAGAGAACTTCCTTCGAGGTCAAACTGGTACCCGAACCTCGCCGGCTTCTCCAAGAGGGCACACCGAATCACATCAGGAACTTGTGATAGTCGGCTGATCTCGGTACCGGTGGTATCGGTAGTGAAATTACTGGTACAGTGGTAGAAATTAACTGGTATTTCTCGAGAGCTGAAACTTAAGCGACAACTACCCTAAGGGTAGCCCATCGCATGTATACATCGCATGTATAGTGCCTAATGGTGTATACTGCCTTAGGTAGTGTGTGGTTTATGGTATGTACAATTCAACAGAGAGTACGTGGACACACACGAAAAACAACACGAATGCCGGTGTACCTAACGTTGCCACGTACAGTACAGTACCGTAGATCTGGTCCTTGGACCCTGACGACGAAACCACCTTTCATTCGAAATTGGTGAATTACCTCATCTCTCGTACCTTTCGCACCTATTGAATTCGTACACGAGAAAGGAACCCCGCCGTAAACGACCCTCTTAGAAATCGATAAAGAACCTTGGAACCATTGAACCATTGAACCATTGAACAATTGTAAGTACCTATTCTATGTATCATGTATCTTATGTATCTTATGTGTACTTTCCTTATTTAAACTGTATATTGGGGTACGCACCTTATACTCCGGGTCTACCGTTCGCGCTGTGCTGTGCCGGGCGTTAGCGGAGCCTACCTCCTAGCTAGAAATTGGTCAGCCACTAGGCGTTCCCGGGTCCTTTTTTAGTAGACTGTCCCGATTGAATTTAATTTTTAGCTCCCATTCTTGGTGATTAATGCTATGAAGACCCTTTCAACGGTCTAACGTATCAGTGGGTTAACCAGCACAACTAGCATGTACTAACCTTCTAACGAATTGCCCCGCCATCAGGCCCATCAGGTCCATCAGGCTCAAATCAGAAGCCCGCCTTTTTCAGCAGCGAGACATCAATCAACTGCAACATCTCTCCTTCGCGACATCATTTTACCAGCTACCAAAACCACTTTGACGCCAGAAAAAAAAATACTTTCCCCTCACGCAAATCAACAACTCTTCTCCGTCTCTTTCCTCTCAACCCCCACGCTCGCGTCAAACCTCAAATCTCCAACCAAACGAAGTCCCCTCTGGTAATTGACTTTATTTTATATTCATCTCACCCATCAAATCGGTACTCGAGAACCAATACTACTGCCGCACGCACCCGCCGTACAACTAAACTACAACTACTAACTACTGGTGGCTCGTAGTAGAGTTTTAGGGAAACCTGTTGTTTGGATAGGAACCTGGCATTGAGTGAGAAGATCAAAACTACAAATTTGGTCCATCATCATGTCAGGTTCGGAGGGCGGATTCGACCTGCTTCGGCGGGCAACTCAGGCGATGATGTCAAAGTAAGTCAAAAAGAATTGAAAAAAAAAGGTTCATATGTTATGTTGCGTCTATTCTCCTCAGATCACCAGATCATCAGCTCGGAACACACCCCCCATTTCATTCATGCCCTCCTCCCCATTCCCTGCTTTTAATCGCTGTCAATCAAATTCATTCATCGCTCCAAAAGAATATTGAATTAGCCCTTACCCATACCTCTCAATCCCTCATACCTCATACCTCATACCTCATACCTTATACCTCGTGCTTCACATGCTTCACATGCTCCATACTTCATATTTCCCGCCCGTTACAAATTTACACAATCTCCCCAATCTCACCGTTATGCCAATTACGCAAGCCGCGACCTCTGGAACCTTTGGAATCACCTACAAGGTTCTCTTTTCCGTTTAGCCAGTATTTGTCTTCGGATTACGGATCACTGCCCAAGGATATTCCAAAGTTGGCCGTACGACACCCCTGGTTCGAAGTACCTAACTTTGACCGCAATGGGGCCGGGCTTGATGAATCGTCGCCGACGGCTGTACTCGTACTACAATGTATACTACCAAGTACTCTCTATCTACCTGTCTTGGTATTTTTCTGCTCTTTCTGGCCTTATACCCAAGCCGGCTATACGAGGTTACTCCGGATTCACTATCCACATCAGTTCAGCTTCGCAAGTGAGCATTCGGATGAGACGCTCAGCCAGCTGCGATCCAAGTCGGTTTTCGGTTTTCGGCCCTCCTCCCGAGAAGGTTACCAGATGTATACAACTCGACGCTTATTTTTAGATGAGACCTCCCTGGCTTATCTGCGTTGTACAGTCGTGGCTGGTCACCGATATTCGCAACGAACAGGTCCCCATATTGCTTTGGCCAGCTCCGTTCTGCGGCGAATCTGAACGCGGGGTCTGGACGAGGCTTATAATTATTATCATATTGAGGCCTGACTCCTTACTCGCCAGTGCAATAAACCGCAGAGGAGCCCAATGTGTCTTTATGTCACTTATGTCACCCCCTCGTTCCCTGCTGGGCTATTACCTCTCTTGCATTCACCCCACCTCGCGTCGATCCATCTCCAACCGCACCCCCTTTACCCCCACCTCAACTCCCCTTCAAGGTTACCACATGGCGAGTGTCATGGGTGGTCGCTTCGAAAGCAACATGGGGTTCGGTTCGATGAAATGGCTTGTGAAAATTTCGCTCCTTTTTACCACCTGCCCGCCCATCTTCCGCGTCGCTTGCAATCTCGCATCCAAGGATATCTGGTTACGTTGCGGGATCATTGGACTTCCTCACCGCTGCCGTTATTGGATGATTCTTCCTTCGAGATGTCCTATACCCAAGATACCTCCTGAAATCTCCCTTGACTCTAATAATGTTCATATCCTGTTAACCCCTCGTCCTTTTAACCCCTGCTTCGCTCTCGTCCTTTAGCTCGAAGAACATCTTGATTCATCGTCCTGAGAACTGGGGTGATAGTTGTTAACATGCCAAGCAGGACGTCTACTACGGAGGAAGATGGGTCTGATCAAATTGGTTATGACTCCCCACGCTCTGGCATCGCTACGCCTCAGCCTGACCTCCACGACAAGCGACTACCGGGTATTATGAGTTACTTTGGCCAGGTTCGTTGTACCCCTCTACCCTATTCCCTTGGCCGCTCGTCTTCCTCCCGAACACAAGAGACTGAGTCGACCTACCCTTCATGTCCCCAGGAAGAGAAGGATGCGCGCACCGTACCTCAACAACTGCCGAGCTCTCGATCGGATTTGAGCAGCAAGGACCTCACGCCTGATATTTCGCCTCTCCTTCCACATGAGAGGATCGAACCGCTGGCAAAAGTGCAGTCCTCGCAGCAATCAGCTTCCGATATTCATCCCTATCCTACGCCTCCTTGTTCACAAACACCGTCAGAAAGGGGAGGCAAGTTGTCTGATTCGAGTGGCGATTCCGACGCGGCCGCTAGCGGCTCATCGAATCGTTCTTCAATGAACAACAAGAGCGCCACAGATCTCTCGCAGCTGAAAGTTCGGAGGGCCACTTTGGCATCCCCCCTTACGAGCATTGTCACTACATCTAGCGTTCTCGCGAGTCACCTCTCTATCCCTAGCGACCGTACCTCTACAACAACACCAAGTTCTCCCTCGGATACCCAACCCCCTACAGGCGATGTTGGCAGTTTTTTCTCTAAGTCTGCTTCGATTGATCGACTCAAGAAGCTAACTGATGGATCGAAAAAGAGCGGTCCCTCGACACCTACTAGAACGCTCTCGGCTACCCATCCGTCCCAACCCGAGGAGAGGTCACCCTCAAAGCTTAGCGGAGATGGCTCGGATGCAGGTGGTAGGCAGACACCGGTCTCCTCCGCGAGTGGTGCCGCCGCGCCACCGCAGAGGGGCAAGCTCACTATTAAGATTCTGGAGGCAAGGGGCTTACGAAAGAGCCGCGACCCCTACGTCGTTGCCGTATTCCAAAGGAGCGAACTGATCTCTCACGGACCGCGAACATTCGAGGACGAGGACGAGTCAGTACCTCAGCCGGTTGCGATGGGCGGTATTCCCATCCAGCGCCAAGGCAGCGATCCCGGTCGTGCGATGGCAATCCCCATGCGCAGTCGCCAGAGCAGTAATACTAGTATTTCGGATTATAATACTTTCCGCAATCGCCCGCGGCGATCGTTTACAAGTCCAAAGTGGGATGCCGAGGCATTATTGTAAGTATCGTAGATCGATCGCGTCCCTTGGACACATCGACTAACTTCAGTAGTGATGTTGTTGATAAAGACATGCTAGTGGACATCTCGATTTACGACCACAGCACACAGGGAGATGAGTTCCTAGGTCACGTTGACTTCCAAGCAGCTATTCCTGGAAAAGATGAGCCTGTGCGAGGTTGGTTCCCGTTAAGAGGAAATATCGACACGAAACCCGATAAGACACCCACCGGCGAGATATTCGTTGAGGCCATCTACCAGAGAACGGAAAAGAGGCATTACGGCCCGGATGATTTCCAAATTTTACGATTGATCGGAAAGGGTACATTCGGCCAAGTTTATCAAGTGCGAAAGAAGGATACCGGCCGGATATATGCCATGAAGGTCTTGTCGAAGAAGGTCATCGTGCAGAAGAAAGAGGTGGCACATACAGTTGGGGAGCGGAACATCCTGGTCCGGACAGCCATGTCAGAGTCTCCATTTATCGTCGGTTTGAAGTTCTCCTTCCAAACCCAGAACGACCTCTTCCTTGTCACAGATTATATGTCTGGTGGCGAGCTCTTCTGGCATCTTCAAAAGGAGGGACGATTTGACGAGAAGCGAGCTAAATTTTACATTGCGGAACTCATCCTCGCTATCCAACATCTGCATAATAACGATATCGTTTACCGCGACTTGAAGCCTGAGAATATTCTACTCGACGCGAATGGCCACATAGCCTTGTGCGACTTTGGTTTGTCCAAAGCAAACTTAACTCAAAACGACACCACCAACACATTCTGCGGAACTACCGAGTACCTGGCCCCGGAGGTTTTACTGGATGAAGCTGGATACACGAAGATGGTAGACTTTTGGTCCCTTGGCGTCCTCGTGTTCGAAATGTGCTGCGGATGGAGTCCCTTCTACGCTGAAGATACGCAGCAGATGTACAAGAACATCGCATTCGGCAAAGTACGATTTCCGCGAGACACACTTTCGCAGGAAGGCAGAAACTTTGTGAAGGGCTTACTTAACAGGAACCCGAAACATCGACTAGGTGCCATCGATGACGCAGAAGAATTGAAGCGCCATCCGTTCTTCGCCGATGTGGACTGGGATATCTTGGCCAAGAAACTTATAACCCCGCCTTTCAAGCCTAAGTTGAAGTCTGAGACGGATGTCTCTTACTTTGACCCAGAGTTCACAAATGCACTAAACACGAATGGATCATTGAACGAACGTGCGCAGCAGTTAGCCACGGGCTTTGCCACGTCAACTCCCCTTTCTCCGACCACGCAGGCGAATTTCCAAGGCTTCACGTTTGTCGACGAGAGCTCACTAGACGATCACATGAAAGGAAGGTACATTGACGAGGACATGGATGACGTAGATCGTCGAGATAACGACTGGGACGACCTTGACGACATTGATCTCCGAAAATCAAATAGGATGAGTGGAATCGTTAAGACGGGCAATAACGATGAACCGTTTGGTGAATCCCACTTCGACATATGACACGGACTTTTCTTTTTGCTTTATTTTCTTAACCGGATTCCTACGACACGAGGATGACCTCATCCGCTCGTTCTTGGCATCAAGAGCGGATTCGTCTATTACTCTTAAAATTCTCTCCATGGCATCATGCATAGGGCGGCATTCTGCATGAGGTGACGGTTGGCAGAGGTTACTTAGTCACTACGGAGTGGTAGGGCGTTTGGCATTTGCAAATAGTCTGGAATTATGGCACATACGTACACGAAATCGCGGGATAGTTTCGGAAATACCTAACGAAAATCACCTACCTATTCAGGTCACAAGGGACCAGTACAGATCGCTATGATCCTACTCCTTTGTCACTTCAGTTTGGAATTTTGCAGGCTTGGATGCCGGCTATAGGGTTGATAACGAAGCGTTTGCTATTGTTGAGCAACTCGGCACATAGGCCAGGTACTCATTACAATCTCAAACGCAGAAGGAATTGGTAGTTCTTGCTTGGTTGCTCGGTATGACAGGTGGCTACTAGTATGCTAACAATGCTTTTGCCGAAGCGAGCGAGCTGTGTGGGCGTTTGATTTAAGCTGAGTTCTTGCAGTTTGCTGCCCCTTTGTGGGTTCTAATGATGAGCCTGAGAGGCATGTAAGCAGGGCTGGAATGCAGATAACGCACACGAGTACATAGCGTACTAATTTGAAAGGCTTACTCCTAATGAGGAGCAAGAGACCAAAAGTCAATTAGAACTACCTAGGTTGCGTATGATAATTAATTCAAGTTGCGACGTGATTTCGCTCATTCTTCTTAGTAAACGCGAGGACCATACGTCGTAATGCTGAGGGAATGCTCATCTCATCGGAGCCTACCCAAGCCGTTACATTCGGATACATATAAGATTGTAAATCGTGTAACTCTATGTAGGACGAGTCTGACAAGTCTCTGTTGAATCCCCATGTCCTCCCCCCCCTTTTTTTTTTTCTATATGCAGTCATGATTCCATTTTCCCCTCTTCCCACCGAGACAAGACAGCAACCTAACTAGATAGGATCACATTAGAGATGGGCTTTTAGGTGTAAAAAGATACAAGCGTACGAACTAGAAATATGCAAGCCGAGTTTTGCGTCATGTTGCAACTGTAGGGGGGAAATCTCTTCATCTAGGGAAACACAACGCGGGCAGTACGGTTTTTATAAGGGGGGAGGGGTGTAGTATGTATGTATGTATGTATATAAGCTGATTATGATGTCTACGTGTAGGTAGGTACCTACTCATAGCCTCTCTTCCGCGGATTTCATCGTTCGCTGCTGACATGTAACGAGGTTCGCAGAACTTGTCATAATGAACTAAGGTGGGATTAACGTTGAGGACGGGGGAGGGGGGAAATGTCGAATAGGAGAGGAGGGCATATAAACACGGGCAGCGCTAGAAAACGTCACGTACGACCATAGGATCCGGAAAATTCGGGATCCCGTCCGCTCTCCCCTAGACAAGCCGGATACTGCCAGACTAGTAGTTGGGTCGGTGACGACCAGCGAATCCCTGGTGTTGTACGTCCCTTTTTTTTGTTTTTTTTTTGTTTGGGAGGGTTGGATTAGTTTTGGTTCTCTTCCTTTTTGCCTCCGTGGAAGCGGCTAGGTGTATTCGGGCCGCCGTCTGGGGTCGTAGAGGCTTTGCTTGAGGGTTGCTAGCTTCACCGTTGGCTCGTCGATCAAAGGAGATCCTGGGGTTGGCGGTGTTGCCTACGTGCTGGGTGATCAGCGGTGTGGGGATATCATGGGCATGTGAATGCCCTCATGTAGAGCGTTGAAGGCTGCAGACTCGTCTACTTAGGAGTAATACTCCCTCAACCAGTACCATTACATCGGCAAGCGTCCCGACTAAGTACTTTTGTCCTGGGAAACATAAGTACCTCAGATATGGCGGTCGATAAACCACCGAGCCTCTACTTGATGTTCTTACTAGACCAGGCAAGTCGGCGAATGCGTAGGTACGTATATAGCTATAATCTACAATCAATGATCTACCTGTGAAGTGCTCTATCCGCTCGCACAACACCTAGCTATATATCTTCTCAGAAGTGAACGAAAGATAGTCTAGACACTAAGGAGACAGGAGTGTATGTAAAACATGCCAGTGTGTGGTAGACCTATCCTAGACATTTTATTCTATAAATCCAATATTGGGGAATATTCATGGATTGTCAAGGTATTCCCGGATAACTGACAAGGACTAAATACAAGACACAAACGAGATGACGCTCGTTTAACGAAGTGTTTATCAAAGCTGTCTCTAGTAAGATTGAAGAGCGAGTCATAAATTTAACATCAAGTACGAGACTCGCTTGAATAGGGGTATATGAATATAATGGAACCTAAGGACGGTAGAGACGACAGTAATCTACTCGTCTTACGAGTCAAATTAAACTTGACTATACACAGCAGCCCTTACAGTTAGAACGTATACAACTTTACTGCGAAAGGATAACATAATAAGTGTAAGCTCTTCGATGACGAAGGATCTATTTGTGATTTGGCACGAGCGATCCTAGGAATAAATGTACATGGACGTTAGGGATCTCTCCTCTCTACCACCTCTGACGACTTGACATAACACCGGACTATGTGTATATGCCTCGCTTGCTCTCTCTATTTCTCTCTCATCCTCCCGGTATAGCTTTTTCCTCTCGGCTCAGCCTCTCCTCCCGCGCAGGTAATTAAGTCTCTCGGTACGAATCTAATGGTGAGCAGCAGCGCCCTCCTCCTCTTCTTCCTCATCGACCAGCCAGTCCTCGACGACGGCGGGTGTCGACGAGTTGGCGGCGGCGCCCTCGTTGCCTTCGACCTCGACGGCCATGCTCTCGTACTCCTTCAGGCTGCTGGCTAGGTCGGCCTCCTCGGGAGACTTGGGGGGCTTGGGTACTGTGAAGGTCTGGACCTGGCCCACCGAGTCAGAGTCCTTGATGGGCGGTGGCTTGTAGGCCTTGAGTTCCTTGAGGTAGAGCTCCTGTACGAAGTCGGCTGCGGGGTCATGTTAGTATAGGATCTTGCTAAAGTAGATACGTAGAATGTTCGAGAATTAGTGTGTGGTATGTGGTATGTATTCCGAGTTGCGAAAGAGAAGAATTGGATGTATGTACGAGATATCCTTTAGCTCTATGCTACTCGGATATATCGCAACCGCATGTCGAGTTGACGAGGGTGCGAGCTGTTCAACTAGACAATAATATCTCATCCCGCCGTACGTCTCCAACTCTCCCATTCCGGTCCCGGTCATACCCCAGCATAGCGCACTATGTACTTCTCAATTGTCTCTGGAATCCACTTGGTATACGATAAATAAAACTTTCGAGTCTTACCTCGTCGCGAAACGGTAGGGGCGATGAATCCTCTGACGGCGTTTACCCTCGCCACGCGGGTGATAGCCGAAGCGGCCGACCGAGCAGTCTGAGCGTTAAAAAAAAAAAGACCAAGTTAGCGAATAGCTCCTCAATGACGATATCATTCCAAATTTTTAAAAAATGGGATGTGTAAAATAGGTACTTACCGAAACCCTTAGTTGCACGAGCATGATGTCCGTCTGTTATGGGGATTGCTCAATTGACGATTGACGGTATGTGAGTGGTGGTGGTGGTATGATAGTGGTGCAGGACGGGAAGACGGGGATCGTGGAGAGAGAGTTGCGATTGAGGTTTTTCCTTCGCCGCTGCATTTCGTCCTTGAATTCTTAGCGCCGAAGTGGCTAAAGGTGGAGTATCAGAGCTTCCGATTGGTCAATCACGTGATTCGCTCTACCGTACGAATATTTCATTCTACTACCTACAGAATACATCCCACTACAACTTACATAATGGACTTACATAATAATAGTCTTCACATAATAACCTTCAACTCAAGTATAACTAGGTAGTTAGTTACTCCTTTAATTCTTCCTCTATTTTAACTTAACTAGATGATAACTCAATCTTATGCGAAAGCGTCATTAAGAAATATCATTAGATCGTATTAAATAACATAAATCGTATCAATCCAGTCTAACAAGTACTCTCCGTCATCATAGAACACTGGTCGCTATTATAGTGTCTGGTCTCTTACACATATACCACATCTAAACTAAACTCATAAAAACCCATCCGGTATCAAAGCGCTATAGTGAAATACCCAAGTAGGTACGCAAATACTCAAGTAGGTATGCAAATACTCCTGACAACCTCCCTATGAGACAAATCAGGAACTCTTCTGCTCATAACCTCCGTGTCGGCGGCGGCGCCACTCGCCAAACAAAGCAGCACCGATGTATATGATGAATATAAGGACAGCGAAGACGGTGTACACCACCAGGAAGGCTCTAGAGGCACCTGCAAGCTCCAGACCGAGCCCGCCGTTTACTATGCCCGCGATTATCAGGGCGCGGCCGTACCAGATATGAGCGTGCGATACGAGACCTCGGGACTGGTGTCTCATAAAGTGCTTATGATGGAACCAGCCCAGGATCGGTTGAAAACCAAATAGGCCGACCACGACCGTGCCGAGGATCGTATGTGTCGAATTGAAGTCCTGTTAGGAGAATTAGCAGTGGTCAACTTTCCTTCCTTCGCTCTGGCCGGTATCGGTATCTATGTAGGTGTAGGGCATGTTTCGACAGGACTTACAAGTTGAATGCGCTGCAAGGCGACGATACCCAGCCCGAAGCCAGCCCACATTATCAGGAAGGCAAAGAGCTGCCACGCGGCGTGAATTATCCACTTGCCGAATACGGGCATGAGCGCCGAACCCAACGGGTACAGGACGATCATGACGACGGCCATGATGATGCCGTGGCCCAAGATCAAGATGCGTGGGTCGGCGAAGCTGCCGCTGCCCACGCCACGGTTGTTGTTGTCGTATTGCTTCGCGCCCACGAACGGGTTCGCATCGTCAGTCACGGTGGCTGCCGTCAGGTCGAACGCCCACGTATCATGCGCGTCGTGGCGCTGGATCTGGGCGTCCGGGTCCGCGCTGTTGATGGCATCGCCTGTCTTCCATGCCGCAATCCAGGGCGCCGCGTTATCGTCTAGGCTCATGGAGCCCCCCGGCCATGTACCGCAGTTACCGCATCGGACGTTGGCGACCATCGTCTGCTCGTTGTTCAAGAGGCCACTTCCATCGAGAAGCTCTAACTGTACGATTGAGTTGTATCGTGGCACTGCGATTGATAGGTGTTAGTAATTACTACATTAAGGGGGTAGGTATATCCCGAGAGCAACAGATTTTGGCCAGCTAGTTGATGTGCTCTAACTAAGTCCTAAGATGGGCCAAAAAGAGGCAGAGGAGGATAGAATATAAGGCCCGATTTTACGTACTGCTATGCCCGGTTCCAGTACGTGCTGATACCGTCACGTTACCGTTACCGTCTTGATACATCACAAAGATGCTCGAATCTTTCATGGCATCTCCTGTACCGAAGGCCACCCACGAGTACGATATCGGCGCTCGTAGCTGTAGGTATATATTGCCCCCATCTCTGGCGGCAGATGCCTCTGGTACCGCGACCTGGTAGCATACATCCGCGATTGGGCAGTATTGTATCGGCTCGGAGGACGCGAGGACGGTGTATACGAATGCATCTAGGAAAAGTAAAATATGTCAACGACTACATCGTTTCTAGTCCGCCATTGTTATAGTTACAGAGTTTCTTCAGTGCACGACTATTAAAGAAGAATGTGAAGATTGCTGGCTAAGAATTTAAAAAGGGAAGAGTGATATGTTAGAGTTGCTGGTGGTCGTTAACTTACACAACGCCGCGATGGTTAAAAAAGATGTTCGCGCCATCCCGAAAGCTATCCTTTACGTATCGTCGTATAATTGGTATCAGACCTATCGAGAGATTTAGCCTTGCGGCAAATTCGCGTTTTGCAATATGATAGCTCTAGGAATAGAGGTGTGTGTGTGTGTGAATACACGGATTTCAGCACTCACCTTTTAGAATTATGTCTCGATTCGTTTCCAAGGTCTGAGTTCGACTGATATATCCAGAGAGGCCCCCCCCTCTTACGTCCTCGCCTTTAAGTTCCTTCAAACATCTAAATGATGTAACCTGCTTGTGCGCTGACTATGCGGCCCTCGGCGTCGAGTCCTTATCGTATTTTAACGTTTTAAGGGTGTGCTTTACCGAAGTTAAAGTCGCCGGGTCCTCGAGACTGATTGAGATATAAATAAATTTATGAGGTATGTACGTAGTAAAGGATGTAGACAGGCTTCCCATGGGAGAATATATATACTCAAGTAACCTAGATAGCTCTTGACTTTCTTGGTATATGTGAATCTTAACTACATACCTACATAAGAAGGAAGATCTTACAGAAAATGTAAATCATTAGTACTATGCCTTGCTTGCCGTGTACATTGATGCCGTACATGGATCTTAGGCCTACATGTACTTCCCAAGCTCATACCGTACCTACCTAAATATCTAACCTTACTCTATCATGGATACGTACATGTCTGCGCATTATCCTTGGCGGCTTGGTATATTCACACGATTCAAACGGCGCGAGACTTTCTGTCCTTCGCTAGCATCGTCTTGGGCTAGGTAAGAGATCAAAGCCTCTGTGCCTACGTATGCTACCTACCTGGGAGCTCGTTTCGCCCTAGACAGAAACGGTAGGTAGGTACGTAGGCTATGCACACATTGATGCCAGGACCGACGATCTATCTTATCACGTTGTAGATCATAGGTCAAACCCCTGTTAGCCCCCGATGAAGCTGTCATATTTTGAGATTCGAGCTTGGGGGAGGGGGGGGACAATTGGCGTTGGTGACGACAGCGTCCTTTACTTAACCCCGGAATCTGGAAGACCCGCATGCTTGGTGACTTGTTTCGGGGGCAGTGCAACTTGGCGGATTCGGTGTTATATGTAAGTTCCGCCTTTAAGTGCCCAGGTACGGTAGGGTTTTCCGGGAGATGGGGAACTGGGACGCAACCCAACATTGCCGTTATTAGAATCGCGGACGTGATGATTCGCCAATCCGCTTAGGACAGCGTCGAATCACGCGGCGAGGTGGGGGGAGGATGGTTCTAGGGGTGTCTAGTTCTGGGGAACGTAAGCAGCTTAGTTAATACTTGATCTACACTTGGCTTTATATTTGGCTGGCGAAACTTACTATCATTTTTAGTTTCGTCAACGATGCGCAGCGTTTAGTAACAAGCTTAAGCACAATGTCTAAAGGAGATGAATTAACATGAATTAACATGAATTAACATGAATTAGGTACATTATCGTATGTGATCGTATATGACAAGCAATCCTGTATATAAACAGGTTAATAATAATTCGTGATTGTAACCAAATGACGAGAACATAAGTCCTTGATACAGCAGTCTTCCTTATCAAGCCAAGGCGGGAATAACATGTACAAATACATCATGTTAGAGCAGGGAAATATGTTGAACCAGACACTCTGGGCATACGTATCGTCAAAGTATAAACTGAACAATGCCTAGTCTAAGCGATGGTTCATTTAGATGATACAAGATATAACTTTATATGCCCAAGTACATGTAGCTTCGTGTAAGAGGAGAGTATTTCCCACGTGTTAAACAAGACACAGCATATAACCGTCTATCACTGAGTAGTAGTGTCACCACTCTCAACCAACAACGAGGATCAGGCATCTATGCAAACGAGGTAAAGGAATAGACAGCAAAACTCTATCTATCCGAGACGCTCCCGTGGCATTCCCATCTATAGCCCCTAGCCCCTAGCTCCTAGCCGTGGACGCGGTACCATATTGACTGCATGCAACCCCACGAGCTAAGACCTAAGTGATTCCTAGCTAATATAAGATATCCTATTCTACCAGGTTAACTAACTAATGACTTTGGAAGCGACAGCGTCAGCAACTTATGGGTACAACTATTGGATAAGACGTGCTTATGAATAGACGAACCATGTTGAGGCACGTTTGGTTTGAGTACCACAGTCGGCCAAGTCGGCGGCTTGGACTCATCTATAGATCTCAAAGCCAATCTACCTAGTATGTAAGGTACACACTATTTGTTTACTTTCTATAGGGCTCACAGCAGTGTATATAGATTCCAACATATACCCTGCCTTACGTTTATTGGTGAGATGGACAGACTATGAGCTACGACTAGTTAATACGAACTGCAAGTTGGTGTATTATATTCAATTTCTATCTGCCTTCTCACACAATACTCACCTCTACCTGGACCGTGGTAATAGACAATCTTTTTTTAATATGACTAAGGACGCTATAGATGCAAACTGGGTTGTTCAACCTTTGAAATCATCTATTTGGGCGACGTGAAGGCGCCTTGATTCGCTACATACTGTAGCGGTGTGGTATTCGGGGCTGTGCGCTTGCGTGTCTCTTGAATAAGCTGGTCGTTTTCGGTTACTAACCTAGACTAAACGGTGTTAGTACTACCTATGTAAGAAAGTATCAGGCATAGGCTTCATTTTGATCCGAATATATTAATTTGTAACAATCCTTTCCCGCCGTGGCAGGGTCTTCGTTGTAACATCACGCAGGCCCTGTCACGGATGGTAAGCAAACAAGGATCAATTGCTGTCGTCTAATTGAGGCCTCTTCAACGCCATTCCCACTTCGAATTTGTTAACCACTTTTCTAGAACTGTGGTGCTAAGCCCTCGCTTTCAAAACTCATCTCCTCTATCCTTTCTGTTAGTCAAACAGCATATAAGCCGGCTTCAAATCGCAATCTCTTCTATAATGCCCCCCGTTCTGTGTGCACTTGAAGCTATGCGTCTTGCTGATAATGCTTACGCTTAGTTAAACATAAACCCATGATCATCTAGCAGGCTGCTGGAAGCTACATAACTGAATCCGCCAAAGGGATCTTCCTTTAAGCTATCCTTTGGTGGTATATCATCCAAAGGACACTTGGCCAAGATAGGGCTTAGAGGCAACTCGGTGAACTCGGGAGCAAAATTTTCTGCAAGCTCAGGGTCCGTAATCATCGGCTGGATTGGTGGCTCTATTTCCCTGGCCGCAAGCTTCTTCCAATCGATCTTCCGGAAGAACCTGTGCTTCTTGATGATCAGGAGGTCTTTGGGCATGTTCGAGCCAAGACGCTTCCGAGGATCTTTCTTTAAAAATCTTGTTAATAGATCCTTGGCGTCGGGCCCTAGGAAATACGGCAAGACAAGCTTCTGCTTGACGATGTTGTTCTGAATCTTGGCGTGATTGCCGCCGCGGAAGGGTGGGTTACCCGTCATAAGGTCGTAACCCAGCGCACCAAACGACCACCAATCGACGGCCTTGCCGTATTTCTGGCCCAAGACAACCTCCGGAGCCATGTATTCGACTGTTCCAAGTATAGACTTACAGCTATCATCATCCACTGCTACCTTGGACAAGCCAAAGTCTGTCAGCAGGAGATGACCTTGTGCGTCTAAGAGGCAGTTTTCTGGCTTTAAATCTCTATAAACCACACCGAGCGTATCGTGGAGATGAGATAGAGCCAGAACCATTTCTGCCATGTAGAAGGCGGCAACTGGCTCGGGGAACATCTTTTCGGTATTGAGGTGAGTGAATAGTTCTCCACCCTGCCCATACTCGAGGATAAGATATAGCCTCTCTTGGTCCTGGAAAGCGTAAAATAACTTGACAACGAAGGGGTGTCTGTTGACGGACTCGAGTATTTGCCTTTCTGTCTTTGTTTGCTCGATAAGTTTCTTGTGCACGACAACTGAAGCCTTTTTGAACTGCTTCTGCGCGTAAAGCCGACCCGTAGCACGCTGCTTAACTAGTAAGACAGTCCCGTATGTGCCCTTTCCAAGACAACGCAATGTCTCGAAGTCGTCGGCCTCCATCTTTCGGGGCACTAGCCCACCTTCAATCGCACCATATTTCTTCTCTTGCACGCTTTCACTCACAAAGTCATGCTCTAACTGGACTTCGTAACTGGTTGATCCGCCCTCTGAAATTTCGTCGTCACTACGACCCATTTGGCTGGTGGTTCCGCTCATGTAGCGGCGGCGACTATTGCTTCGAGTTCGAACCATAGAGCTGGAGCGGGAGTCGCCTAGGCTAAGGGGCTCTAGCTGCATACGCAGCTTAGCAATGCCGCTGATAGCAGGAGAGTTATGACCACGAAGTACGGGGCTGCAGTTGGCACTGACAACGTCATCAAGACGGGGGGTGCGACCACGTCGCGCGGACAAAGGTGGCGTCTGGCAGTGATCCGAATCATCGTCGCCGGACATTATTGGGGTGTGCGCGAACCCGCGAACGGTGCTAAGGGCTGGAGCGGCGGGAGGTAACATGATGAAGTTTTGTATCCTTGGTAAAGGTATTCAATTAATTAATTAAGTAATAGTAAAATAGTGTCGTCCGTCGATATGACTCTCTCAACCCGCCCCTATTCAAGGTAGGCGGGAGCCACGTCGTCGCTCGGCGTCAGCGCGTGCTTCGCAAAGGTAATCGGGATGCGCTGGCTGAAGGGTCGGAGTGAGCATCTGGCTGCGGACTAATGACGAAGAGAAACTGTCGGAATCGTTTTGCTGATGCATTGGCAGTCGAATAGTTAATCGCGCGGAGGCGTCTTAAGATCTGTTTGGTGTCAAATATGGGTTCACCGTACGGCGGTGGTTGAGAAAAGTTGAAGAGTGAAAAGGAAGTGAAAGCCGAACAGGGCAGGTGTTTGTTAATAAGGCCACCACCCACTCTAATAAGACAATGGAATTATACGACTTCTTGCTTACAACAAGGTTTTTTTTTACGGGCGGGGTGTAGCGAGCGGACCTCAATTTTTCACAAGCCAACCAAATCTTTTCTATTTTCAGCTGTGCAGATTGGAAAGCCCCGTGCCAAGGGCAGCCAGGGGATAGTCAGGCAGTCAGGCTAAGCGGACACCAGACCCCCAGCACGCCCTAGCATCTCCCTAGCATCTCCCTAGCACGCTCCTTCAGGCTGTTCAGGTGCCCCAACCTTTAATCCACCCTACCACCACTACATACCTAATCCATGTCCCGCGTTCCCGCGATTAGCCATTAGCCATTATAAGCTGACTGTCAGGCACCATGCTTTTCGCTGCAACCTTTGCTACAGCATTTGAACCAATGGGATGACTATGTAAATCAAAGAATGCACACGGAATATTAATATAGTTTGTACAGCAACTACCTATATATATATATATATATATATATATGGACGTTTTGTAGAGAACTGTCGCTATATAATAGTACATACTTTGATTACTTGTCGTATTGCATTGAGACAATATGCGAAACATTGGAAGCAAGTTATTACCAACACTGGCTTGGTATGCTCATCGTAAGATAGAGAGGATTGCGGGTACATATCCGTTAATAGGTAAATGGAGACTCGTACTTGATATTACGGTTAGGTACCTAGGTAATAGGAAGAGGGTTAGAATCGGTAAAAAGCCACCTTAAAGGGCAGAGTGGTGTAAGCGAGTTATAACTTGCAGGTTTTTCTAGCAGGGAACCTGCAGGAAAAGACGGCGTTATTTGAAACGTAGCATTAGGATAAACCGGTATGCTGCATGTACCTTTGGAGACCTAAAAGGTAGACAATGATACAATGTTGGATCAAACAAAGAATTCTATAAGCAAATACTAATATGTGAATTACCCTGCTCAATTCGCAAGACTGGGTACGAAGTATAACTTATTTAATAACCCGCTTCAAGTCAGCCCTGGAAAAAGGGGTGCGTCTATTTGAATCTAAAATGTGATACTTTAAAGATCTTGAAGTGGATAAACTTGGGTAAGAGTTAGAATGTAGTCAAAATTAAGAAGTACATAACTGCTGGCTGTCTTCTGACCTTTTGCTTATGTATATAGATCCGTACAAACGTACAAATGTACAAACTACAAACGGATTCGGCTTGAAGCTCAAAGCTAAAAACTTGGAGCTTTGACCACTGATAGCGTGTTTCTCCACTTTTATGTTCACCTTCAACGCGGCTTTGAAGAACTCGCAAAAAGTCACCAATCTACTGAATACATGCGGATACATTTTCTATAGGGAACCGAAACTCTTCGATCATCGAGCGATATATTATATCAGGACGGTTCCGAGTTTTCGAGTAGCGCATCAGATCCAAGGCCAACATTCTGTGACCTATTGCCCAGCATGATGCACCCGGCGCGACAGGCGTATGTGGAGGAAGCGGAAGATGTAAGTTTGCATATCCCATGTCTTTTTCGTGCCGACGTTTGGTTAACATCTTTTCTTCGTTAGGATCGTGGTATGACCTTAGACGAGGTTCCCGTAGATCGCGACTATGACATCCCCTCGGCAGCTGCTGGCATTGCGCCGGAGAAAGCATCAGCCATATTGTCCCAGTTTGAGCGCAAGAGGCGAGCAGCAACAATGGCAGTACCTACAGATGATGGCCGAGTACGTGCTAGGCTACGGGAACTTGGGGAACCTATCACACTTTTCGGCGAAGGCCCGGCAGACCGACGAGATAGATTAAGGGAACTCTTGACTCTACAGGCGGAACAAGCACCTACAGAATCACCAGATGTTGCTATGGAAGATGCGCCAGAAGAGGACCAGGAAGATCAAGAAGAGGAATTCTACACCACCGGTAGCGATGAATTGTTACGAGCGCGGCAAGATATTGCCCGCTTCTCCCTGCCACGGGCGAAACAAAGGCTATCTTTTCAAAAACAGGAAGCATCTATACCTTTACGAACGCACGTCAAATTCCGCAAAGAGATCAAGGAGCGCCTACAAGCATTCGAATTGCAAGGCAGCCAGACCGCAGGAGATAGGAATGTCAGTATGACGAGAATATCGCCTAATGGCGAGCTTGTTGCCGCAGGAAATTGGGGTGGCTCCATAAAGCTGATCGGAATACCGACGTTGGAGGAGAAGATGACGCTACGGGGACATACCAACAGAGTTAGTGGTATCTCGTGGTTTCCTGGCGCAACCCTTGCCGAAAATAATGTTTCGCCAGAATCGGTTAATCTAGCTTCAGGAGGAGCTGAGGGCCAGGTAAACCTTTGGTCTTTAAACAAGGACACGCCGCTCTCAACACTAGAAGGACACGGTCAACGAGTATGTCGAGTCGAGTTTCACCCTTCAGGGCGGTATCTCGCTTCAGCATCAGAAGACACTACGTGGCGCCTATGGGATGTCGAGTCGACAACGGAGTTATTACTACAGGAAGGCCACTCGAGGGGTGTCTTCGCTATCAGCTTTAATTCTGACGGTTCGCTACTAGCTAGTGCAGGTTTGGATAGCATCGGCAGAATATGGGACCTAAGGTCTGGAAGAACAGTCATGATTCTAGATGGACATGGAGACGGGCATATCAAACCTATCCATGGCATCGATTGGGGCTCAGATGGTTATCGAGTTTTGACCGGGTCGGCAGACGGCTGGATCAAATGCTGGGACGTAAGGAAAGTCCAGAGGACCGGCGGTATTGGAGCTCATACCAGTGCAGTTTCGGACCTTAGATGGTACAAAGGGTTAGATGATCCTATCCTAGGTACCCCTCCAGGCCTCGACGAGAAGGGAAACCAACTCCCTAAGAAGTCGGGCACGTTTTTCGTTTCTAGCGGATTTGACCGTAAGGTTAATGTCTTTTCTGCCGACGACTGGACTCTCATACAGACCTTGGAAGGACATACTGGGCCGGTTTCGAGTGTAGATATTAGCAGAGATGCGAGATGGATTGTCAGTGGTGGACACGATAGAACAGTTAAGTTGTGGGGTCGAAATGATGGAGAGAGAATTTAGTAAATTGTATTAGGGGAATTGTTGAGGACGAAAGGGAAATACAAGTGAAGCTCGGAAGATACCCAATAAAAATGATCTTGTTGTATAGAGGAGAAAGATCGAGATGGTGAATTAGAGCAAGATATTACAGTGTGAATATACTGTATATAAAGTATACTGTTACTGTATCAGGTATTAACCTCAGAAATGTGTAGGAGGTACCTGCCTCATATCAAGGATTAGTTAGACCCACGCCTATGGGTTCAGTGATGAATCCGATAGAGAAGCAAGGGCGATCTGATAGCAACCATTTAGATTACCATTTCCATCTTACCATCCTACCATCCAACTAGTTCTTTGTAGTAGTTATTTCTTTTACTTCTACATACCTATCTACCTACCTACCTAGGTATCTAACAGAATCTCAACTTTAACGAAAATAATCCAATAAGAAACTACAGAAGAGATGTTTTCGTTAATTAACTCTACTTAAAAAAAGGGTTCCTTTAGGCGACTTACCTAAGGTTTGAATCGCCGTGGGAACTTTGAAGCTTGCAATTGCTTCGCTCAACTCCCCACAACCCACAGGCCACGGGCCACAACGCAATGGCGAGCATCGATCGATACCGACCTCCTCAACGGGAATCATATCAATTTCCACCTGCACCTTCTAGCAAAACCAGTCTTAATAGTTCTTCAAAGTCGCCATCTAGAAGACGCGACATCCCTCCCCCGGCTCCTTCACCACCTACGAACTCGTCGCGCACATCCCCTCCGAGACCACAGTCGCGACGAAGCGCGCCATCTCCTACCCGCTCAGCAACTAGGACACCCCTCACCATGCCAAATCAATGGTATTTTAGCCAGGACGAGGTCCTCAGCAGCCCTAGCATCTTGGATGGATTGTCGCCACAAGAGGAGAGGTTAAGGCGAGCAAAAGGCGTCAACTTTATATACCAAGCTGGCATTCTGCTCGAACTTCCTCAGACTACACTCTACGTTGCCGGCGTGTTCTTTCACCGATTCTTCATGAGATGCAGCATGGTTGAGGAAAAACACGGGATACACCACTATGTGAGTCTACCAATAAACCAAGCCAAACCATCAGTCCAAAAAGACATAACTAATCGTGTCTGGTACAGAACATCGCTGCGACTGCGCTTTTCCTAGCGAACAAGACGGAAGAGAACTGCCGCAAGACCAAAGACATTATTATCGCAGTTGCAAAAGTCGCACAGAAGAATGTTAAGCTCATCGTAGATGAGCAATCTAAAGAATACTGGAGATGGCGTGACAGTATCCTCATGTTTGAGGAGGTTATGCTGGAGAACTTAACCTTCGACCTCATGATTGAAAGCCCGCACTTTAAGTTATACGACTTCCTTGGTCAACTACAGTCGATCCACAATAAGAACCTGCGACATGCCGCTTGGGCCTTCTTAAACGACTCATGCCTAACTACGCTGCCACTCCTCATGGACGCGCGCGATATCGCCATCGCAGCTATCTTCTTCTCCAGCGTTTTCACTGGGGAGCGGATAGAAGACGTGAACGGTGAGGCATGGTGGAAGGCGCTAAATGGCAACGAGGATAACTGTGCGAAGGCAATACTTGTTCTCAAAGACTTCTACATCGAGAACCCCCTACGCAAGCAGGAGAATCCATATTCGCAGTCTCCTGTCTTTATCCTCGATAGTACTCGAAGAAGAGGCGAGGACATCGATATACGTTCAACTAATGGCACTCCTAGAACCGATAGTGCTACTCAGAGCCCCAGGGGCAAAGTTAGCAGTGTTGACGAAGCAGCAGCAGAAAGAGAAATCGACGCGGCTGCTGCCGAGTCCGCCTCCCAGGCTGCCCCGGGTGATTCAGACGTCGTCTTAAAAGAAGCAGCGAATAATCCTGGTACCCACCCAGGGACTAATGGTACTAAGCGGAAAGAAGTCGAATCGCTCGCATCAGAGAGCCGGGACCCGAAACGGCAACGTCTTAGCTCGGATGACGACGAGGGTGAGGTGTATGAATAGGGAACTGCATCATCCCAGGACGACGAGTCGGAAGGGGATAATCAAGGGGAAGAGGAACGACCTAAGTTTGAGTCCGAGTCCGAGTTTGAGCCTGAGCCTGAGCCTGTGGCCTTGGGTGTAGGTGAATCCGACTCAGGATATGCAGCATCGGACGATGAATAACGTTTAAAACGCTTTTTACGCGTTTTCGAGTATCGTGGAACCCAGATATTTTCCAAGTTACTATATCACGAAACAAGCCTACCTATTCCGGTTCAGATTTCTACATTTGGATAGCCGGCGCGATTTCGATCTCTACTACTACTACTACTACCAAACCTGTAATATGATTTACGCACTGGTTAAGGTTATAGGGGTAAATCTGCCGGACTAAGGGAGCAAAAGGCAATACGTTCGGAAATACCTGGTTTGGGTCTTTTTTTCCTTGTTTCCTACACGAGCCTTAAGGCTGCATGCGGCGTTCTCGGCTCAAGGGCAACAGCGGAGTTAATCGCGGCACATTCTGACTTCTCTCGAGGCGAGGGGGCGGCGCGGTGCCGTTTTATTTTCTTCTAGGTTAGGTCTGCAATACCTCTGTTACATTACGTTCTACGGTCAGGTTGTTGTACAGTAGAATGGCATAGGTGCATTGCATTGTGAGGGTGTGAGGGGGTTTGTAGCAGAGGTATCTATCTCCTTAGGGGGGGAGGGTGGCTAAGTGATACCGGGCTTTTTGATAGGCTTCGAGCTATTGAATGCATAAGTCATAATTGTCATATTTCATCTTGTTCGAATGCTTGAGTTTATTAATGCTATGCTTACCATGAGTTCGATTATAGAGCACCATCCGCCATAATGGGTATCGATTCCTTCCGAAAAATGTACATATGTCTATCCTGTCTATCCGTCTTAGACCGCCCAAATGTTCAAGTAAATCGCACGACGCCGCCTTTCCCTCCACGCTGACTCTTAATCTCGTCCATATAGTCAATGACGTCGATCCAGTTACCTATCTCGTTAAGACGTATGCGTTCCTTCTTTGACAGTAGGGCGGCGTTGCGGTCGGGGCCGAAGCCCGGCCCGCACATCTCGTTTAGATGATGTATCGCTAGTTTAAGGGGCAGCGGCGCTCGTGCCACGTTGTTCATGAACACGTCGACGGCCTCCCAGGGACAGGCGTCGTACCCGGCGAAGAGCGCCGGGTTTGCGAGGAGTGCGCGCGCGGACATGAGGCCGGATAGGTTGGGTAAGTTGAGTTTAGGCTTGGAGTTGTTGCCAGTGGTATCGGAGGACGGATCGTTAGAGGTGGTGAATGTGGGCTGGGGGTCTAGGAGGTGAGAAGTATATGGGAGCGTAGACAAGGTGAAGACGTCGCCGGATACGAGGATTGGCAGTTTCGTGCCGAACATAGAGGTGAGCGTCTCGAGTGCCTCGACGTTAATAGGGATACTGCTAGGGGTGTTGCGCGTGCGCGGATGAATGGTGAGCCAGTCGATGTTCCGGTGGTGCTCGTCGCCCAGGACGGTAGTGATGAAGTCTACCGTCTGTCGCAGGTCCTTATGTACTCGAATCTTAACGCTGACGCTACGGCCCACGCGACCGTTAACATCGGAATCGGCACCGGCGAAACTATCTACATCCCACCCGTCGCGCGCAAGCCGCTCCCTCGTCGCAACCACCATATCGCGCACCAGCTCGCGGCGGCCCATCAGCGCAGCACCCAGGGTCTCGGCGCAAGCCCAGCTCTGGGGACACCCGCAGTTGAGGTCGACACCGTTGACGAAGGGGGCAGCGAGGGAGGCGGCGCGCGACAGCTCGACGGGGTCGTTGGCGCCGAACTGGGCTATGGTCGGGACCTCTTCGTGCGCGCGGGTCGACGAGACGGTCAGGTCGCTGTCGCGCGCCACGCGGCTCCGGTTGAACTCCTTGGCTAGGATCATGGGCGTCCAGCATAGGTCTGTGCCGAAGTGGTGCACCGTCTGCCGGAAGGCGAGCTTGCTGTACCGGACCATGGGCGCGCAGGCGTATAGGAGTCGTTTCTGGGATCTGGCTGCGTCGAAGAGCTTGAGGGGGCTGGGGAGATGTGTTAGATAGGATATGGAAATACTAGACAAGATGGGCGTACTGGATCTTGGGCTGGAGGAGCTGAGCTCCGTTTTCTTTTAAGTCCATCTTGGTCACCTGCGTACGCGTTGGGATTTAAGGTGGAACATGTTGCGACAGATATACTTTGTGTACCTGTTATATCCCAATGGCGTTACTATTGTTTGGTGTGGACCTAATATGCTGAAGTCTAAAATTACATCATGCTGATATATGTTCTTGTAAGAGTTGAAATCTGAAGCTAAGAGGTAGTGTACAAGTTAAAAAGAGATATGATCTTGGTGGGGTAGCGGGATGGAGGGGTAGCAAACTTAAAAATATGCAATTAATGCAATTAAACCCTTGTAATAATTCTATATTGTAGATTTGGCCCCGCTATGATCAATAATTTCTACTTCTTGGAGGGGTTTTTCATTCATCACTTATAAGTGACGCTTAATTATTCCAATCTCCTATACCTTCTCTTACAATGGCAGTAAAGAATCCTATCATTGGTCTTCTAGGGGGTGGCCAGCTTGGGCGTATGCTCTGTGAAGCAGCCGGGCCCCTAGGAATACCTATTGCTATCCTCGACGCTGAGGATTGTCCGGCAAAACAGGTTAACCAGAATAGTCTCCACGTTACTGGATCTTTCAAGGACCCGGAGAAGATAAAGCTCCTCGCCTCCCGTGTTGACTTCCTCACGGTTGAGATCGAGCATGTGGAGACGGAAGTGCTAGAAGAAATAGCAACGAAAGGTGTAGAAGTACCTTCGCCTGATGGGAACGGTACAATATTGAAGAAAGTACCCGTGCATCCGTCATGGAAGACCATACGCCTAATCCAAGACAAGTATCAGCAGAAGGAGTACTTCGCTCAAAATGGTATCCCCGTCACTGAACAGATGGCTATAGAGTCCGGAGAGGGCAGAGCCGATTCTCTGGATGAGGCAGCTTGGAAGTATGGATTCCCTTTCATGTTAAAGGGTAGTAAAGGTTCGTACGATGGCCGTGGAAACTTCAAGGTCAGCGGTCCGGAAGACTTGAAGGATATCTCAGAGCAGATGGGAGACCAGCCGCTATATGCGGAAAAGTGGGTGCCTTTCGAAATGGAACTCTCAGTCATGGTATTACGGACAGAGGATGACAACGGCAAGTTAAAGCACGTTTATCCTTATCCAGTCGTCGAAACCATACACGAAGATAGCATATGCACCAAGGTGTTCTATCCGCCACGGGGCATACCGGAAGATGTCAACAAGCGAGCGCAAAAGGTAGCAAGCGATGTCGTAGCCAGCCTTTGGGGTCGAGGAGTCTTCGCTGTAGAGATGTTCTTACTCGCTGACGGCCAAATTCTGGTGAACGAAGTCGCTCCTCGCCCGCATAACTCTGGCCATTTTACTAGTATGTGTTTCCCACTCGTTATACACTCCTATCTTTCGCCTTTACATCCCATTGTAAGCTGGGGGCTCTTTAAGAACCCTTTATTAGCCTTACTCTCCTCCAGGGCTTTCCTAGCGAGTAGTTACTAATTATGAACCTTATAGTTGAGGCCGTACCTCAAATGTCGCAATATAAAGCTCAACTATACTCCATACTGGACCTTATCCCGCAGAAAGGCGCAAATCTCAGCGCGCGAGTGCCTTCTGCAATTATGCTCAACATTCTTGGCGGTGCTCAACCGACTTCTCACAATAGATTCGTGGAGCTTGCGGCGAGCGCATATGATGAATTTACAGATGTATACGTACATCTCTACGGGAAGGAATCGAAGCCGGGGCGGAAAATTGGTCATATAACCGCCACGGGGTTCTCATCCGTTGAACGTCTAGCTGAGACCATAGCCCCTCTCATCAGTATTATGGATGAGATTCGAGCTGAACGCATTGGCTCCAAGAACCCAGCGCAGACAAGAAAGCCACGAGCGAAACCCGTGCCTCTGGTCGCTGTAACTATGGGTTCCGATTCGGATTTGACCACTATGACAGCCGGTCTGAAGATTTTAGATGAGTTTAATGTGCCTTACGAAGTCCGTATTACATCGGCACATCGAACACCACATCATATGATGAAATTCGCGGCGGAAATGCTAAAATCCAGCTGTAAGGTTATCATTGCGGCAGCAGGTTAGTACCTAGAATTTTTCTCGTGTTTATTATAAACCACTCTCGATGTGTGAATCCTGCCTTGGTTGGCAGAACCAATGAGTATAACCCACATATTCATCATCCCCAGTTGTCCACCAAAACGACGAATAGGGTCTTTACTAATATTCGGAAACAGGGGGTGCTGCGCACTTGCCGGGTATGCTCGCGTCTGAAGTGCATATTCCAGTAATAGGCGTTCCTGTGAAGGCATCGGTGCTAGATGGTGTCGATAGTTTGCACAGCATCGTACAGATGCCAAGGGGCATACCCTGCGCTACAGTCGGAATCGGGAACTCGACCAACGCCGCGCTGCTCGCGATCCGGATTTTAGGTAGCGCGTACCCAGAATATGCGGAGCGTATGAAACGCTACCAGGACGATATGAAAAACGAGGTGCTAGCTAAGGACGAGAGGATACAATCTGTGGGCTGGCAGCAATATCTACAGGGGATGCAGAAAAAAAAAGAGCCACAGATTCCCTATGGCGGGCCTAGTGTGGATCACATAACCCCGTCGGTGTAAAATTCGCCCATAGTCGGATTTACGGGGAATATCATCAGTATATCTGTATATTACTACCTACCTCACATTATATTGGTACACACTTGTTTCATGTGATTACTACTTGGGCTATATACCTGAGACTCAGCTACTTACTGGGCTTCAAAACTCAGAGCAGAACCCAGAACGTTCTCGACCAATAAAGAATAACCTATGATGTTATAAATAATTAAACTAGGTATTCGATCCTCGTACATACGACCTGGATCACTTGAACGACAAGGAATCTAAGGAGAGTATTTTGCGTAATGATATATATTAAAATTACGTAATTATATTAAAGGTTTAAGTAAACTATAAGAACTAAGGTTATGGCTAAACCGTAGGGGATCTGTAGTATCACGTCTGTACGGATTACCCCACATGTATATAAAGCTAGATCCTCCCTCTCGTAACTTAGCCAATACATCATCAACATAGAATACAACACATATCGTGATATGTAGTCTCCAGTTCCCGCCAACCCGAGACCGGGCCCGGCATCCTTAACGCCAAACAAGTTGACATATGTACTCGAGCATTTGGGATGGACTCGTATCGATATATCTATAAGGCTGGTAAAAGGTTAATAGGGTCTTGATAAAATTAGGGCTGAATAATATTTGAGTAATAGGTTGATAGGCATGTAAAGGCACTGTATGTAATGATGAATAATCTGGCTCTCTTAAAGCCGCAAAGACCATCGTGGTGATGCCTCATACAGTAACTGCATGTGTCCAGGGTGTATGATCTTCGGGATGATTTATGTGACCAACTTGGCAAACTAGAACTCATTACGGAAGGTTAATATCTGCAAAAATGCGTGGTTTAATCAGCTCTCACTCTAGAGTACCTAAGGGGCTAGAATCGTCGGGATTTTGCGTGTGGAGGTATTGGAAAGCCGAGATGCTAAAGCCGTCCCGCAAAAACCGTGCCGTTGACGTGGTATGCGCGCGCTATCACTGCTACCATATTGCGCCAGGCATGATTCTATTCAATGTCCCGAAGACAGGTAGGTTTGATATAAAAGGCCTCGCCGCCGCGATGGCTGAACGAGATTTGAATCACATCGAACTCCCAAACCTTCACAGTTGACCTACAAGCTCCTGAGAGACTCATCGACGATCCCTAAAAGAAAGAACAGACGAAACAGCGAATATGCCTACGCTAGTTGGAAAAGAAGTCGGGCCTACGGGGTATGGGTTGATGGGCCTGACCTGGAGGACGGAACCTCTCTCGGACGAGAAGGCTTTCGAAGCGATGAAGGCCGCGCTGAAAAATGGGATGAACTTCTGGAACGGCGGCGAGTTCTACGGACCGCCCGAGGGAAATTCTCTCGTACTATTGGAGCGTTACTTCGCAAAGTACCCCGAAGACGCCGAAAAGGTCGTGCTTAGTATCAAAGGCGGCATGGACCCCCACGGACTTGGACCTGATGGTTCACCGGAGGGCACTCGTCGGTCTATCGACAACTGTATTGCCCAACTCAAGGGCCGCAAGAAGATCGACATCTTCGAGTTTGCGCGCCGTGACCCCAAAGTGCCTCTAAGTGTGACCTTTGGAGTTATCGAGAAGGAGTGTAAGTCCTCGACCCTTGTACACATTCAGAGTTCTTAAAAATATACTGATATGTACTAGACGTCCAAACGGGCAAGATCGGAGGTATCTCGCTTTCTGAGGTTAGGGCCGAGACGATCCACGAGGCTGTGAAGATAACGAAGATCGTGGGGGTTGAGGTCGAACTCTCACTGTAAGTGTATACTACCAAGATTACCAAGATGTTCCGCAAAAACGTAACAAAACCGGTGAGCTAACGGACCCGTGAAGATTCAGTAGGGAGGTTCTCGACAACGGTGTAGCCGACGCGTGCGCACAGTACGACATCCCGCTGATCGCTTACTCTCCCATTGGCCGAGGTTTCTTGACGGGCCAAATAAAGTCGCTAGATGATGTGAAGCCGGAGCTCCGGTCCTGGCCGTGGTTCCAGCCGGGCAACTTCGAGGTCAACCTGCAGCTGGCATCACAGGTCGAGGAGCTGGCCAAGAAGAAGGGTGTAACTCCAGCCCAGCTAGCTATCAGCTGGACCATACGCGTATCATCCTGGCGCAAAGGCGCTCCTAAGACCATCATCCCGATCCCCGGTGCCACGACGGCGGCCCGTGTCGACGAGAACGCCGTACAAGTGGATATCTCGGACGAGGAGATGGCTCAGATCGATACTACGCTCTCTAAATTCAAGCCTAGCGGTGGCCGGTACCCAGACGTTATCCCTGTTAACACGTAAATCCAGAAGGATAGGATTGAATGGGATTTGGAACCTTGATGGTATTGTTGCTTATGTTAGATACCGTTGTTTGCAACGTCAAACGCCAAATGACAAACACCGCTCCGTCACATATTATATTGGTTATCAGATGTTTGTACATGCCTACCTCTCCATATAGACCATAATAACAACTGTACTTCCAAAGATCTAACAAAGGCCACACTGGCCGTGATCTAGTAGTGTATTCAACTTGTACATTTACCCCTGTGTATCAATGTTCGAGTAGATTGACTTTAGATGCAAGGGTTCGATTCCCTTGGTGGCTACATTTTTTCTTCTTATTCTTTCTTTCCCCCTACTATTTTGTTCACGTTCGTTGCTATTGCACATCTTTGGAGAGCTTCCTAATAGTTTGTTTTATTGAAATAGAGATCTATATCTCCTAGGACCTAATCGCCACTTGGGTTGACTTATGCTGCGTACATATATCTCCAATTTCTCGCCTTGTAATAGCTCAACGCCCTTAGAGGCCTATTTTCATGGTTAGTTTACTAACGTTATAAGAATAAGACTCATACGTTGACGGACACCACTATCAGGCAAGAAAGTCTCCACAGATTAGCAAGCCTGGAGAGGCTGCTCTTAAGCATTGCAGAATTCTTGGTATTGCTCATCACTTAGTGATTAAGGAAAGAGGTGAAATCAGATGACTGTAAGAATGCACTTACATTAAGAGGAATGCGAGTTGGTAGTTGGTGAGTATCCTAGATATGGAAGTTAGATCAATATACTCGTCGATGACGAACCATTAAAAGGAGCCAACGCGACAATATTGCTCTGTTTGCTCTCTCTGCTACCTGAACTGGCATGGAACCTGGCATGTTCTACATATCAAGCAGATCATAGTAGATTATGACTTGTTTAAGTCGCTGGCAGAAGGAACTCATACAAAAATCATGAGAAGAGGTTGAACTTGGAGCTATGTGAAAAGTGCTGTGAAAATTGCTGTGAAATGAAAATTCCCATGGTCAAGTAAATATGGGGCTCATTAGGTAGTTTGGCTCCACAGGCCAATGAGCAACCTCGGAAATTTATCATAACTCCTCTTTTAAAGCGATATCCACTTAATGTACTTTACCTGTTTATGGAATAGCGCAGGTTTGCATCTCCACTCTCCACTCGTAAAACATGAAAAACGGTGCAAATGTCGAGTCGCGAAAAGGCAAAAGAGCCTTGAACCAATCTTGCCTTTATTGGTGCGATATTATTAGTAGTGCGTTCGAGCGGTCCGTCCCAATGCGTCGGGAGTTCCGCCGGTTTCCATTCTAGGCTTCTTTCCAATGCCTGCATCTTCTACAGATTAGGTCCCATTGATAAACAGCAATGCGAGATGGGCATTGTCAATAGTGTAGATTGATCACCATAATGTTGATGATCTATCTCGTGAACCTTGTTGTCGCACATCTTTTCTATCTGCATAAGGTATGTGACAGTAGCCCCCTTATTACATAGTAGAATATAGTAACTGTACGTGCCAGATTATAGATTACTTGCATATAGCATGCCGCATTGAAACGTGACAAGGGGTCAATAGCATACCTCTTCGTCCTATTGCACGTCTGTTTCCTACCCCTTATTCACAATCACAGCATCACGGGAATTTTTGCAACTTATGAGGATCCTAGCTTGCTGCGTGCTTGAATGTAGAAGCTCGTTCTTTGGGCTGATGGAATGAATAAACCCGGTTTATTCATTTTGCTATGCATGGAGCTTTTACCGAGCACACTTTAGCCTACATACCTTAGGTACCTACCTAGGAGGTACCTAATCTTTGGTGTCCTTTTTTCTCTATTTGAATGCGAAGATCTGGCAATCCAAAGCCGGCAGGTGTAATGCCGGCTTACGCTAACAAAATTTAGGGTCTGGGTGATCTAAGAACTAAAAGGAGGCTTCGTCATTTCAGGTGTCTCCACCGTGTTAGACAGCCAATTAATTAACTAGGATCCAGAGCTAGCTTGGCTTCTGTCTGGTCAGGTACGGGCAGCATTGAGCATCCAATTAAAGTAGTTGCGCTAATATACGTGAAGTAGATCCAATACAATTATACACCCACAGTACCTACCAGGTTGAACCCAATAGCCAGCCTCGCGCTCCTTTGCCTGCTTTGCCTGCAGTCCGAATTACAATTACCCTCCAAGACAGACACCCGACGAGAACGCCGGTGTGACCACGATTTTGATCAGGGAAGAGGACATTCGAATCGATCGACATCGACATCGACATCGACATCACTATCGCCATCACCATCGCCATTACCATCGCTATCGGCGTACTTCGAACTCGGGGTGAAGAACACAGCAGTTAATACTTCTGGATATTGGGATTGGAAAGAATATTGATATTGGCTTTTTCTATCATTTCCGCTATGATAATCCTTGGTATTCGTCAAGCCGCCGCCTTCGAATACTCTTGACGGCATCTGTGCCTAAGGTTTCGCGGGTTCGCAATTACTTGTCTGAACGAACCTTACTCTGTCCGAATTGGCTTACATGTGATTCGATACCCGTCGCAACCTAATATCGCTTTGATTTACTCTCGAGTCCTACAAAATTACGAATTTGCACAGGCTCTTTTGCTCTTTGGGGTACTTTGGATACACCGGTATCAACCTAATTGATACGCTCGCATCTGCCCGCGAAAGGCGGTGCGGCTAATTGCAGTCTGCAGGTTGTCTTAATCTGTTACCTGCTTCTACTAGACTCTAGTCATCATCACCTCGCAGAGGGTTTTTTTTTGTTTGCGAATACCCTTCGTCGGTGTCCTGCGCGAACGACAAACTTCTACGATATCTAATATAATAATTAACCGGCCTCATGTCGCCAACGCGAATAGTTACTACTCCGCCAGCCCAGGCCCAGGCCTCGGGATCGGGATCCGGCTCCATGTCTTATCCGCCTCTGCCGGCGTCGCCTACGCTGACGAACCCAGATATGATATTACCAGATTACGAAGATACCTACTCTTCCCCAGATAGATCACAGTCGCCTTTGACTATGTGGAAGAATACACAAATTGCCAGTATGAGCTTTGATCTTACTCCTCAAGCCTTCACAGGGCCCGTCACCCCTACTACCCCCATCATATACGGAAACGGGACGATGCTTTCGGATATTGGTGAGGTTACAGAGGTTGAGAGTACCTGTCCTCCGAATAAGACACGATCCGGGTCTACGCGTAGTGGCGATTCGATACAACCGGCATCCATGATGCATTACGAGACGCTGAAGAAGAAGGATTCGAAACTTTCTCGCGATAGGCGAGCATCAATGGACTCGACAAGTACCATTACCACCCACGAGCAAGCTGCATTATTTGCCGACTTTGACGATACTGTCAGTGTCGATGACAGCAACTTTCAAGGTGATGACGAAGAAAGTGTTGCCGATTCGTTCATCGACGATGCATCTGTTCAGGGACATGTCTTACCAAGTAGTGAGGTCCGGGCTAGAATTGGAGAAGAGCGCTACTCAACTGCGCTGAGTCGAAGAGCGGAGCAGATTTTAGCAAATGCCAAACGACGATTGACGGTAAGTAGCCTTGAATTATAGTTGATCTTCTTGTTTATCTGACGCATAATAGACCATGGAAGGAAATTTGAACCGGGCACGAACCCTGCACTCCCCTACCCTATCTACTGATTCAGGTTCAACAGCTTCACCCACCATGTCTCGGCCTACAACTGCACTCCACCGCGATCACGATTCCACTCGCCGCAAGAGTGGGCATGGCCACACGAGAATATCTAGCGAGAACAATATTCCTACCCTTCCGCTTGATGTGATTAAGCCAGGTGTATATGTGCCGAGATCTTCGAGTGCCTTGGGTGCAGCAGGTGGATATCGGCCACCTCTCCACAGCCCTCGTAGCGCGGATTACATCAATGAGGGTGCTAAAACATCTTTCTATGCTAAGGAGTCTATCCTCGAACCATTAAGCGAGGATGATGCCTCGCAAGAGGTGGATTCGTCAAGACCGAGTTTGGAGAATTCGAGATTGGATACATTTCTAAGTCCGACTTTTGGGTCTTACACTGACAAGGGGCTAAGAAGATCTGCGTCAACAGCACAAATGCGAGATCTAAAAGACCAGATGAAAGATCTCAAAGGAAGACTGTCCACGCTAAGGGACCAAGCCCGAGCGGATAGCTTAAAGCGTCAAAGTAACCAAAACCTGCGAACACCTAGTCCTTTCACGCACGCTCGGGTTGACCAGTGGTATGCTGACACGGCACAATATGAGGACGACAGTCCTATTCATAGCGGTTATCAGTCGCAGCAATCGAATGATGATGTTTCAAGTATCGATGTTAACGAGGGGCGTTTGGCGGCGAAACGTGTGATACTTGAAACTGATGAGCAGGTCCCGAAGGATATCTCCACGGAGGAAATCGTTCCAGTGCAGTCAAAGGGCATTGAAAGTAGTTCTCATTCACCTGAAAATGACGACCCATCAATAATTAACCAAGTAGAGGATGACTTTGATATGAAAACAGAGGATGGTTACGATGACAGTGATGGGACAGAGAAAGGCGAGGAGCAGCAGGAACAAGTGGAGCTAGAAGAGAACCACGAACAGGACCTGGTAGATGATAGTGCAAGCGAGAGTGGCGCGTCTTCGTATTACGATTCCGTCCAAAACCAGGTTTCTCATGAGGATCGCGAGGATGCTTTCGACTATGAGCATTTCTTCCTGCACAGCGCAATGGGTAGTATGAGCCGAAGTAGGTTGAGAAGCAAGGGCAGCCGCGAGAGTTTTAGCTCCGAAGACTCGGTAGAGACGACCCGAGGACCAGTTGCATCCACCAACATGACATCTTCCAGTAAGATAGGAAGGCATTCTCGCAGAGGCAGTACCGGCTCGATCTCATCCGTAGACTCGTTTGCAACAGCTACAGAGGGTCGGAGTACGAGGACAGAACATTTTGTGGAGGTCTACAGTGAGTACGGCGTCATAGTACCCAAACGTGCCCGAACGCATACGCCAGATACGGCAAAACGAGCTGGCTTTTCCACCGAGACGAGCGATTCTAGTTCCGATAAGAGTCGATTTAGACACTCCGATATCCGACGACCGCAGAGTAGCGCGGCAGCATTCATGCATCGTCCTTCGGTATCGTCGTTAGACTCGAATAAGACACATAGGAGCTTCCCTTTGGTGAATAAGCCGAATGTTAAAGGTGGCATGTTAACGCCACGAGAATCACCGGACCGGGAGTTGGAGCAAATCTCGGAAGTTATTCTGAACGAGAGTGCCTCCAGCAGCCAGAGCGGAGATAGTAGAGCAACTCCGATTGAGATGCTACAAAAAGACGATCGAATACTTGTTGAACGTCTGGTTGCCAGCCTTGGCCGATGTGTTCTCGGTTTGGCCGAATCCGGCCGCGGTACAGCTGAGTATCGGGCGTACCGGAGGAAAATAGAGGTGGCGAGACGAGCTTTGGAGGGTTTGGACGGATCCGCGTAATACTTAATGCACATCTGATCAGGCGTTTGCGAATTATACCATTTGATAGGCGCACCGTGTTCATCGAGCGAGGCTGCGAGAGCTTTTCCTTTTTTATTCCCCTTTTTAGGACATAATGCTTTGGTACTTGTGTCTTTTATTGTCAAGGAGTTCATCATATGGATTACGATTATGAGGAAGAGGAAAAAGAAGACTCTTTTCTACATTATAGTACTCTTTGATCCATATGGCCCATGGATTAATTTTTAGGAGAGTTCATCGGGTTAGTCACAGTAGCGATGGCTTTTACATAGCATAACTCTTCGATACCCTCGGCCGATATGTAGCCGTTTTATTTATAGCTATTGCTTAAAAGTTATAGTCCGTATATAATTAAATCTTAAACCGAAACAGCATGGTTGTAAATTACGTGTATAATATTAAATTATTCTGGTGATATATTCGATTATATTGCACAAAGTTAAACAAGCCACCTGGCAGGTTTGTCGCAATATTGACAAACAATCTGCAATAAGTGAATTAAACCGTTTAATAGACTCGAGGCAATAAATTAGGCCGCACTCTGTACTGGAATAAATGCATAGATTGGGGGCTTGTAGCTGCCTTTTAGTTTAACATCACCTGTTCTTTCTTACTAATGAATCTTACCTGTATCAAGACTGCACCTTCCTTCTAGACAACCATTTATTTATTTAATACATCCCCATAGGTACCTACCTATACATTCTTGTAATGGCATCGCCGTGATATCTCACCCTAAATATGGACTGAACACCCTTCCAAGTCGTAATTCTATCGCCGAGGCCACCCATGGATAGGATCTGCTTTCACTAACACGGCTCCAGTATTACCAACTGCTGCAATGGCGTCTGCAATAGACATCCCAGGGCTCAACAAATACATCCCTGCTGGCTGTCTTAAGTTATCCATGGATGATACCAACCTAATACCACCTAAATCCTGGGAAACATTGAAGCCGCAGTCATGGAAGTTCTTTTCCCGGCGTCTTGATGATATCCCTGAGCCTGCCTGTCTTCCAAGTCAAGCACAGGAAGCGCTCCTAAGACTACCTTTATTGCAACCATTTGTAGCATCATGGCAAAGTCGATGGATTCAGATTTCTTTTAGTTTTACCTCCCATATCAACAGCAGTGGTCGCATTCGAGTTTACATCCTCCCTCAAGATGTTGACAGAAGCACTATCGATCTTAGAAATGAGCTGACGAGAGCAATGTCCCTACTCATATCCCAGCTTGACTTTTCATTGAAATCATGGAATGGAGAGGAAGATAATCATGAGAAGCCAATGCCCCAGAGCGAAGGTCTGCCTGATGGCGAGCTCACATCCCTCTTGACCATGTTCAACAATGTTCCTTCTCCCGACCCCCTTCCCGAGTTAGAAACCAACCCTGATACCCGAGACGGGATGCAGTGCTTGCTAGAGAGTCAGGTTCCTGGTCTAACTACGAAGCTTTACCCCTACCAAGGCAGGTCAGCAGCACTTATGCTTCAACGCGAAGAAAATCCTGGCAGGATTGTCGATCCCCGGTTTCGATCAGTGCTTGACCAGGAAGGACGGCCTTGGTACTTTGACAATGTCTCAGGCATCGTTTTGAGAGAACCTAGATATTATGATAGAGTGCGTGGCGGGATCCTTGCCGAAGAAAGTAAGTAAAACCAGAATGTCTTAGCAACCCTCCGCCTCTTATTTCAACCGCACCCTATATCTGTTCTGTATTAGAAACTGTGACCGTGTGAATAAATCTCCTGACAGCCTACCAAGCAATTATTAGTCTTCTTGAATGGAAATCACTAACTATTGCTATAGTGGGTACTGGCAAGACCCTTATATGTCTAGCCCTTATTCTGTGTACAAAAAGTGAACCGACAAAAGCTCCAGAACCCTTTGTGGCTCAAGTTCCGTCCAGATTAAAAAGTGCAAGCTTGCTTGACATGGCTGCAGCCACTGCAAACAAGAATTCCATAGCATGGAAGCCATATTTCGAGGCATCTGCTGCTCAATTCGGCTACGAATACCAGAACTGCATAGACGCCTTGACCCGGCTGGAAAATCGTGCATTATATAAGGTACAGAACACCTTAGTAGAACCAAGAAGAAGTAACAGAACCACGCCTCGAATTGTACCACCCAAAGAAGTCTATCTGAGCCATGCCACGCTCGTTATTGTCCCTAACAATCTTGTTAAACAATGGCAGAATGAAATGAAGAAGCATACAGCCGGTTTAAACACTCTTGTGCTCGTAGAGAAGCAAGCTATTCCACCGGTGACTGCCTTGTTAAGTTACGACTTGATCCTCTTTTCCGAGAGTCGCTTCGAGTGGATCCAGAGGGAGCGATCAAATAAGGAGGGGCCAACTTCAGATATTTATTGTCCGCTCGAATACATTCGGTTTAAACGATGTATCATTGACGAAGGCCACAAGTTGGGAAATAAGAGTCGGAGCTGGAAGAGCGATGTTATGAGAGTCCTCGACCGTCTTGAGATTGCCGCCCGATGGGTCGTCACAGGGACTCCTTCGAGGGGTCTCTATGGTGTTGAACAGCAGTCTTCCGAGACGAAAGATAAGAGTAACAACGAGGGCTCAAAAGGGAGGATGCAGTCTACCTTACGACAAGAAAGGGAGGATCTACAGAGAATTGGCAACCTTGCGGCAAAGTACCTTAAGGTTCGCCCGTGGGCGAACACGAAGGACGAGGCTGGCGATAGTGTAGCGGATTGGAACACGTATGTGATGCATCCAGAGCAGCACGCCAAGGGCCATAATCGCAAAGATTGTTTAAGGACGGCTCTCGATTCGCTGATCATTCGTCATCAGCTTTCGGATATCAGCACGCTACTCCCCCCAGTAGAAGAAAAGATCGTGCTACTCGATGGCTCGTTCCAGGATAAGCTGTCTCTAAATCTCTTTTCAATGATGATCATTTTCAACTCAGTGCAGTCGCAGCGGACAGATATGGATTACTTCTTCCACGAGAGGCAGCGTAAGAGTCTTGCCCAACTCGTTAGGAACTTAAGGCAAGCCTGCTTTTTTGGCGGCGTATTTTACTCAGCTGAAGATATAGCGAAAGCATTGGAGACCGCAGAAGGCTTTCTTGAGAAGAAGGATATTCCTATCAGTGGCGAGGACGAGGACCTACTGAGACAGGCAATCGACTTCGGTAAAATCGCGGTGAACAACCGGTTAAAAGATGTAAGCAACACATTCCACGCCATGCCGTTGTATATCGACAACTTTCCTGGGGGTGGCGGAAAGAACTGGTCGCTTGATGATTCGGACGCCGGTGGTCAACCAATTTGTACTGATGCTGGGATGGTACACGCACTGCAGAGGTTCTTGAATCCCTGCATTGACGCTCCAACATCTCTGCAGCTTATGATAGAAAGCGGTCGTCTTGATCAACAAGGTGCGGCCGAGCGCTCTCAGGCCTTAATGGCAGCAATGGATGCCGCCGGTTACGTCGCAACGCAACCAAGCCAGGCTTCGGCCTTAGCGGGAAACACCGCTCTTGGGGGTGATTATCATGCGATACCGAAATCAGGTACATTAGGGAACGCAACACAGCCGCTCATCGAGAGCGCGCAAGGAATTGGAACAGAACCAGGGGGTCATGTTAAGGTCGCGGAGCCTTTAGCGAAGACTAGAATTATCTCGACAGTTTCGGCCAAGCTATCCTACCTCATCGATTCTATCGTCAAGTACCAAATTGAGGAGCAGATCATTGTTTTCTATGACAACGAAAACATTGCATATTACTTGGCTGGCATGCTAGAAATTGTAAGAGATTGCTTCCCCGTCCGCTTGTTAGTACATCTACTTAACTACTTGAATTATAGCTACAGATTCAACATTTAATCTATGCAAGGGCCGGTCTTAGTGCAGACAGGCGTGCACAATATGTTGCAACTTTCACACACAATCCGAAGTTTCGGGTTCTTCTGATGGATATAAGCCAAGCAGCATTCGGTCTCGATATGCGCTCTGCGTCACGAATTTACTTCATCAGCCCAGTATTGAATCCTCAGGTCGAAGCGCAGGCTATCGGAAGAGCGCGACGGATCAGCCAGCAGAAGCCGGTGTCCGTCGAGACTCTTGTTTTAAGAAATAGCATTGAGGAGGTCATTGTCAATCGCCGAAAGGAGATGACATATGCGGAGCACAGCAAAGTCAAGTCGATCTTGGACGATAGACTTATATACCGATGGATCCTGAATGCGAAGATAATACCTTTGCCTGATGAAGAAGATGGTGTTGCCCAAACTGCGATGTTGGAAACTCCGCAATATGTTTTTGGTAGAGGATCCGGTCGCGAGCTTCACCCTGATGAGGGATTGATCACAGGTAGTCCGGACACTAAAGCAAGGCCAGACGCCACCACATCAATAGACAGACCTGCCCCCGTCCCTTTCAGGATAAATAAAGGCATGAAACGGATGCATAGTCTGTCATCGACGACTGGCGAATCGTTAAGTAAGAGCAGCGATACCGAGGTACACGAACGACCACCAAAACGCAGCGCCAGAGTAGCTTTCGCAGTTTAGGGTGGATCTATGTGACGACGTCTTTCTACTTGTCATGATATTTGGTCTAAAATTCAAGATTCAATCTCAACACTATACCAATCTGGAGAGGATATACCATAAGAGAATAAGAGAATCGCAAGGTATTTATTCACTCACATACATAACGGCTGTTATACCGTAGAATTTCGGAATATCAGGCGCATCATTGATGTTACTACCATGGTCTTCGCTTTAGTTGCTATTGACTCGAGATGCTTACTTGCCGATGATATTAAGGAGTGATTATACCTATAAGGAGTGGTTGAAGTTAGCCCCTTTTTAAGTAATTGCCCTTAATATAGCTGATTAATAAGATTAATTGCAACTAATTAAATCGTAATCCGTAACATCGCAGCTTACTACTTGCTACTGCTAAAAGATTGGTTAAGAATGCCGCGTGGTGCTATTACATGTAGGTATATGAATAGATACGTGGATAACTGTTGGGTGGCTATGTTGAGCTTTCCTCCATCGGGAATATCAGGTAGTATATTAATGTAGCAGTGGGCTACTGTAGGTGCCGTACAGCTCTGTCACTACTTGTTTCAGCTTACGCCCCTAAACTATACTTTTATATAGGAGGTTGCTTCAAATCCTACCATGCATGCTTACCTGAATATTATTACCGGCAGATTATTACCGGCCTGATATATATCTTAACATTTTAATAGTCCAATACATGACCCCATTCTTCCAAGCAGGCACTCTCCATAATTTTAACGATGAATTAGTCAATTCTGTCAATATCTCGTCCTTAGCATCGGCTGGCTTAATTCAGAATGGATGCTACATCTAGCGTCATTTCCATTCTTCAACTATCCCTGAGTGTAATGCGATATATCCAGGACGTCAAAGATGGCGGGAAAGAAAGATCCGACCTTACAGCTGAAGTTCTATCCATCTATGAAATTGTATTGGGAATGAAAGATGATTTTGATTCTCATGATTTAGAAGATGAAAGTACCTGGTCTGGTCCTATTAAACTCTTGTTCGAGCATGGGGGTACCATCGAGCAGGTGAAGGCGGTTATGGAGGAGCTGACTGCTAAGATTGTAACATCTCGTGGGACACTTAATGCTGTTGGGAGGAAATTAAAATGGCCCTTTGAAAAGTCGGAGGTGAAGCAGCTACTGGACCGCCTACGATCATCTAGGGACACTATCAGCGTTGCTCTCACCAGATCTCATTTAAAGGTCGGTCTCGAAAATAGGGCCAATATCCAGCATCTAAACCATGCACTCAAGACGACCGAGCTCGAGACTGCTATAAAATGGATCTCAACTCTGGACTTCAGAGCGTCGCAAAGAGCAGGTCAAATGCAGCGTCTTCCCGGCACCGGGATTTGGTTTCTCAATAGTCCTCAAGTGCGAGGATGGTCAGAGTGCAGAACTACAGCACTCTGGTGTCATGGTCTACCAGGAGTCGGCAAAACAATCTTGGCTTCTACCATTTTTCAGCAACTTGAAGAGCAATATATTGAAAAGAATGTCGCTATTCTGGTTGCTTATTGCTCCTTTGATGACGAGAATACGCACTCGACTTATAGCATACTATCAAGTTTTATTCGGCAAATCGTGGAAAAGAAGGGAGAAATGTCAGATGCTATTAAGGACATGTATGCCGAACACTCTCAAAGCCATACACAATCTCGCCCAAGTTTGGGTCAGTTGATCAACTCGTTATCTGCAGAGATCGGGATGTTCGAGAAAACCTTCATCATCGTCGACGGTCTCGATGAAGTACCAAACGACAAGCACAAGACTGAACTTCTTCAGACAATAGAATCTCTGAACCCGCTCCCACAGCTGATGGTGACGTCTCGTCCAGTGTCGTCTATCTCCACTTGGTTCAAAGAGCGTTCTAGTAAAAATAAATATAGAATTTTTGAAGAGCCGCATGAGGATGACCAGTCGAGGTATCACTGCGCTAACTGCGATGGGTCTACGGAGACAGAGACTTTGGGTTCCTCTACCGAGAAGGAGAGCAGCGTGGCTAAAGTTAACAAGGGCACGCCACCAATTCAAGATGACCAAAGCTGGAGGACACAAGCGGCGTATCGATGCGAAAAATGCGATCGTTATGTGTGTGTCAATTGTTACGAGAAATTCGACATCTGCTTCGGTTGCTCCAACAAGAAAGCATGCTTCAAATGGACTTGGCCCGGATCTGTTACAATTTCCGCACATCCGAGAGATATCGATACTTTTATAACCTGGAGAATTCAGAACAGCCAGATACTAACAACACTGATTGAGAACACACAGGGAAAGGTGAACGACCTACCAGCCACCATCGCGGCTCGCGTACGAGAAGAGGCCCATGGAATGTGAGTAATATACATAATACGGAGTATGAAATGTAAGTACTGTATTAACGAATCATGTGGTAGATTTCTGCTCGCAAAGTTTCATATGAATGCATTGGAGGAACAGACAACTGCTAGAGAAATCATCGACACCCTTGAGAGGCTACCTTCCAACATCAAGGAGATATACGACAACGTATTCAGACGCATTGGAAATCTCCGATGGGCCAAGAAGCTAAAGAAGCTCATCACGATAGTTGCTACAGCCAGGAAATTATTGTCGACGGAAGCCCTCGCACATGCCATTGTCGTAAATCCCGGAGATGATGATATAGATCCTTACGATTTATCTAACATTCAACATTTATCTTCGATGTGTGCAGGGCTGATCGATATTGATCACTCAGGTTTCGTCAGACTTGCACACGAGACTGTAGGATTCTATATCGCGCAAAACGGTCTGGAGACATGGAGCGACGGTCATGGAATGATGGCTGATATTTGTCTGGTATATCTCCAATTTAAGACATTCTCATCCGGCGCCTGTATGGGGTCTGATCATAAAGATCTAATCGACGAGCGTCGGCATGAATACCCCTTTCTGACTTATGCCGCAACCAACTGGGGCCATCATGCGCGCGAAACAACAAATCCTCAAACGGCACAATTGACTAATGATTTCCTGGGCAAGCAAGCTCATATAGCAGCAGCAGCACAGATAATGTGGATAGACGATATGGAAACGTCGTCTGGGTGGGACGCCGAGGATGGTGTTCATGGTCTACATGTTGCCTCATATTTCGGCCTTTCAGACGCCGTATCGGTTCTCCTATCTTCCGGCATAGATGCTGATGTAGAGGACTGTCTACAAACTACTCCGCTTATGTATGCGGCACAGGAGGGTCATACCGATATAGTGCGTACACTACTACGAGCGGGCGCAAATCCCGGACGCATCTGTGGGAGAAATCGCACCGTACTTCACAGGGTATGTCTCAAGAATACTAGTCAACATATCAACATCGTTAAACAAATAGTTTCATCCACCAAAGATATATCTATCAACGCATTTGATGTGAACTATGGGGGCGGGACGGCCTTGATGCACGCAGTGTTTACTGAATGCGAAGAGTCCGTGAAGCTTTTGCTCACACGCAAGGACATCGATGTTGGCCTACAAAAACCTAACAAACCTCGCAACAATGCATTACTCATCGCTGTTATATACGGCTGTCATGAACTTGTAGAAACTCTACTAGACGATGGTAGAGTCTCTATTGAGTCGATGAATTTGTCTGGCCAAACCGCGTTAAACCTGGCTGCGTCGAAAGGATATCTATCTATCGTGGAGTTGTTGCTCGGCCGTGGTGCCAACATAGATACTGGAGATATGTATGAGGGTCCACCGCTGCTTCGCGCCATCGATAATAACCGCCTAGAATGTGTTCGGCTCTTAATAGAACGCGGTGTCAACTACAGATTCAAAGATTCCCTCGGGCGCGGCGCGTTACATGCGTGTGCTATCAATAAACGAGGCGTGATCATGAGGTACCTTCTGAAGAATCTAGATCTCGACCCGAACGTCCAAGGCAATGGTGGCGAAACACCGTTACATGACGCCGTAGGAGCGAACTCAGTGGCAATAACCAAAATATTGCTCGAATACGGGGCTCGCACAGATATTGAAGATAAGATGGGAAGGACACCACTTGTTAGAGCCCGTGATCTTCAACGCGACAGACTCTTCTCTATATTAAAAAAGGCTAGGAAGAAGGAGCCTAAGGTGATGAAGGATGAGGATACGGACCCTTTAACAATTCCTAAACATCCTGCGAGGGCTGATACACTAAGTGAAGAATACAAACTTCCTATTCACTCAGTCGTGCGGCATTACTCTCGAAAGGAGCTTGAGAAATATCTATCAGACCTTGGTCCTCAAGCAGACGAGGCTATTAACCAAACAGACAGCGTGGACTTGAAGACACCTCTACATTTTGCAGCACGGTTCGGCAGGGTAGATAGCATGCGTCTTCTCCTCGAAAGGGGGGCTAGCGTCGGACCTAAGGACCGTTGGGGATACACGCCCTTGCACATTGCAGTCGACTTCGGCCAGCTCGAAGCCATAGAGTTCCTACTCCAAAACGGGTGCGAAGTTAACGAAAAAGACCTCCTAGGAAGAACTCCTTTGATGTTTGCTATAGACCACCAAGTGGCTAGAGCAAATTGTGCCTTCTTGCTCCTCCGACATAACGCAACTTTCCAAAATCCCGAAGGGGGTTTGCTTCTACCATTACTTAGCTATGCTATCGACTGCAATGAAATCGATATTGTCAAAATACTTATTGAGGGAGGGGTTCCATTCCGGATCAGAGACCAAAATCTCCTAACGCCGTATCAACGTGCAAAGCGAGCAGGGCACCAGGCGATTGCCCAGTACATTTACGACAGGGCCGTGGGAGATAAGAGCTACAGGGCTTCAAATGAATCGATAGACACGATTCATGGCCAATTAGAGGCGGCCGATGCCCAAGGCACGAGTATCCCGAATTTCAATATGGAGAAGGGCAAATCAGGGGGTGAACCAGCAGATACTTCAAAGCTGGAGGGAGTAATCATAAAAAGGAATAATCCTGCTGTGTCCGACGGACAATTATCAATATTAGGGTTGACGACGAGGGAATGTGGTCTTGTGGTCACGATTATTATCTTGATCTCGATTTTACTTTATAGATGAACGATATACATGAGGCTGTCGGATTGGTGACCCCATAACTAGGTGTATTTACATAGCTGCTGTATGATTAGTACTAGGTGGTGTGATCTATATTCAATATATAGAGGAGTTTATAACTTGGAGAAGATAGAAAAGTAACCATGTCCAAAATCACTAAGTAAGAGCAACATCGTTCTCCCTATCCACAGTTAGGATAGTCCAGGCAATAGTAGCACTTTGTTGCTTGTTTGGGTTTTATACCTTGATAAATTATCGAAACTCTACTTGAACATGGTAGGTAACATGAACTTTTATTATAAGTCGTGTTACCATTTAAAAGCTCCGACGTTTACAATACCCCTATTTAATACGCCCTTGTATTTCACGATGTTTGTGCTCGAGTGTTCTAATAAAATGGAAAAAGTCCAGAGTTGCCAACATCCTGATGATTTTGTACATCAACTAGTTCCGTCTCGTCTCATTTACAACTTCATTACGATCTGATGGCTCCGGTACTCGACGACTACTGAGAATACTAGAATTCCGGTCGGATGCGGTTTGTGGGGTTATATAATGAAACCCAGGGTTATACGGTTCATATCGAGATCTTGAAGCCCCATATAACCTGAAAGGTCGTCTGCGAGATAGCTTCCACAAGCAAACTGCAAAGATGAATTCTTCCTTGAATACCGGATTTTTACTCTCCTCCTGCTTGGATTTTATGCCAGCGTTGGCTTTCGCATCACCCCCCAACCCCAATCCAGTCTTAGTAGCCAACGCTGGGATGAAGGAAACGCCTCGCGCTATTTTCATGCCGGTCACTATGTAAACCGGCCCAAACAGCGGGTAAGTCTCGGAAACTGATTTAATGCTCTGTTGCAAATATTCAGGGTTAGGGATAAAGAAGCGATCCTCCACGGCGCCAACTTTAAGGATGTCGTGTTCTGCTTGGCTAAGCATGGGGATAAGACGTGTCCCAAGAGACGTTGCACACGGGCCGTACTGCCTCGTCTTGGCTTGGGCCAGCGTCACTCTGAACCCAGACAACTGTCTGTGGTGGATCGTCAAGTTTTTAGGTGGGGGGTTCTCTTTCTTGAGGGGTGAACTCATATTTGTTGGGCTCGTTATGATCATCCCGAGACTCAGGGGCCCTTGGGGCGGAGGAGAAGTGACGAAGTTTTGAAGGAAGTAGTAGGCTGGCGCCAGGTCTCTCAATTCACCCGGGGCCCATTTGTCCTTTAACAGCTTTATAACATCCTTCCTGCCGGCGACGGCAGCCGCATCAAGAGGTATCATCCCTCTCTCATCTGGGAGACGGTCGTCTGCGCCTCTCCGCAGCAAAAGATCTACGCCGCTGAAGTTTCCACTCTCAGCTGCCAGGTAGAGGGGTGTCCGCCCCTTCGAGTCTAGTAAGTCGATATTCGCTACTAGACCTCTACCCGCTTCATCATGAGATATACTTTCAATCGACGGGCTCCCAGTGCTGCTTTCCTGTACTTTACTTTCTGTGCCGTGACTTGCGCCCTCGCTATCGGCTGTTTTGCATGTAGACATCGTCCCACTCGTCTTCGCTGAATCGTCCTCGGATAAAAGTTGTTTCAACATGTCGCCGCGAACATCTTGCGCTGCCCAGTGAAGCGCCGTCCTTTTAGCTTTGTCCTGGATATCAAGCTTCGGGCCAAACTGTAGTAGTCTGGCTACCATGTCCTTATTCTTGTTCTTAACTGCAATCATTAAGGCAGTCATGCCCTCGCGGTCTTGAAAGTCGAGGTTTGACTTGTCCTTTTCTAGTATCTTTTTCACCCCGTCTAGATTCCCTTCCTCGGTTTGGATGTGTAGGTTCGTGATCCGAAGATCTTTCAGCCGTGTGTTGCTTGCACTCTTTCCCTTGGTACTGAGGCCTTCTGGAATTGGGTCGAAGCAATTCCCAGCCTCTTTACTTGCGGCCTTGTCGCTCTTCATGTCGGACGGGACAGACATAATGTACGAGGTTAGCGATCCGTCCTCGAAATCGAGCAAATCCCTAGACTAGATGAATGCTATAAGTCTACTTGGTAAAAGGTTTATGATAAGAAGGTGGCATTGAATATGTTAACACGCAGCGGGGGTGCTGACGGCATATGTAGATCGATTCAGCTCTCACATTGTGGCGTCCAATACTAGCTGCTCACGCTGCCACGTTAGATACCGTTGGCTGCCTGAACCCGTATCCCGGCGAGTAGCATTTTCGTAATTAGTTCTGCCTTGAGGGATACTGGTCAAGTTTCCAGATTGAGGTGCTCGCAGCAATTGGCCTATATTTCAATGTACTCCTGTACATATGCAGAGCCTTGTCCGGTAACGAGATATAAAGGGGTTCCTGAGTTCTCATGTAGGAGTCCTAAAGCCTTCCGTCCTTGTTCCGTGTAACCTAAGCCCTATATCTCCTAGCCGCGATGGCAAAGGCATTTTGGTTCCGCGTTGAGCTCGCGTTACTTCTCTATCTACCTACCACAATCTCAGCGCAGAATGGTACGCTGCCTTCTCAGTCCGAAGACAATGGCCTGGTAGGGTGGCAGCGCAACCCCACTCACCGGGGAACCATGAATATCCTCGAGAGTTGCATCTTGACCATCATAGCCTGTACCTGGACCATCCATCACCCAAACGTCCCCAGGCAGACACCAAATACCTTGCTAGGGAACTTCCTACACCATCTCAAGTGGATGACTTTGACAGTTCTTCTTCCTGAGTTTATCCTGGCCCAGGCGGTCGACGAGTATCTTTGGGTCCGGAAAACTTGGAAAGATCTGCCAAAACCCAAAACCGATTTCAACAGCAAGGATGGTTTGTTTGATATGACGTACGAGGAAAAGAATGACTGGTCAAAGAAGCATCTTTACTACGCAAATATGGGAGGCTTTCGCGTCAACCTCTTGGACGATGCCGAGGGTAGAGGTAGACCGGCTGATATCTTTCCTCTCACCTCTGGAGAGTTGATAAAATATCTGGCAATAACTGACCCACCCCATACGTCGGAGCATAGTCAGCATTCACCAGCGGCAGAAGCGTCACCAGGAGAAGCGCCACCAGCAGAAGCGCCGATTTCAAAGACCCAAATCGAGCGTATGGTCAAACGAGACGCCCTTATAAAGACGATTGCCTTCCTGCAGATCTCATGGATCATCCTCTCGACCCTGGCTCGATGGCATCTCCACCGTTCAACGTCTCAGCTCGAAATCATGACTGTGGCGTTTGCCACTTGTGCGGTTTTGACTTACATACTACGCTGGGATAAACCACAGAACATCGAGCTCTGGACCGAGATTCCTAACAGCTTTAAAGACTTGAGGCCTCTCTACGAACCGCAACGCTTCTTCAACATCATGATAGACCAATGGCGAAATAAAAGTCAAAAAACTCGTCTGCCCTATTTCAGAAATGACACTCTACGTCCCTTTCATGTCGACAAAGCTTTCCTTCCCTGGCTTATATTATTTATGGTTCTTGCTGGTAGTCTACATTTGGTAGCATGGAACTTCTCATTCCCGTCCGGTATTGAAAAAAACCTGTGGAGATCCGCATCATTAGCGTCTACGGGCATCCCTCTGCTGCTTTTCATATGCGCCTCTCTTATCCCCGGGCCTGTCGTCTGGATTGGGGACTTACTCATGTCTAAAAAGGATAAGGATAGAATGGCGCAGGATGCCAAAAACTTCATGACGTACTGTTATTGGGCATTACAGACCTTCAAGGATGATATATCCTTGGATCATCCAAATGAGGCGCATGATCACACGCGTCAGGCCCAGGAGCTTGAGCAACTCGACGGCGAAATAGATGAAAGTATAGGCCGGCTAGTGGAATCCACAAAAGTTCCAGGGAATTATCGGGACATCTTTGGAGCATTGGTCCTGACGGAGATTGCCACCTACGTCCAGCAGAATTCGAACCGATTCGTCATCAACACCTCTGAAGACTTCCCACTTAATCTCAGAAAGCTCTATGATAATCTGCAAAAAACACAATACATACGAGGTGATATCGACCAAGAGATCCTCACCACATACGACGATAACTTCGACAGGACTGACGTCTTTCCGCACAAGACAGCGAAGTGGAGGAGAGGGCGCATGAGTCACGAAATTCTGGCTTATACTATGCCCTTGGTTAGCGTTTTATACTCTGTTGCACGTCTCATCATCATTGCGGTGGCGTTTTCGAGCTTGCGGGCGATGCCTGCCGGAGTGTACGAGACGACTTGGTCGAATTACCTTCCTAAGTTAGAGTGAACGAACTAGGCTAATAGCCGCAGAATGGAGAAGCAACATGTTCCCAGATGTAATGAGGGATTGTGTGACGAGGTGGAGCAAAATGTATGGAAACAACTCCGTTGTCCTGCGAGGAACTCTAAGCTAGCTACGGGAGCCTACGACTATACATACTAACAGTGTCCTTTACTCTAGATATCTCATCTAGAATCCTGACAGATTGTAATTATAGCGGTTCGTTTACGAAGTCATAGATAGGGTGACTCTTCTCGTCTCTCTCAGTCATACTTGAAGTTCTTCACGCTCTGCTGAGTATAGCGCCGGTGCCTGTCTCCACCAAAGCGGTGTGGGATTACCTGCGCCTTCCTCGGGCTCAATGACTACCTGATTCGTGTTTTATAACAGGAAAGAAGGGAGGCCACAGGGGAACCAGACTTGTGTCTCGATTTGATATCTATTTAGTAACCAATACCGGGATCTTGTTACGGGATTGGCTTTCTAGAATTGATCTGCAACTTACCTAATCGAAATTTCGTGTACTTATAACTTGGCTGCTTGGCCTCATTATTTATCAAGACTTTTCCCTCTTCATCTCTTAATCTACGATTTTTTGCTCTTAGATCGTTACACGGCAGTAGTCCAGTTAGCACTCAGCTGTACGAGGGAGGTCAACCATCGAATTGAGCAAAATCATGAAGCGAACGACCCCTTTTCCAGCTCACATGAGCACATTATATCATACTTGCCTTAGAGGTAGATAGGTAGTAGAAAGTCGATGGACTAGGTCGAGGCTATACTACTCATCGCGTCTAAAGGAGGTCTGATATAATATTAGGTGGACCATAGGTAACCAAGTGGTCGAATTGTTCCAGTATCAGACATTTTCTCTAAAGGTTACTAATTCAAGTCGGTTGGTTTATGTCAGACTTATCTGCCCGACGACGATGATAAAACAAATAACATGCATTGGCTTATCTAAGCGGGCAACTGCCATGGAAGACAATATTTTTCTGAGGGCTTTGAACTTTTTATTATCTTCGCCTTTCCATTTCTCTTGGGAACCATTAATATTGACCTGGTGGCTAATGCTTTAAACTCTTCCCTGCAATTCTCTTTTACTTATAAATATGTCCGGGGACTCAATCTTCTTACATTCTCACTACATGTGCAATTACCCAAGTGGTCTCTATGAAGCTTCGAAAATTTATGATATACTGATTTTATGTTGCATAATCTTTATTGCTTTTAGCAACTAGTTATCCACTAATAGAAGTATTCCTTTTATTAATAACTACTCATAGTTACTTATCGTATATTTCAATATACTTAGACTCTATAAATGCATATGTATCTATTAATAGCATTCCAAATTATTAGTATCATTAGCTGCTAGGATGAGTCGACTTCGAGATGATTTTATTTCAACCCTAACAGAGTTAAAGCCTAGTCACCTAGGTACAAGGCACAATTAAATAACCACCCGCACTGTATGTCCAAAGTAGTCACGGTTGAGGGAGAGGTTATTAGGTGGGTTGATGCTATGGGGTCAATAATGTGCAAGAAGAGGAGCTGAATGATGATATCGAGTTTCTTGAATAAGGCGATAGGCCTAGAGCCTAATCTACATAGCCATTGTCTTGTATTAAGTAGTTGTCGTTACGTAAACTAGATTTATTTTCTACCCTCCAATTAACCCATGTATTCCCATTTCTAATAAACCAAAATTTCCTATCCCATATATGATAACATGAACGCGTACATGCAAATTGTACATCATAGAGGCAAGCATAGCTGTGTTCTGAGAAACTCTGTTAGACCCCTCTCGATAGAGGCAGAGAGGGCTGCGAAAATGATCATATTGCTAGATGATGGTGCTGGGCAGTACTGAACGTCCGGTAAGATCTCTAACTCCTCGATGCCCTTGACGCGGGCGAGCTCCCCGACCCAGTCTAAGCTCTCGTGCTTGAGGTCGAAGAGAAGCTTCAGGTCTGCCGCGGTGAATTCTTTCGGCCCTTCCCATGTCGCATTGGGACGGCCACCCTGTACCACCAACCGCAGCTTTCTAACAGACCCGTTATTTTCTAGGAACCGGCACACGCTTTGCCATTCGCCCCTGTCGTTGTCGTAAGGTGGCACGGGCCCCCGCTTATACAAGGATATTTCTCGGATAAGTCCGCGGCTCTGGGGTGTTAGATCCGAGAGGAAGGGCTCGACCGCTTCGATTGCATCCCCGAAGTCGAAGGTATGTCTGCCATAGACCAAGTATGATGTTTCTTCGTATATCGTCTTGTTGATTCTCATGGCAGATACACAGAAGTTAACGCCCTCGGTTTCGAGCTGGTAGGTCGTCTCGTAACAGCGGCGATGGAACGTCCGTTCTAAGGTATAATATCTTCTTCGTCGTCTGTCTTCTGTCTTCGGCAATTTTTCAACTCCTGCGTTCCGAATTTGCAATTGCTTATGTCCGCCATCGTCGAATAGGTATTCAAGTATCATCAGCCGCACCTCTGCTGGAACGCGCATCAACGGTGAGACCTCCATTGCTTCTTGTCGTCTTCGATCTCCTCCGTTGCTCATTAAGAATTGAGCTCAATGTGCGATCTATCTTGGCAATTCGATCCGGTGGCGGAATATTTATATACATATTCAAGGCATTGTAGCGCAACAACATATGTATTACGGAAAAAAGGAAAACAAAGTTAATAATAGCATCAATATTGAGGATATTAAGGGCCGACCTCTTATCAAGCATCGAATGACCAGCCGGGTTCTCAATTGCCCGGGCCAACAAGGTCTTCCGTATCGCCGTAGACGTCAGTCATTGAGCCAATCGCTCCTTGTATTTCCGAGCTTAGGAAAAGTTAACCTTGGGGGGGACCCTGGCATCTGATAAAGATGTTGTTCGAGATCCTTTGTTTCGTGCATGAAGTTGGGTCTTGCATAAGCTCTTCGCGAGGGGCCGCAATAAATTACATCCAGAGAACAATATAAGTTGGCACGGTTCTCTTTTTGATCATGCCACGATCATATGTAGACCGCCTCGAATCTCCACATTAATGTTTAGTTTTCGTTAGCTTAGCAGGGAGAGCCTTGATAAGGCATCTTATTTGCTATGGAAATCCGGGATAGTTGCGTTAGGAGTTAAGGAATTAGAGACATAGTCAACGAATATCTAGGTTTCACATAGTCTCAGGCCAATCAGATTACATCCGTCCTATCTACCTATCTTCGTAGACAATAAGCTTTCAGGTAGCCTACTTTCAGGAGGTCTAAGTGGAGCTTTCGGCAATGCAATAATGAAAATGCTAGTTATTATCATCTTTAGTTCTCCTGAGTTTCCACTCTTTCATGCGCCTAGGAGAAGACGTAATCCCGTAACCTTGCTCAAGCTCCACTAAGGAACATCTAGACTTCATCTTCGTTTTCTCTACTCGACTATGGTTACGGAAATCCTTCAGCACTCTGGGTAGTAGCACCATGCCGTGAGTCTACATCATGGGCAAATGGCGGTCTTGAGGTTGTGTAAGGTGGGAGCCGAAGAAAATTTGCATCATGAAACAAACTCCACGAGACTCTTCACCATCTCCAATGACTTATCTTTAACTTATCTTACGAAGAGATACTCTAATCTAAGAAATATCACATTGAGGAACCTTTAGTGATATTGTACCGAGGCTTAACTAGCTACCTAAGCATATAAAAGCACTGGCATTGACTGGGAGTTGAAAGAATATGTTAACTAGCCATTCAACTTAGGAGAGTTTATTAAATGGGTTGAGTTGACTAAGTAACCCCGGGTGCCTACCGTGAGTAATGCTAGATCTATGATAATAAGTTACTAAGGTTGCTTGTTTTGAGGCGAGATTTAAGTAATTGCTTAAGTTCAAGTTCTAACAGGTGAACTAGGTTAAAGCTTATATACGAATTTTATTTAACTAATACTTGGGATAACTAAGTAGGTAATAACTAAGAAGAAATAACTATAACTACCTACTAATGGATACTTTACTAAGCGTATTCAACTATTCTTACTAACAACTTATACGTATTATAAATCTAAAAATGGAGCTTGATTAATAATTGGAACTTCTTGGAGCATCGTTAGTTTCTACTTGCAAAATATATTGCTCAACTTAGGTACAATTTCTATAATAATACATTAATACTCGCATACCCAGTTACGTGCCAGTAGTTAAACTTGATAAAGTAGAACCAACCTTTAACTAGCAGTTCCGTTGGTTTAGGCACCGACGAAGTAGCTCTATAGAATAGTTAGTAATGAAGTTCATATAGCTAATGTTACAAGGTGGACCAAGAAGCTAGGAAACAACTTCGTTGTGTTGCGAGGAACTTCAAATCAGCTACGAGAACCTACGGCTGTACCTACATACTAGCAGTGTTTTTTGTTTTGTTCGAGATGTCTCATCTAGAATGCTGACAGCTAACCTATTTTATACTACAATACCTCTCCATGTTTCCTGTATCTTTTCGCCGTCTTTAATTTTCAATATTTGGTTTATTATGTGGAATAACAAGAAATGTCCAGAATTCAAGGTCCCAAACGAGGAGAGAAACTATTTAGAAGGGAAACACTAGTATGATTTATCGTCATGGCTTAATATAAATGTCGAACAACTATGAATTGGAACCATCATAAAAATTGACTTATTCTAATAGTGGCACACACAGCTATATAAGTGTACAAGAGTCTCGGAAGGATCCTGACTACTTGCTTAAGTTGCTTTAAATAAAAAGACTTTATTATAATCAACAAGTAATATCAATGAATAATCTCACAGCGGGAACAAAAGATATCACATTCAAACTATATACTTGAGCCTTTCTCTTAGAAGAGAAGTAACTAGAAGTATAGTACTTGAATGTACTTACCTACTTGTATAAATCAACGGATAGTCCCGGGCATCGTGGTATCTGCATGCAGGAAACTAGCCCATGACTAGTTGCAAGGGAGTACATAAGCGCTCTGTTTGGAAATGTAGGACATATTTCTCTATACTTCTCTACCTAGATACACTCTAGCACTCAGCTCCTTCGCGCAAGTTGAAATACGTAATACGTATGGCGGCCTCATACCAACACTGTTTGATTCTCAACAAGATGCGCCTCGTAATATAGTGGCTGTATATGCCCGGCTCCTATGTGCCGAGTGCGGAGTAAAAAGCGCAAGTAGCCGCGTCGACGTATGCTAGCGGGCATGGTAACGAGATCGTGACTATCGAGTATCTTGTGATCTTGTATCGATATTGCTTAATGATGGTTTGTATACCTAGATAGGTACCTACCTACCTTGAGAATACCTCTTCCTATCCTTATGTCGAAATTGGGCTCTTGTAAAACTCTGGGCGTATGACTTTCATTTGTTCTCTTTACTAGGAATATGAATATGACTTGAGCGACTACTAGAACGGACATGCTGGGATATCGCAAGCTTGCAGGAGCGGAACTCCAACCCAACCGGCTGCTCGCAGCAAATTCACCCCAACCTACTTAGTTTTCAGCTGTGGCGCCCAATGCCAACTTTTCAATTCTTAGGATGCGCAACGGAGCCAATAACCGCGTGGCACTTAGCGTAGTAGAATCCTGATCTGGTTCAGGTAAGGATCGCGTTGCAGGCTGCGGCAGATAGTGGCTTGTCGGCGCAAGGCGTACAGATGGGCTATCTGAAAAGACTCACTCCTTCTAAGGGTGGGAAGACTAAGAGGGGTCTTGGGCATTAGCGATAGGCAGAATATGTATGAGCCCGTCGCCTCCATTGCCCCCGTTTGTTCACGGACGGCCCAAGACACCTGAATGCACTGGCAGCCGACAACCCCCTCCCCCGCCAACGGTCTCAGGAATCGCAACTGCATAGCAACAAATTTCTATTAGAACAGAGCTCTTCCTAGGAGACGACGAAAACTTTTTTTTCTTCCTGTTCTCGCGACAAATACGAAACAGCTAACTGGTGAACAGCACGGATGCTATGCCCGTTTTAGGGTAGCATAAGCACATTCAGTACGTAGTTTCTAGCTGCACGGATCTTCTAAAGACTATAAAGCAAGTGATATCTCCTGATCAGGAACGAAACACGATCTCATCATCAATATCTACTCTTTTCTCGTTGTCTTTTACATATCAGAGTATAGCGCTATCATCTGCTGTCCAGGGCCTATTTTAGGTGCTTGGGTAGTTGAAGCGACAGTTATACATTAGGTACTCTGCAGGAGACCTCAGCTCCTGTTTACTGAAGCTGCAGCCTGAACTGTAAATGCTATACGGATCTTCTCAGCCTCCGGGTCATTCTGGCCCCTCTTCTATTAAGCGCTCCGTCAATATGTAAGTCAGATAATCGAAATCCGTCCCCATGAAGAAAATTAAGTCCCTAATTCGCAAGCTCTTTAGGACGCCGACTACTAGACATGCCGCGGCGGCTGCGGTCCGGGAGTGCCAGGTCATCGACCCGACGGAGCCGTCTAAGGAGTCGTCGGTGGCGCCTGAACCGGCTCTGTCGCCCTCCGCCACAGTCGTCTCCGAAGATGATGGTGGCACGCACGAGTCTTCAAGAACCGTGAGTCCTTCAAGAGAAGGGACACCTAGCCCTCACGTCCGCGAGACGGAAGTGAAATCGGAGCTTCCGGAACGGTCTTCGGAGTCTAAAGGCAAGGAGCCTTGCCGCTCCCCTTCACCAGTGATGATGTCGACTAAGGTTAAAGTGGAAGTCCCTGATCTATCTGGAACAACAGTGGTGGAAGCCAGTAGTAGCAATACCCTAGTACAACCGCCCACAACCCCTAAACGTAGCAGAACCATCGCTGCAGTGGACACAGATGACGACGTAGACGACAGCGAATCGCCTAGGAAGCGTCGTATGGAAGCAGCCTCGGTTTTAACAGGTAAGTATGAACCAGTCCCCGAGTACTGGGATGACGGCCCACCAACTCCCGTCGTCAAGTACGAAGACTCCGACTTGGATGGCGAGGAAAATCCCTTTTTTATATCACCCGATGCCCAACGACACTACGACCTAGGCCTGGACGCAGCCCCGATCCCATTCCAACGGTCCCTCGCTTACTCGTCCTTCTCCGGTCGGCCCCAATCTCCACCGCTTCCCGGCGTACCTTTCTACCATCCTAATTTCCCGCAGCGCCGCCCCCTCCGCTGCCCTAACTATCGTCCTAACCACCTCAGTTTCGAGCTCAAGCAGTCCCACACCCTTTTCAACCCGGATAGATGGTTCTACGTGTGTAGCGACGTACGTGCCCACCCTTGACATCTTTCAAATTTATTCATTACACTTTGTTATTCTCCTTTTCTCATTTTCTGCTCGTCCAGGGGTTCGATCATCCCAATCTTACCATATCTTTGTAACCCCTTATTTTATAACTAACTCCTACTGCTATAGTGCTATGATGGCTTCCTCTGCTGGGCCGATGACCGCGGGGTGCATAAGAACAACCCGGAGTGCCACTGCGGGTACCCATCGCGCAAGGAGATGACGACCGAGAGGTCCCGGAACCCTAGGGTGATTTTTTACAACTGCGCCACGAAGGAGTGTGGATTTCGAGACGCCAACTGGGACGAACAGCTATCTGAAAGGGAGGTAAACGAGTATTACGGACGGGAAATTTATCCGAATGCGGAATAATAGTTTCCACTCGTTGGGCATATTCGATATCGGCCATGGTTCGCTGTTTTCATTGGGTCGGACTTCTGGACTGTTATACCCCTGATCAGATCATAGCTTCTAGCTTCTTGTACTGAACGAGTTGTAAAAGTTAATTCACATATTGTTTATTTCCTCAAGACCATGAATTCATCTTTTCTAATGAAATCTTCGAGTCTTGTTCCCAGCCGAGCCTCGAGTTATGTGATGATACCCTGAAGTAATCTAGGTCGATGTAATAAGACTCAACCACCTATAGGTACAATACAATGGTGATCCCCTTCCAAATTTCCCACTAACGCCGAACAATGCATCCATGACCTACAAGAAGCTCCTAAAAGCATGAGCGTTTCGAGCCTCTTATTCTATCAGCGCCTTGGCGGCATCCCTTATGATACGAGCAGTTTTGTCGATAATATTTTGGACTAACGGCCAATCTTCCGCGTCGACGGCGTCCCGAATAGCCGGGAAGTAGGCCTCGTCATACCCGGACCACAACTGTGGACCGAAGACAACGTGCTTGAACTGAGTTCGGTTTGGAATCTGCGACAACCTGTTAATATAAGATCAAGATAAAGATAAATATAGGGACTCCAACTTACTCCACCGCCGTTCTCTAAGTCCAGTAATCCGGTCTCGAAATTCGCCATGCGGCTATTGTAGTCACCTCTCCGTTGGGTTAACCCTACTGGCTCCCAGCCGTTTGATGCCACTACGCTTTGTTGCCAGTCCGTCTCCCATTTCTCGAATTTAGTAACAGCCTTTTCAACCTCCTGAATTGCGTTTTTGATGGGTTCTAGATTGAAGTGTCCGTTAACACCTTTATCTTCGGCCCATTGCCATAGAGCGCCCAGATATCGGCCGAGAGCGAGCGCATAATTACCCATATCAAAGGGCAATATCGGCTTGTCAGATAGTTCTAGGATAAGAAGCCCAAGAACTTGGCTAAGCAGGTTGTGGTATATGAACCCTTGGTCTCCAACACGGTCCATCCACTCGAAATTATCGTACGAAGAATGGTAAGGATGGGCAGCCCCATCGAATCGAATATCGATAGAGCTAGTACCCGCCATATCCTGGAATGCCACGTAGTCACTGCCAGCACCAAGCCCTTCAAGCTCCCCATTGCGTTCATCCCACAACGCGCGAAGCGTAGCATTTAGGATGGGGTCGAAGACTCTGTCGATCACCTTATAGAGGACTTTGCGGAACATCGGAGATGCGGCGGCATGGAACTCCTGGCCCGAAACTGCAGTGTCAAGGTTGATATATGCGAAGGCACTCCTCTGGAGAATCTCCATGTTCTGTTCAACAAACTCGGTGCTGCCGATCAGGTTGTACTCCTCGGCATCCCAACTCATAAACTCAATCGTACGAAGCGGTCGCCAGCCCCTAGCTAGAAGATCGCCAAAGATGCGCGCAACTTCCAGCATAACAGCCGTACCCGAATTTGGATCGGTTGCACCAAAAGTCCAGGCATCGCGGTGATTGCCGATAATGATGGATTTTTCGTTCTGTTCGACGCCAACAATTTTACCATAGACATTCCATATCTCCTGTTGTTCTTCTTCGTCCTGTTCATTCTTCAATCGCACAACCGGCGACGAGGAGTTTCCCGTCCACCACTCAACTTCCGGTATACCACCCCGCCAGTCGTCCGGGCACGGTTCGCCAAAGCCCTGGATATGTTGTAGAAGCACCTGGGCATCACGCCAGGCGAGAGGAAGACTCGGGATCTTAACGAGACCAGTCGTCTGCTCCGTCTTCATTCGTGGCAGGCCTTTCTTGCTTCCCCAACCAGGTGTGAGTACGTCTCCCACAACCCAACTCATCAGGCTAACCGCTCCTCGTTGAACACCATCCGGGGGCATATATCGTCCAAGAGGGGCTGGCTCCCCCTTTAAGAAGCCATCTTCCGCCGGGTCGCTATAGATGATGCATCCGGCAAACCCGGCCATTTCGGCGGCCTTAACCTTTAAGGCCCGATCACCCTGTGTGCCGTAATAACGTACGAGCGCAATTGCGCCCTTAGTGTTAACACCCTTATCAGAAAGCCTCTTGAAATCCTCTCTCGATCCGTAGTTGGCATATATTAGTGGTCCTCTCACGTCACCTGCTTTAGAATGACCATGAAACACAAATGTCTGGCGGCCCGCCGTCTTTTCAACGACTTCCTCCTCTTCAAGGGCAGCTTTCCACTTGGCCTCCTTGCCATCCTCGGACATTATTTCGACAGCTCTACCGCCGGCTTTCGGGTAATTCAGGTACACATAGTAGTCGTCTACTGTAACTTCCTCTAGGCCATATTTCATGAAGTCATTCCGCACGTCCATCGCAAGCGCGTAGTCACCTTCAGTCCCCGCGATGTGCGCGTAGCCCGTAAAGTGCTTCAACGTGTTCCTCAGCATGTCTGAGTTGACTTCACCCTGTACGTATTGACGAACAGCTTCAGGGTCGAACATGTGGCCGCCAATGCGCCTCGTCATGTTCGTGAAGAGGTCACTCATGAATAAGAGGTACAGGAAACCTAGGATGAGGAAAACCGCAAGCAACCTACCGACCAGAAGTATAGCAGCAGCGCTGTTGATACTCGGCAGCCTAAATCTTGTCCTCGTCTCGCTAGATTCCGTATCGGCATTACTTGCGGCATCGGTCTGTCGAGGTAATCGAACAGTAAATCTAGGGAGCCGCCATCGCCACTTCCATTGCGGTAATGAGGATGCTATCCGTTTCCTCCATGAAGAAGATGATGATCTTGAACTCGATTCGCCTAACGGGTCCTCAACTTCCAGCTCCTGCATTTCGCGCCGAACCTGCGCGTCCTCGCCGTCCTCACTTTCCTCATCGTCGAGGGTCCATTGCGACCCTTCGTCGTCGGATTCTACATACGGAGGTCGGTACCCTTGGGGCGCACGTCTCGACGAGTCGGCCTGCCTAGGACGTGAAGAAAGGAGGGATTGCGCTTCGGTCTCATGGTCGGGTCTTGTATCTATGGGCGAAGAAGGCGGGGGCCAGTCCGGCCGAGAAGATCCAGGATGACCGCCGGTCGCTTCATCGTATGTGGGTATAGGTGGTGGTGGTATATACTGAGACTTTTCGGAGGGCATCTTGGTAGTACAACGTCATTGATGTATCGCGGGTAATAAGACTCAAAGGTCGGGATTCTAAAATAGGATATGTCTGGTGAGTACGCGTAGATATTTATTTAATTGCTTGTCGCAGTGATTAAACGAGTGGTTAAAAGTCGAGTCACGATAAAGGAGTGAAATTGATTGGAGTAGGAATTTGAAATCAAGAAAATAAGGCAGGCATAAGACCAAGTACCACCGCGGTGGTCATTGGAGGGAAACCTAGGAGAATTGATTTATTAAGAGATTATCAAAAAAAAAACATGAGGCGAAAATAAAGTAGTTGGGGATTATGATGTCTCAACGGTGTTCTGAATTCAAGATCAGTCTCTCTCTCCCAGACTAGTGCTGCTACCAATTGCGGAGCACGCGGGCAGCTGCGAATCCATCGGGTTAGTCATCAAGCACTGCCACAATCAGGGGCAGTACAAGAACCTACTACTGCTACTAGTGGACTGTATACATGCAAGGATCTACTAAAAGACGGAAACTATCATCAGATTTAGGTATACAGATTTAGGTATACTGGCATATCAATAGGTAAGACAAAATAGATATAAATCAGATAGTTATAGATCATCAAAATTAAAAAAAAGGCAAGTAAAATGGAAAATCTCAGTGATTCGTGCAAAGGGTCAGACCTCTTGGCACTAATTAACTAACTCTTAAATGCACGCCTAGACTCCTCTGAGAAGCCTGGCGAATCCTTTCAAACCGTCAGAAATATACATATGTACACGGTTATCTCTAACAAACAGGACGGCGGCGACGCTTTCTTTTCCCTGAAAAAAAAAAAAACTACCTTTGGTACAACTTTCTCACTACGCAAACTCAAGCATGTCGTAGTGAGCTATCTCGGTGACACTATGCAACTGCTTGAGTACGAACCTGGACTCTTCTCCCGACCGAATTCCTATATCTTAGGTATCATTATTTCTGTGGGTGCAGAATCACTCCTTCATACTGTCTCGATGCGATATTGTCCAAGGTGTGCTTGAAATGCCGCCTGCTGCTCTCAATACTTGCCGAATCCTGCTGGTTCGTGTTCAAGTTTGAGTGAATTAGCTCAATGAGCCCATTAATGTATTTGGTAGTGACCTGTCGAATATGTGGTTAGCTAGGTAGGTGTACTTGAGCTATAATATGAGCATCTTACCGATTCGTTCTGTTGGTCGAAATAGTACACATAGCGATCCAAAATCTCAACGAATAGTTCGATTGATGTCGCTTGTTCCATGCAGGAATCTGCAACACGTAGAGCCCGCTGCAAGCATTCTAATACTCGCTTTCCATCTCGGTAGAGCTAGAAAATAATTAGTTTGACTCTGACTTAACGACGGCTACAAAACTTACACCTTCATCCGACTCGTCAATAGCGGTCATTGGCGTCGCCCACCATAAGTGGCTCGCTAGATATACCGCTCTGCATTGATCCGGTTTGCGCAGTAGCTTACTTCCATGAAGGGCGCACTTTGTGATAAGGGTATCGTAGTTCTCTTTCCCGAAATTCCTTGTCTGGTGTAGTGCATTGGCAATAATGCACACGGCTTGGAATTGAGCTTTCGAGTCCGAAATGGCCTCTTCGTACACTGTGAAAGCCTGTGCGAAGAACTCGTACGCAACCTCTTCAAAACCCGTCATATCGGCGGATTGACCGCAGGCAGAGAATAAACGTAGAGAGAGTTCGGCAGCACCAGGGCCGTTGACTCTTGTGTAGATACCGGAGATCGCAGAGTGCATGAACTTGTATAAGGCACTTAGCTGGGTTTCCCAATTGTCGTCATAGTGCTCCCTAGCCTTAAACCGGCGTGCCAGCTTCATACCGGCTGTAATTAGGGGAGGAGTTGTTGTGCGGATCCTCTCATTCCCTTCAGCAAACGCTTTATGTACCATCTGAAGAAGACGAAGCTGCGTGTCGTTATTTTCACCGTTGAGTAGGTGAACGATCCGCGCCAACCAACCCTGCTCTTCCATCGTTTCGTCTGTTTCCAAAGCTCGTCGCTGGGGGCCGCCAGGATATCCAGCAGGAGGTTGCGAACCCTCCTTGATTAATACTTTAAGGATCTCAAGAACATTCTCAAGCTGAGCCTCTGTAGATATCACGGTCTGATTCTGTAGCAAGGTCCTAGCAACTTCACCTGCAACGGCCCTTCTCGTTGGGTAGGTTTGGGACTGGAAGAGAGGTACATACGTGGGAAGCGATAAGGCTGTGAATATGGAAATATATCTCTTGAGAGGGGCCTGTAGCAGTGCGAGTAAGCTTTGCTGCGCTGGCGCAGAATGGAGATCGGCGCTGTTAGCATGCTCTTTAACCTTGCGATTCGCATAGTCAAGAATTTGGTCTACGTAGTCCAGTCGGCTAGGATATATGTTTAAGGAAAGATTGGCAAGGGAAACTAGTAGCGCAATTGTATCTTGGATAGGGAGATGCTGCGCATTGACAAGATTGTTGACTTGTTCAAAGAAAACCTCGTAAAGTTTGACATTAGGAGGGATTCCACGCTGCTTCTTGGGAGTTTGAGGAGCATCGTCCGGCTCTTTATCAACGGCTGTTGTCTCAGTATCCGCAACTGATGGGGCAGGTTCTGGCTCCGCCGGCGCATCAGTCCCAGCAGGTTCTGTAGGTTCGCCATTAGTATCCTCTCCGTTTGTATCGGTAGACACTTCATCCGGCGTTGGCTTCGCCTCCTGCTGTTCTTTCCCTAACCGGATCTTTTCCAGTAGACTTGACAAAGCATCTTCTTCTAGTTTCGCCCTGTCTTCGACAGCCCCTTCTTGCGATTCCCGTTCAGCGTAGGCAGATAATCTATTCATCAAGCCAATGACGATAGCCTTGACGTTGACGTGAGGATTCAGCCGCGACACCGCGCCCAGGAATTGGTCCAAGGTATGTAAGTGAAACTCATCCGGGAAAACCTGGGTAATTATCTCTAGAAGATACTCTTGGGCCAGGACGTCCCGGCATTGTACTACCTGTTCCAGTAGCGGGGCTAGGATACCGTTTTTGTAAGCCTCGAGATCCACCAATTGGCTCAGCCGTTCAATGTTGTTGCCCACGAGAAGCTTCAGCTCCTTGCGCTCCTTGGTCCTCTGCTCCCGCTCCCGCGAATGACCTTGATGCTGTAACCGTACCCAGAGCTTGTTCATTTCGACGAAATTCGTTAGGATGAAGTTGATCGAGTCCTGGAGGTTTCCTTCAGGACCATCGCCATCGCCGGCAGGCAGATAATCCCTAGCTTGGCCGGATAAGTAATAACGAAGGAATAGACCACGGATAGGATGCTGGACACCACGGCTCATATCCATCATGTCCTTCATTAACTCCTTGACCGGCGCTTCGGGTATAGACATATATGCGGTACCGACGGTTATCATGAGATATAAACGCGGAATGATGTTACCGGCATATTGGACGAGCTCGTAGAGGTCGGCGAGGTGATTATGGGGATGATTCTCGCGAAGATGTACCGAAAGATAGCGCAATGCATCGAAGATGGCCATATATAACTCGTAGTATTGCTTGGGGCCTAGGCTACTTGTCCGCAGCTCGGCGACCAAGGTAGAGCTTCATTATATAGTTAGCTAGTTGCTAGAGCGATAGAAGCTGGGTGGGCAGTAAAGTGCCGTAACAATTATATTATGATAAGACATACCAGCACTTGAGAGCATCCATGAGTTTGCCAGGAGTATCGAGACATTTGCGCATAAGTGCGGTCTGCTGGCGCACAGCAACCAAGGCATCTTCCAGCAATCTCGCCTGGTCCTCAGGCGGAACGGGTGTGGTGGACATGTTGGAGCGTTATGTCGATAATAATGGCCGAGTCTGCAAAGGAAAGGAATACCGTAAAAGCTCAATAATATCTCGCGCAAGTCATTGGACCACCGTTCGCTGAGTTCGATGTCGAGATGCAGGAAGAGCCTGCTGCAAGCAAGGGGTACTTAAGAAATCGGGATGCCTGGCGCAGTTGATGTTAGCGGGACAGATACAGAAATACAGCAGTCAAGACTCAAGTCCAGCTTATTATTGGAGCTACCTCGTAATCTCTTGGCGGAAGCATTCGTCAGCCCAGCCACATGCCGAACAGCCACAGGTAAACAGGGGTTCCTAGCTCGAGTTAGCTCTTACGCGTTTCAACCACACGTGTCACCTTACTGGTGAATTCTATCTTTGCCAACTGGAAGCATAAAAAGTTTCTAGGTTACAAAAAGTCTATTAAACATTTAAATACTGCCAATTAATAAAACTTCAAAATAGATGACATAATCCCTTAAACATTTCCGCCAGTAGCAGCCTACAATACAGCGCATCACTAGTGAAGATATACGAAAATTATGACTTTATTGGCACTATTATAACAATACTAACGATAGGAGATATTATATCGCTTCCAATAGGTGATGAAACGACTAGAAGGTAAGGTTGTTTACCTAAATATCGTACACTTATAAGACCTATACTTACAATGCTAGAATATCTTACAATCACATCTATCAAATGAGAACAAACAGACAAGCAGTATTTTGGAGCACATAGAGCCAAGTAGACACAAAATGCAGCAATGCCTCAAGGTGGCTATTCGTAAATATTTTCCTGTTCGAAGCAATTATTCTTTAAAACGTTTCAAAACTAAGCTCAATAAATTCTGCGGCAATTCGTCTTTGAATAACAGAAGTTACACGATAAGCTTATAATCACAGGTAACTATTAGAAACCGTACCAATGACACACTACAATTTATCTATTACACACTAAATCGATAACCTAAAACTACCATATAGGCAGTTTCTCAAGGATAGGCAACTTATAACGGCTAGTAACTGTCATCGATGCCGCCAGTCCAATACCACAGATGCCCACCACACTTAGAAAAGGGGCCACCAGGTTCCCCTGGGCCTTCTTAGCCAATGCCCGTGTGGCTTGGTTTGGCATGGGATGAGCCCAAGCAACTTTTCCCTTGATCGTCTCCTCGCCGTCCACAAAATCAAGCACCAGCCCGTTGCGTATGCTCTTCTTAAAGGCAAGTTCCAGCATCCAAGAGTCCACCCATTTCGGGAAGTAGGGCATCACCCAGGTGTCAAAGAGCCAGAGCCAGGTGGTCCGCTGTGTCTGCTTTCGTATCTCGTGGCTCGAAAGGTCGCAGCCGTGATGAGCGCCCGCTAGTCGCCCGTCCTGGTACCGCTTGAACGCGGCGGATAATATCTTGGTATTCGGCCCCTTGCCACCATATTCTCCGTTTGCGTCGTCGCGGTATGGTTTCAGAACACTATGTAAAATGTTGGTGAGGGCAAGAACATCTTGCATGCCATTCATATACCCTTGCCCAGGGTTCGGAGTGAATTTGTGTGCAGCATCGCCGACGAGGACAATTCGATCCCAGTACCAACGCTTCAGTACTCCCTCCTCGAGGTTGGTCATGCCTGCGTGGATACGCTTTGAGAAAACGTCTTTTACCTTCAACTTCTTGCCAACGGCCACATCTCCCCACCGCTCACCGCACGCAACGACATCCTCCTCTGTATATCTGGTAGGTTCCCTAGTTGGGGTCGAAAGACGCTCATAGATGAAAATCCAGCCCCGGTTTTGCCCAAGGACATATTGCACTTTAGTAAAAGTCAGCGACAGCTTTTTGGATTGGGAAGACTCTGGGTTAGTTGTCTTTTGAGGGAAGTATTCCTTCGAAGAACTGTTGACTTAAAAAAGAAAAAGAAGAAGAAGAAAAGGGAAACACATACAAGCATGGCCACTGCAATGTGAGCTTCCTCCCAGGCCCGGTGGACCGTCGTGTTTATCGCCTTGCAAAGGAAACGAGGCCCACAACATCCTATACTCAGCTAAGAACGGCTTTTCCTGGTCGATTTGGATTTTGGGCGAAGCCTTCAAGGCATTGCTACGCATATGTTTTCGAACAGCGCTATGAACACCATCGGCTCCGATGACAATAGATGCGTCGTACCGTGTTCCATCTGCACAACGAACGGTTACGCCCCAGTCGTCAGGTGTAACATCGGTTACTTTCTTATCAGTCAAGACCCGAGCTTGATCGGATTCACTCAATCCTTCGTAGATTGCCTGAACCAACTCGGCCCGGTTGAAGACGCTGCTCGAACAGCCAAAACTTATTAAGACGTATGTCAACACCACAGAAACAAATTAGAATAGGGGTAGTGATGAACTTACTCGGCTGTGAACTCATCACCAACCGGTATCGTGTTATACTCGCGGCCGTCTTCGGTACATATCCGCGCTTCGGTGAACTCTACGCTTATCTCGCGGAGTCGCTCATAAATTCCAAGCTGTTTGAAGGCACGCATCCCGTGAGGACTGACAACCAGGCTAGCACCGACGTCTTCAAAGATACTCGGTCTACGCTCGAGGACGACGAATTCGATTCCGGCTTTCGAGAGCGTGTGAGCCATAGTTAAGCCCACAGGGCCGCCACCGACTACAACAACTCTGAACTTTCTACCAGCCATTGTAGGTTAAGATGTCATTCTTGGTTGCTTCTTGAAAATTAGTAGTGTAATGTGAAACTGTCGTAATGCTAGATAGTAGTAGTAGTAGTCTGTTGATGCTTGTGAATATATAGTAATAGTTGTGATGGGTCTGGACATGACGCTTTTTATATAATTTTCTCCGCCGTTACAAGTTGCTATTCAGTCCCTTTTGCCACATCGTATTCCCCATGGGTTCCGTAGAATCGTTCCATGAGACCCATTGAGTACAACCCTGCCGTGACTCCTTGGTTACAATAATGGCACCCTGCATAAGAGAGCAGAGCCTGCGGGAATTTGCCCTTTGGCCAATACCAGAATAAGTACCTAATACAGGCGGTAGGTTGGCAAAGTCTAGGTACAAAACCGCGTAACTGATTTATCAGCCAGTAAGAAACTACATGTAGCTACTAACCTAGACGCAAAGACATTACTTGATGGTAAGGTTTCCTGTATCGTCATACCCACATGTTAAGCGTTCGTTATTAAATCCCGAATCTTACAACTCTATAGTTCCAACACTGGTACAGCCCCATCATAGCACATCATCATAACGTTAACGGTCCATTGGCATGTTTCTAGTTACAATCTTTACTAGGGTCGTTCTTCTTGTGCAATAGTAAACGTCGTTGTCGAGCGGAATTCCGCCAGACGAATTCCTAAGGAGTTGACGATCGAAGCCGCGGAAATCGTGGATGACATTCCGACTTGCATCGGCAGTAGAACTTCCGTAGTTGTTAGTTGTGCCCCCCTGTCTGACTTGGGGAATAATTCAACGACAAGCACATTCCGGAACAAGGGGGGTAGAATCGCGTACATTATCCCGTTCTTCTAGTTGCCGAGTATCCCCCAGAGTAGCCCCTTTTTAGTGTGGGTAGCGATAAGTTTGATAAGTATAGTGAACATCAGGTAGACTATTGCTTTGCTATAGAAATATCACCATAACTTAATTATACTATACTATTAGCATTCGTTACTAAACATTCAACATTTACAATTAATATTTCACCTAATGGACATGGTTTTTTTCTTACTGTAAAATAGACTAGCATTACATCTTCAAGTAGAAAGCGTCTAATAAATTTATGTGAATTATAAAGAATTAAGACTGAACTGAATTGGGCTATGTTTTTATGTCTTGTTGCTTGTTTAATGAACTCAGTTTTCAGGCTATTTCCGTTCCTAGAGCAATCAAGGAATGTTTAAGTAGCCATTTCTCACCATAGTTCTTTATAAGCAACCCGTATTATTCCTTTTAGATTCCTCCGCCCGCGTTAATTCCTCAGAAATCCCCTCAGTAATACCCTGCTCAAACTTTAGCATTAGACTTGTTCCACTACTGAGCATCAAGGTTCGTGTAATCATCGAGAAGTAACGCCCTTCCATAAATATAATCCTCGGTACTACCTATCCCTCAAGTCCATACACACTAAAAATCAAATAACGGACCACTTCCCCAATTGACATTACGGTCAAGCGATAAACAAGACTTACTAAAAGGGTGATAAATTTTGGCCACGGATTTAATCCGCGTTGAAAGCAATGATGAACACTGCAGGCTGCAGGCGTGCTAAAAGTGTTACTATAACTCATAGTTATTGTGATGAAGAAAGACCTTTAAGCCATCTCTTTTTTTTTTTTTTTTACTTCCTGACGCAATGGGAGGCCAGGCATTTATAATATTTTCAGCTCAACACTTGGACCCATAGCCGTAAACCCAGAATTAAATAGTAGAAACTTAATCAATAGATCAGATCTCTACACCACTTGCATAGCATGCGCTCGTTACTCGTAGAAACTTAACGTTTAGATAAGTCTATGACTTATTTTTTGAACAATGGTACGTCTCACGGTTGATATTTGAGTCACGATATTCTACGATAGTTGCTTAACTAGGTATGTAAAGGGGGTGTCTTGCAGCAGGCTGTAGGTAAGGCTTTGATATTCTGGGGAACCAGAACATTATCTTCATGTTGCCCCTGTGAAACTACAAATAGAAGATATTAAACCTTCATCTATATCAAGGTAGCAATATTTAGCCCTATCTATCGAGTCTCGCGCCCTTCGGGTGCTGCTCATTGCTCCACATGTGCAAGACTTTTGGCCCGGACCTTCGTACTTATAAATAAATTGAGTGCTTTGGATATATCTAAGTTTAGGGGAGTATAAATGCTTTTGCTACTGCGTTTAGGTATACTATATTTCATTATAACATTTTAATTATTGCCCTTTTCTGTTCTAGTTGCCGAAAATAGAGCTCTACACCAGCTAAATTCAGATTTCAAAACAGCATATTCTCTCCCGCAGCTCATGATGTCGAACCCTACTATTTCATTGGCCGGTATCTTCCTAACATGAGTAAAGTTATAAAACTAACCCGAGTATGTAGAGGCCTCTGGCGTGGGTATCTTCACCCTCGGGTTGGCATAGTTTCCGTGAGCCCGCGTCCTATCCGGATACCGATGAGATATACGGAACATGAGCCATCGCCGATGGCCCATCGGAGATTACATAAAGACCCGCATATGCCATCTAGGTCATCCGTATGTTAGGTCGTTGAGAAGATGCATAAACCTGCAGGAACGGGGCGAACACACTTCCCGCTCTCATTCACTTCCACACGTTAGAGGTGGATTCGTATCATATTTTACCGTATCTTTACTGGTACTGAGTAAACATACAAATTAGGCAGCAAGATAAATATATCATCTCGTCACCCTTACATTAGTATGTAGCTCCCTTAAACAACGCAAGATAGGTACCGACTGCCCCCACAGGCATTGGCCATCTGCCTAAACACTCGGCCCCGAACTTCCTGTCACGTCTTAGTTGCTCTATCTTCTACGCTGCTGCATAAGCTGCTCATATCTCTCCATCTGGGCCGCGCTCGCATCTCCGATGCGATCGAAGTGTTCAAAGAGCCGGTCAGACTTGAGTTTCTCGTTGAGTCCCTGGCGGTCCCAGGCGTTGACGCGGTCGCCCGCTAAGCCAGCGGCATCCGCATTACTGCACTGCGTCTCGAACCACCGCCTTCTATCACGCTGCTCCGCGCTGGGCTGCGCGGTGCGATACGCCTCCTTGAGATTCTGCCAGCCATTCGTACCTCCCACATCTTCGGCAACGTAGTGGCCGGCGCCGTCGATGCACACAAAGTCGGCCGTGGCGTCTGTGCGCCCTAAGACCGTCATCTCGTGTTCCCAGTTGTCGCCGAAGTCGTACGTATAGACCATCTTGCGGCCGCTGTACTTCGGGTCGTCGAAGAGGTGGCGCAGCTTGTACGAGTCTGCTTTCTTCTCCGTGGTGTTCGGGTGCCGTCTTGTGCCCTCATGCATCCGGTCAATCCCGGAGAAGGCCGTCTGCTCGACGGGGTCGACGACGCGGAACAGGTATTCCTGCGGGGCAGATGGGTCGGGCTGTTGCCCCATGCTAGACACCATCATCATGTACTGGTACATGCTCGTCGGGCTGTCTGGTAGCGTGTAGTCTGGATTTAGCACGGCGAAGTCAAAGGAGTGGGTAGTTGCCCAGCCGAAAGCAAGTTGCAAGGCCATGTGCAGGTGATAGAAGACAAGGTCTGCGGGACAGGAGAGAGTGCGGAACACAGGAGGATCTGTGATCTTCTCAGGTGACAACTGGAATTTCACAATGTAGTTCTGGTGGGTGCATCTCTTTTTGTGCATCGGCCATGAGGCAACCTGACAGTCTTTAGAACAGTAAGCTGTTTTCTTACACCGTCCACATTGCTGCAAAGCTGTCGAGCTGGAGGTCTTGTCGCACTTAGGGTTGCCACATTTTGTTGTTGTTTCTGTGGTGGCCATAATGCCGATGAATTATAGAGGACTATACGTCAGTTCAGTGGTTACAGTTCTCTTGATCAAGTGTTGGTAGAACAGCTACAAGTTTCCCAACGCGGGTTGACGTTTCGATATATAGGTTAGGTACCTAGGTAGTTACCTAATATATGTTTGTTTATCGTCAAACAGCGGTGTTTGACAAATTTTGCAGGTATTTACTAAAGCCATTAGCTAACCCATAAACCCCACCGCTGTTAATGTGTCAAAGCGTCTCTAGGAAAGGCCAATTAGGAGAATCTATCTCGCCCTATTATCCTAGTAAGAAGCAAGGTTTGTACTAAAACACTTTCCTATCCTTTATCAAGAGCCCCGAGTTTAATGCTTCTGATAAACCGTGCTAACAAGCCACGGGAACGAGCGATTCGTTTAATTATACTGTGTGATCTACTTCATTATTAGGTAACTTATACGGTAAACCAACCGGTGAAGCCAGACGCCCTCCCGAAGCCTACATCCACGTTTCCCGTCATCAATATTACTTGATCACCTACATAATTGGGTATCGGATACCATCTCTATGCAATTACTTTGAACACTCTTGCGGATAGAGGTGCTGGTAGGACATTACTGACCTAGCAGCTCTTGAGCTATTTGAATCTTCTCTTCTTCGCTTAACTCATGGCTCTTGGCCTTCTCCGCCTTGGCCGCATCAAACCGCCACAGACCGCCCGTCTTGTCCGCATCACCGTTCGTGCTTAGTCCCACGTTGGGACTTAATGTTTCAAGAGTCGAATCTGGTTCGGTGAGAGCAGTGAAATATCTCCGCTCCCACTCCCGACCCTCTGCCTGCTCCTTTTTCCGCATTGCCCGCTGCGCCTGCTCGATCTTGCTCTTCTCCTTACCGACGTAATCCATATCCCCTTTGGCAATGCCTATCGCGACGTTAGCCCACGCGCGTCGAGACTCCAACGGGTGCTGCTTCTCGAGAGGCGCAACCTTGAGTTCGGTCGTGGGATTGTCAGTAGGATCCCAACTTCCAATGAGATTCTTAGACGAGTTACTCTTCACTGGGCCGGAATGGATCTCAAACGCCTTGGTCCATTGGCCAGAGCAATTGTAGAGTACGTCCTTTTCCTTGCCGGTTGGATACAGAGTAGCCGTAAATGAGTTCTTCTTGCCACTTATCCAGCCCTTGCCACTGTAGTCTATTTTAGCAGTAAACCCTGTCGACGAAGTGATATAAGAGGCGCCGTCGAGTTCAATGAAGGGCGCGCCAAAAATTAGACCTTCAACGTGAAGGGATGGTAGTGTGATCAAGTAGGTATCTTTCTCCCCGGGCTTGGAGGGGTCGGGAACTGTCAATACTGCGTGTCCTATCTGCTTGATATTGATAGTCTTGGAGAAGCTGGCCTTTTGGGCGTTATATCCTTGGAGATGAACCCCGGAGGTCTCATTGATAATGCTGTATGCCGTTGCTGGCGGGTGGTGGCTAAACCGTAGGGTTAGCCCAGGTATTTCCAGGTTTGCTTCTAGATATTGCTGGGTTTGGTTGCGCCAAACTTACTTCACCTGCTCACTGATCAACTCGGTTGTGCCTGCGTCGTCTTCCCACTTCCCTAGAAAGATTTCGCCCAAAAAGGGGTTGAGAGGCTTTTTCTCATTGCCATATTGCTCGCTGCGACTAGCATATTGTTGCTTAAGCGTAGTTAAAAACCATTTGAGCACTAGCAAGGCCCTCTTTGCGGGGTCCGGCTCCTTCGCTGGTGCTGCGAAAACGCTGGGATGTTCAGCCCAGTACGAACTGAACTCGGTAAGACTCGTAGAGGAAAGGATGAAGGGTGGGGCTGTGAGAGAGGAGAGGTCGCCGTTGAAAGAGGCAATAGACTAATCGCGAGTCGCGACATGGTCAGCTTGGTGTAGAATAGAAAGAGGAACGTCAGGTCAGGCTAACTTACCTTGAGGAACGCAGCCCAACTAGAGCCAGTGGCCTGGGCATTTGGTGTAACTTCTGACATCGTTATGACCTTTTTAAGACGTCGCATACGTACAGGGCAAGCTCACGGACACCACGCGGTTCGGATGATATACTGCGTGATTAGGAGAACCTTCCGTATTTCAAAGTCCGATGAGGCTGGTTTCGAGTGCGCGATAGACGGCGGGCCGACAGGATAATAAATTCTGGCGGGGATACGGAGTTCCACAAGCAATCTCAAGCTAAAAAGGGGCAGAAAGTTGGGCTACTCCTTATCCCTGATAAAAGCTGCCTAGGTATATAATAATAATATAAGGCGTCTTGTTTTCGGAAGATACGGGAGAAGCTGGAATGACAAACCAAAAACGGATTGTATTCTTTCAATTGTGCAAAAGCAGAGCTGGCGGCATAGATGAGTAATATGATAATTTGGAGAGAAGGGTATTACTTTGGGATTTGACGTCAAAAAACAAAAAAGTCCCAAAGGTAAAGTTCCCCACACGTCATCGACCCTACCCATCGACTGGCTTGGTACCTTGACATTATCTTTGCTTGGCAGTTGGATACGTGGATTGGTGGGATCTATAATCGACTTAAATCGCGTGCCTAACTTTTTTAGCTTATCGCTATGCTACGCTATCTAACTACATGTACTAGTACGTACATAACATAGTATCTAGATACATGTAAAATCAAAGATGCATCAAAGTTACCTCCATACATACATGTAACATAACGCAAAGCCAAATATAGTAAACTTCCCATCCAATGAAGAATATACTCCTTGGAATGTCCCCTGGAAAACCTACATGTAGAAAGTTAAGTTTCATGTATGTATGCGGTTAACTCGTTGGGGACATGTAGTCGACCTGGAAAAAAAGAAGTACCTACATGTATTGTACCTTCCCCTTTCCTTATCTTGCCCTAGGTATGTACCTTGTAAGACCTGTGGCGTTGGCCAGTATTTTACGTTATTTACCAGCAATTGCTCCAAGCTGATACTTGCTATGTACAGGTGCTTAGCTATGTGCTCGGAATAGGAAGATATCTTGCATTCGTCGTTCATAAAGATATAGGAATATACAGTTGGATCCAATTAGGATTAAGAAGCTTCATTATAAATTACATTCCATCCCGGGTATCATTCCAAGTCACGTGCCCCCTTCCCTCTGTGAAGTCTATGTATAACGCCGCCCATCTAGACAGTACGTCTCTGCTGAATGAGACAGTTTGTTTATGTCATACCGACCCATACATATATAGAACATAATACCAGAGATTGAAAGAGACATAAACGCCCTACGCTGGGCCGTGACATGAGCCTTCTAGCTTCTGGGCTAGCTGCCCATTTATACCAGAAAACCGACCCTCGGCGACATCTCCTAGGATTGCCCATCGCGCAATGTGACATTGTTGACGTCCTGGATCAAACGTCCAAGCTAAGCATTCTGTCGAGTGATCATGGCAGATTTTGACACAAGCATCAACTTCCGCGACCTTATCTATGGTCTTGCTGTACTCATCTAGGCGTCCCACATAGTCCACGTTAGATCGAATCGGTTCGGCGATGAACGAAGCGAAGTTCGGAGCGCCATAAATCTTCCCCAACTGTCCCCAAAACACGGGTTCCGTCATATTCTTGAACGTATCGCCTACATGTAGCATAGCGTCGTCCTTGCCAAGGCCATGGAACGATACTAAGGGCAGACAGAATCTGTCGATCCACATCCGCGTCATCCAGGGGGGTTCGCCATTAAATAGGCGTCGGTATGTCTCGTCAAGATAGATCCCTATTTTCATAAACGTCGTAGAAAGTAGCTTATCGCCCCATATTGCCGTAGCCGACTCCTGGTGGCCCTCAGCAACGACCTCGGGATGTTCTTCGTACAGCTTGCTCAGAGCAGCACCGGACATAACTACGGATGATCCGCCGTGTGGGAAACGACCTTTGTAGTCGCCTACGGGGTTGCCAATGAACTGCGGTTTGCCGTAGTTCAAGTGTCCCAGGAGCAAAGCCAAGGATGATTTGATGATATAGGTGTCGTCGTCCAACATTACATACCACTTCTTTTTCGGCATGGTGTGCCAAATATATTCGAGACTTGAGAGAAACTGACCCGCACGTTAGTAAGTGTTGACTCGACACATAATTGAGGTATATCGAACCTTCATCGCATCCAGTTCCCATCCCATGTCCTTGCCCAACGTATCAGCCAGCATCCACTCTTCGCCGTCAACAGCATCAGCAAGGTTGATATATTTCATCACGCGCTCCTGCTGTTCTTGGCCCCTTAGAGAGCCTCGTTCTAGGTTCCACCCAATGATATCGATGACCGGCACTTCTTTCCCACTAGCCAATGTATAATTCTTCTGGTCCGGGAACAGCGGAAAATCCTGAACAACGATAGTATCCGCATTTAAGGACTCGCTGCCCAACGCCTGCAGCGCCGCTGATACCCGTTTTTTCGTTCCAAATCCGGTCTTGATTACTATGCCGATATCATTACTAGGGTCGATGGGGTAGGGTTGCGGCTTGAAGAGCCAGGAATCGCTCGGCAGGGCATTCTGGTAATAATCTTGTATGACATTATGTTGGAACCGGAAGAAGGATCTTGGTAGACTGTCGTATGGTGTTAAACTATAAAGAATGAATAGGAAGACCAAAACACCCAGGCCAATTTTTTGCGGGCGAGACATGCGTGTGATGCAAGAGCGGATCGATCTTCGTTCGGCGATCCCCATCGTGATGGTGTTGTCGATTATGTCCGTGCGACCGAGACCAGCAGCCAAATGATGCTGGCTGATAAGACGGAGAACATGCGTATCAAAAAACGAAAGTCTAGAACGATTGTAAATGTCCTCGTAGACAATTCAAAAATTGGAATGAAGTAGGGGAAGTTAGGAAAAGGGGGATACAGGTTTCTAATGCTGACCCCAATACGAGAAAAAAAGGAAAAAGAGAACTGAGAACTTTTTTTTAGAAACTTGAAGATGAGAGGTAAAGATGTACTGAGCTCTCGATATGCGGGGGATTAGGAGGTTTAGTGACGTCCAGGTTAAGCTAATTCTAGGATTGATCTCATCTAGATGGGAAATGATGGGCGCTATAGCGGAACGGAGTGCTAAAGTTGACCAACCAAGCGATAACTAATGCAGCCGCGTCCCACTAAAGTTCACTAAGAAAACCTGGCATTGTACAACAGCCGGACCCAGCGAAGATTACGCGTTCCCAAAGGCAAAGCTTCCAGGGGTACGATTGAACCTTACCCTTGTCAATATGGTACATACATGTACATAGTATTTATTATCTCAGCAACCTCCCAAAGGGCCAATAATATCACGCGAGTTCTACTGTTGATTCCGTCTCTTATTAATTCAACTTATATGTATTAGGTACGTAGGCGTAGACATTGAATATTTCGCTTCTAAGAGCAACTCTATACATGACCTCGATTGCAGAAAACCCCGATGCCACACGTAGATCTTAGAGATTGCACAAGGGAGATATCAATATTAGGTAGAAGTATTAATCTGATTACCGGACGTCTAAACTACCTAGGCACCTTAAAGCGTATTCTCTATTAGAAGGGATACCCAAGTATCTCTATCTGCGTATTACAGTGATACATTATAGAATGTGTATGTATACATACATAGCTTAGTACCGCACATAGCTCTAATAGGTGAGGCGATCATCGAACCATCGTATGCGGGAACTGGATCAAAGTCTAGGCCAACAACCCAAGGTACTAACAAAACCGTACGTATTATTAACAATTATGCGGGTGGGTACGCCATTGCGGAACCACGTCTACGAATTAAAGGACGAGGACCAACAGGACTTACCTATTACCTAACACACGTAAATAGGTCATAATAAACGACGGAACGCCAGTTTTATAGACTGCTACATCAACTACTACCAGGCAGACGGGTCGATGGTTGTATTACACTAGATTGTCGCTAAATCACCAAAAGTAATCAGATTCCTTCGCCCCACTAGACTTGCCCAGGCCAGTAATGAGCTAGGCATTACAAGGGCTTACATACATATTATTAATAGACGAAGTTAACCATCTATAAGCCTTAAGGCTTAACCTCTAAGCTTTCATCATTACTGATCTCTTTCAACTGCCTATCTATTGATCCGAAGACGACATGTTACAATTCCTAGGGCCTTCGGGCCCTCCCATCACATCATTTATCATGAGAGGCATTGGGTACTTAACCCTAGCTAGCTTGCTGTTCTTCTTTTTTTGCTTGTATCAAGCTCGGATGATGTTTCGGCGAGTTCAAAAACAACATGGAATTGTGAGTATCTTCTAATATTCAGCCCTAAAGGCTTCCGAAAGCCGTTGAGAAATTATATTCCTATCACGTATATACATATCTTTCTATAATAACCATTTGTAGCCAATTATGCCCCATTCGTTTCTTTTTGGTCACCTTTGGACGCTCGCTAAAATTAGCATTAAATAGTATGTATAAAACAAGTCCTAATATCCAAAAATCTACTACATAAGACTATAGTAACTAAAATATAATAGTAAAATCCCACGAGACGGTCATGGCCAATGGATGTTTCTTTACATCAAGCAAGAATACCCTGAGATTGCAAACCAGGGTATTGTTTACATGGACGTATGGCCGATTGGCTACCCGATGCTTGCGGTCTATCATCCCAATATGATGGCGCAATTCATTCAGGAAAACAGCCTCCCTAAATTCTGGGCTATGCCTCAAGTTGAATTCAAGGGCTTCACCGGAGGTCAAGACCTGGTGAATTTAGACGGCCTAGAATGGAAAAAGGCTCGAGGCCTATTTAATCCTGGCTTCTCAACGAAAAATCTATTATCTCTCGTCCCTGATATGATAGAGGAAGTATTAATCTTCCGAGAACGACTTAGGAAAGTTGCCGCTACTGGAGAAGTTATAAAGCTCGAAGATTATACCACTAATATAACCGTCGACATAGTTGGGCGCGCTGTACTGTAAGTGTGAATAACACGATTCTATTTTTCGATACTTAACGCTTAATAAAACAACAGGGGAACGCGTTTACAAACGCAGATTAAGCCAAATCGCTTGATGGAAACAATGAAATCTCAGTTAAGTCTAATATATTTTGGGCTCGACCTTCCCAAGCAACTGAATCCAATTCTTCCGTTGAAAAACTGGATATACAATCGTATGATCCGCAACGAGTTGACGCCTTACATTCTCAACACGGCTCAAAATTACGAGAAAATTGAAGGGCCTAAAACTATTGTCGCCCTAGCTCTAAATGAATACATAAATGAGGTACAAGATTACACCGCAAGAGGAAATATCCCATCTGAGTTTGTTGGACGGGTTATCAAACATATCAAGATCTTCATGTTCGCCGGACACGATACTACTGCTACGGTTCTTGCGTATATATACTACATGCTTAGCAAACATCCGGACAAAGCAGCTAAGATACGTGCCGAACACGACGAAGTATTAGGTACCGACCCAGCTGCCGCTGCTAGCTTGATTAGAGCTGATCCTACATTGCTAAATAAGTTGCCGTACACGATGGCCGTCCTCAAGGAAACACTCCGTCTATTCCCGCCTGTAGGTGGCAGCATCCGTCAATCGCCGCCGGGGCACTTCCTTACGCATCCCGAAACTGGGGTCCGCTATCCAACATACGGCTTCATGATGCATTCATCTGCAGCAACGGTATTGCGTGATCCAGAATACTGGCCCGACGCTGACTCGTTCATTCCGGAGCGATTTATGACGCATGATGAGAGCGATCCCTTACACCCAGTGAAGAACACCTGGCGACCATTCGAGATGGGACCTCGGAATTGCATTGGTCAGGAACTGGTTTTTGTAGAGGTGCGGCTGATCCTCGCCCTGACGGTACGCGAGTTCGAAGTCGAAGAGACTTACCCAGCAGATGCACCCTCGTGGATGGGCTTCAAAGCGTACCAGATCACTAATCCGGAAGTTATTTCCACGGCTCATCCCAAGGACGGTCTTCCCGTAAGGGTCAAGTCCAGGAGCTGAGGTGATTAGACTAGATCATTTTTATATCGTGTAAAAAAACTAGCATCTCTTCGTGTACATAGTGAATTATTCTATCCGCAATACATTGAAAGTTAATGATTTACTCAAATCAGCCAACCTAATACAGTCTGAAATTACCCCTGGATCGTATATTTCGTAGGTATAAACGACTAACTCCTTATTATGAGAAAATCGAGTAATAAACATACTCCGAAATAGTTCCAACCAGATTATCTTTAGGAATTATAAGTTCTACCCTGGTGCCGACAAGATAATACAGGGCCACCCGCCAACCAGTTGGTCTAGGAAAGCATATGATGGACAGATTGTCACAACACTATAGATACTCGGCACTTATAAAATGTTTCAGTTACCATAGTTGGGTACTATCATAGACGCCTACAGAGCATCAATCTAGATACTACTCTAATCATAAAATAAGCTACGGTTGTCTAGATTTCGAGGCCATCTGAGATGCGAGTAAACAAACATGATATGTAACAAGCGCTCGCCACTATTACGATCGATTATCTACTGCTTAAAGATGTTTCCCATGTGAATATTGACGTCGTCGACGTAAAAGTCTAGGGGCGGCACATACAGCGTTTCGTACCACTGTAGCAACTCTACCACGTTGTCAAATACTTCTGTCCCGTACTGGCCTTGATCAGCCACGTACCTCCATGCCCACTCCTTGCCAGTTTCATCCTGCCGGCAGTAGGCAACAAAGCATGTTGTCTCGGGGCCCCTACCGCACTCCCACCCGGCCTTGGTCTCCCAATCCTCAAAACGAAACTGTTCAGCCAATTTACCATCAGGACCAAACACGCGACAAGCAGCCTCTTCCTCGCTCTCGCCCAGCCCGTCCCAGAAACGCACCTGCTGACCCTCCTCTCGATACTGCGGCCATCCATGACCATCGAGACTATCGACCTGGCCCATGAGTACTTCAAAGTCAACGGGAAACTTGAGCTCGGGATCTATCCTGCATAGTTCCGCTTCTATTCCATTCTTATAATTCTGCCGGAGCATCTCTCGGCGGTTAGCATCGGATCCGATGTACACGCCGTCTAGGGCGAAAGCTCGCGCCATAGCATCCCACTTGGTTATCACGTCGGCGGGCACGTTGATCTGGAGCGACGGGTCTAGGTTCTCTGGTCGCGAAATGTACAGCATATCATAGAAGAGCTGTTGACACACTTCGGAGATGAGGTTGGGGCTTATCGACGCGTTTTCTGCTGCGAGAGCCGCTGCCTCAACATGCTGTACGAAGAGCTGGAAGGCGGTATGATTATGGTGCAACACGCTGGCGCGATAATGCGCTAGAGCTGCGAGAATCTCGTCTTCGGAAGGTTGCATCGTTTTAAACTATGTCTGTCGCTCCGATAGTGACTATCTCTGCCGTTGATATGTTTTCGTTACTAGGTATGTATGGTAGTTTTGATCGCAATGGGCCACGCGATCCTTAGTTAGCATCTGTTGATTAAATTGAAGATGGTGTGAAAAGAGAATAGTTGCAATGGAGAGAGCTTTTGAGGTTTAAATACGAGAATTGACTTCATGATCATCCAACATCCCGTAACACTTATGTATGTTACATGATTTAATTACCAGACATGGATATGGAATGACTCCATTTATAAGGTACCCAATGAACTAAAAGAATCAAACTCGCTACCAGCTCTTGCACCTTGACTCTACAATCGAACCAACATCAACCATGATCTCAACTAGGCAACCAGGTGACTGCCTACCAATTAGCATAAAAGACAGTAGCTTTTAATATACATAATATTGTTCATTAGGCATGCCATTCAGCCAAGGGTCTTGATGTTATCTTAATGATTTTGTTAATGATCTTCACCCCCGGCCGTTGTCTAAGGATCTAGAAGTGGCGCGGATGATAGTTTCGGAATGAAAAGAAAGTTGCCCAGATTTGTTATTAAAACCAGTACAGCGCCTCAATCTAAATATTTTACTTTGCTCCCCGTTGCCTAATTAGAGACATAGTAAATAACCGAATTGGTATCAATTTTAACGTTAATCCTTGGTCATCCTAGCTGAAAGGCCATAGAGACGGTTTGGTCGCAAGATTCACGTTGGCAATAGATAGTATTATCCTTCATACATCAGTCATAATCTGATACTTACCTATTCCTCTTACTTGCCACGCGTCAAAGTAGATATGCCAATAGATTCGTTTCCATATCACAACTCGAATATGTCTTATACGAAAAAGCTATATCATGACCATACGGTGAATTTTGACGAGAAGAAAACAATTAAATTGTAGTTCATTTGGACTGTAGCCACCGTCAAATAGTTCTAGCTGGTCGGGTAGGAATAAGAACGCTGCGGTTTGTATTGCCGGCATTTGGGCGTGTCTGGCCATTTAGATTGCTAGATGAGCAAGCAAATCAAAACAGGAATTTGCTAGAGCCACCATAAAGACACCGAACCCTTATATCCTGCCCTCGTAGTTCTAGTTATCCCCTAATTATCGAGATATATGATGGTCCTCTTATTCGGAGGGATCATCACATTTCGCATGATCGCTCTCCTCTGCGTGACCCTTCTCCAAAATAGTATCGTTAGATAGATCACCCTCGTCTATTGTGTTGTCAACCTCTACGTGATCTTCACTTTTGGGATCGTCAATACTAGATCCGGAACTAACTTCGGGTTCCCATTCGATTTCCGACTCGACTTCTGAGTCGGTTAGATCAGCTGAAGATTCAAGCTGTCTTCCCAGCTTCTTCTCAGCCCGTGTCATAGTTTTTATTGCCTTATCAATCGCCGAATGTAGGTTCTCATTAACCTCGGTTTTTATTTCCGCGAGTCGACGCTTCCAGAAACACCATCGCTCAAGACTGTAGCCACTCACACCAGAATATAATGGCCCGCCACGGTACGGACGACCCGTGTCCGGGCCTTCGGGATAATCCGAAAAGGTATGGAGCAGCGAGTCATTGAGGATACAACGGGAACTCTCAAATATCCACTCGGTCGCAACTCGAATTCTGGTCTCTGCGGTTGGTATGTCTTGGATAGGGGTCAATGGGGTCTCCAGTCCGTTTCGGAGTTCCCAGATCAGGTATTTTCCCCATCTCTTTTGCTCGCGATGGAGTCTAGCGATGAAAGAATTGAGGTTCAGCCACTCAGATTCTGTGAAGATTAAACCATCGTTGGGGTTAGGCTTCAGCGTTGGAACTACCAGTAAAGTCAATAACTCATATTTAGACTAGATGGACCGCAGGTACCTACTACGATTCCAGTTGTCTCTCATTGCGATACTTATATCAGGTAGGTTTTTCCACATTTGAGTATCGGCCTGGATGGAGTCAATTAGCGACACGTGATATGAAAATGCGGTATACATACCTTTTTTTGTTCCCCAATTTTCTCTAGCAAGATCACAATCTTAATAAGGACGTCTTGCACTAAAGTATGAGGTGGGACTTGGCTTGCAATATCGATGAGGCTTTCCCAAAATTGCCATACAAAATCTTCTGCCTGTAGTCCCGATGTCTCTGGAGACGAGTATTTGACCAAGGCCCTAACAAAATGACCAGCCGTTTTTATCGGCCTTGTCGTGTGTAATAGTTCCAGTGAAGACACTAGAAGATCAATTATGTGTAGGCCTGTATCTCCCAAGTATCCAGCCTTGCTTTTCAGATGGCTAAAGTCGACTTCATTAGTTCCCGCCATGATCGCAATGGATTCCAGAGAGTGTAAGTTCCGAGTTGTGAAGGTGTGTAGAGTCCTATTATCGCAAGTTTCTAGAGGAATAAAGAGAAGTATCAGTGTTGGATATAAGTTGTAGTGGATTTACCCAGTTGAAATCCGAAGAGGTTTTTGGAGTTCAGAGGAGAGGAGTTTGTAGAATTCGTGATTATTTTATCTCAAACCATAAAGATCGAAAGCTCATACAAGTTCTATGTACTGTGGGGAATGTGGGGAATGTGCAAGGGTGACTCACGAATGAGGTACAAAATGCTAGCTGCAAGGGGAAAGATCTATGCACGGGCCCACTTATCTTTCGTACCTTACAGTGTTAAAACCCCACCCACCTTCTAAAATAAAAACTCCATAACATTGAATGATATTATGTAGATGTTTGGTCCTACACGTGGTAACTACAGAGTCATGAGATGCTCGACCTTGATACGATATAAGGCTTTGATAGGTATTTTGAAGTTTCGTGGCTCAGGCATCAAATTCGCACTATGTACTTCTTGAGTCACTACCCTTATGTCTCTTACCTCTTATTTTTTTTAGTTGGAGCTAGGACCTTGGTGGTTGCTTTAGATCATGTAAACCTGCACGTGGTTGAGCAAACATCCTTTTAGACAAGTACCTAGGTAACTCAAGTATCTATTTTACAGGTCAGGTAGTATGGGCCTTTTAACGTATTGCTACAAGTAGACTTCTTATATAGAACTTTGAAAGCTGATAAATTTTCCTTCCTAAGAAGCAAGTTTCAATGCTTCCCGTCTCCAAATACAATTAGACGTGTGATCAATCTTTGGCCAACCTTCATTCTTCTCTCTTACCTAGCCCTAGAGGACAATCCCTGTTTCCCCACGATCTACCACATCGGACGCGGGTAAATGTGGGACTTGTTACACCTACGCTCCTTAGTAACGACGATCACTTCCTTTTTGGGAAACAAGGCCAATTATTCGCATCGCAATGGCAGGTAGTAAGGTTAAGATGAAGGAAAAGGACAAGAAAGAGCAGACCAACAAACGAGGGTCGGCTAATCAGCAGGCTGAGAAGGCCAAGAAGCGCCCGCCACCCCTGGATCTTTCTGCCGCCAAGGTAAAGGATGATACAAATGATGAACACCGCATAAACACAGAAGACTCGGTGGTATGAAACTTCTAAGGAAATATTACCCCAACTTAGAAAATTTACTGATATATACCGTAGTATTCATGCTCGGAACTAGACCCAGATCATCCCTGCCGTTACCTAAATGCTAAAGACGTACGGTGTCAAGTCCACAATGCACCATCTGGGCAGCTCCCTGGGACGAAATACGCTACACCATTTTACAACAATGAGGACCTTGACAACTTGAAGAGCAAAGGTCCAAGACTAGAGTTTCCTCTTCGTAATGATGGATCATCATATCGACGCGGCCCTCCTGGACCAGTGCGTGCAATCTACAACGAGGACCCCGAGAAGCGTACGAATTTCGACGTGGTTTACCATACTACCACGGACCCCAAGAAACACAGCGAGGACCTCGACGTTGCAAAATACAGACCAAGTAGCAAACGTTGACCTATATCTATGAGATTAAGACTCAACTTTTGGTTCATTATCAAACCCAAGATGTGTACAATGCGCAAAATACTTTTGGCAAATGGGTTTATTCTAGGCAAGCTACTAGGATAGCTGGAATATTTTCCTCTTTTCTCGATTCGCAATGTGGGTATTCTCAAAGCTTCAGTAACAATACCACGCTAACTTTGAAATAGGCTCTCATAATTGCATTCAGAGCCGAATGTAATAAGAAATCATTATGGCGGCACTCAGTATCCTGAAATGCAACTGCAGTTAATAACCAAGATTTGTTTGAGATCATTGGCAACGACCTCTACACAGATCAAAATTTTCTTTTGTCTTAGGAAGGGTTCGTGGGACGAGGATGAGGCTCCGTACGATGCGCGAGGAGATTATACATAATCGTTACTAGGTATAAATCTCGTATAAGCCACAAACTCGCCAAGCACTTAATAATAGGCAATTAAGCTTACCATACAACCTGTCACTATGCTCAAGTTTTATTTTCAATGAAAGCTAACGGGTGCTATGAGAGGTCTTGCGATACTTAGTTTGACTCTCGCTCCTTAATTGTTTCTTCGTGATCAATATACTGATATTTTATCTAGTAACTCTGCGTTAACTACATGTAGGATGGTGAATAAAGACCCGCCATTTCAACGATACCTTAGGTAGATAAGTACCTAACCTACCCCCCTTTAGTATTCGCCGCTATTATATTCTCTTCTATCAATATTAAATTTTGGTAGCCATATAGACCGCATAATTTCTAGCAAGTTACTAACCTGCGATTTACTGATTCAGATATTTTTAACAACGACTACGTTATATAAAATGTATTTAAGTTGTAAACAGGGGGGCAAATTAGAAGCACTAGCATTATTTTAAGGGAAAAAGAGTTAAATCTCGAGTTATTGTTGCAACGACATACAATTTAAATAGAATACTAAATGAGAAAGGCGTGACAATAGCTTGTATCAAGCCTGAATATCCAAATTTTATATTACGGCGTCATTAAGAGATCCCTTAAACAAATTATGCATTTCAATATCATCAATTTATAGAAAGAGTACTTGCTTTAAGGGTTAAGTACTCTAGAGAAAAATGACTGAAGTAATGTAGGAGTAAGATGGATGATATAGTTCTTTAATATATATACCTAGTATGGCAAATGTAAGGAAATTCTCGAGTTTGAGAGGCTATAGAGAAGAGGGTTGAACGGAGAAAGTGTAGATGACAAGGATCTGCCCAGAACAGTCGTGAATCAATTCAATAGTGTCACTGGCCACTATAGAATAATTGAACAAAAAAAGAGCGACCGGCCATGAAATGCAATGAGGCGTAGTCTCTCATCCATGTCCTCTAGAGTTCCAAAGACCAAAACCTTTCGCTAAGCTAACTCTTTAAGTATCGCCGAGACTTTAGATATTGTATCACCGGATGTTAATGACGGTGGATGCCAATTTGGTGAGCCCCATCGAACCAGGGTACGACAAGGGTATTTCAGTTGCTACGCCGTTTTATGTGCTTAAAGCGTGTAAAGCTTGCTGTTTCTGCGGTTATGAGCAGATAACACCGAAGACGATAATCGTGTGATCACTCTTCGCTGCGTAGCCGATTACCGGTTGATTTACGTTATATGAAACTTGATATTAAGTAAAGCAACTGTTTTAAAATATCTAATATGCGTAGTATCGTTGCTCGAGGAAAGTTGACTGCTAATAGAATAGAACTTATCTTATCCGGATACTTGTGCTTTAATTTCTATGATCTTAATCCTATGTAGTAAAGCTTCCTTAAGTGCTTAAGCTAACCAGGTTATGTGCTTAGCGGTTGTTGGAACTTTTGAGATTATGGTATAACGTTAAATCATTGCTCCATTCTCACTTAACATCTTCCGCTTCAAAAGCTAAGAAATCTCTATCATAACTTACATCTTAGGGAAATTTGTAATCTTTCTAAGGTAGTCCTATTCGTATCTACCTAAACAAGGGCATGGAAATTAGCAGGTATGTTTTATATACGGAATTAGGTATACGATTACTATACCCCACTTATTCAGGGCTGCGCGCATAGACTCGCCTAACCAGCTAGCTGCCGACGAATGCGGTAATGGAGTAGCTGAATACCGTCGCCTGATACGCCAGCAGTACGGTCCCGTTCTAGCTGAACAACCCTAGTCTTAGGCTTAAACCAATATAGACAAGTGAATGCCGATCTTGATCTCCTTAACCTACCTAAGGGGCACGGGTTAGGAATATTTATTTATGGGCCTGAGCATTGCATCTCAATAGAAGAACACAACGCTGTGATGCATACCGCTCGTCCTGTATCTCAGGTCCTTATCAAACGCGCATGGTTAATCAGATGGGGAGATTCCCAAATTGTTGGGTCAAGGCGATTGATTCATTTATGCCCTTGAATACCTTAGAGCATGGTACGAGTTCACCCATGATATAGAGAACCAACGGCATATCTTACAGGTTCGAGAATGCCTTCGTGGAATTCTATAAAGTCCACCGAAGACTTCCTTCACTTGGCCATTCCCTTTTGCTCCCTACCCGCAGTTTCATCCACTCGTTTTACTCATTAGACCACTCGAGTCAGTCTTTCGTTGAGATACTAGTCGCTCATTCTATTCTACTTTAATCTAATACCTACGTGCCAAAATGAAGTTCACCACTACCATCTCCATCATCGCCGCCTTCTGCGGCTTTGCAGCAGCGGCCCCCTCACCCGCGCCCGCATCCGCTCTGTTCCCCCGCGAAGACTGCCCCTACGGCGGCAACTGGAACCACTGCGAGCTCAACGGCTTATACGTCGTCTGCGTCAACGGCCGCGCTACTAAGTACACTTGCGACGGGGGCTGCCAGGCCATCTGCCCTGAAGGCCAACCCTGCACGCCTCGCTGCAATAATGGTCACCTGGCCTGAAGGATTTGGATGGAGAATTGTGCAGGAGGTGGCGGGAGTAGAGGGTAGAATGGGGTCGATTAAGCAGGATCCGAGTTTAGTTCAGTTAAGTCACAGTTGAGAATATAAACCTTTACGATCAATACTCACGGATTCTCGTAACTTCTATCTTACCCTAGTGCATTACGACGATAAGCTGTTGAATGATTACCTCTTTAGGTATTAAAGGCGGGAATAGCATTCCTTTTTCATTGTCTTTTTTTCTGTTCTGTAATTGTGATAAAACAATGTTTTTATTTTTTATCTTTGGTTAACTATAAACTCCCTCTTCCCCCTTCCTCCCTTTTTTTTTCCGTTTCTTTCTTCTTTAGCTTTTACTATTTTTTTTCCTCTTTTCGTTTCTTTGTTTATTAACCCTTCCAAATGAATAGGTGCTCTTTCTTTGTCGACAGCACCGTATTTAAAGTAGGATGAGTTTTGTTGCGTTTTCATCGGTATATGACGACTAATATCTAATGTAGGGAAACTACAAATTTAGATATCCTCATATCTTAACAGGAATAATAGGTAGAACTTTTGCCGCATCCTGACCTTGTTGTCCCCAAAGGTAAACTACTTACGTTTAGCCTTTTGGCGTCTGCCCTTCGTCCCAAATCTACTCATGTTCTTCGAGATGCGAGATAACAGCTCCAGTACACGCATTTCTTCCCCGTCCTCCTGAACATGTTCCCGTAGATAGACAATCCAGTCTCGGTCTGCCTCGCTTATATTCCATATATTCCATCTGTCGACTAGCTCAAGTATAATAAGGGCTATGGTATTATCGTCGATCTGCAGGATCTCCGCGTCATGACCCTCCCAAATTTGCAGATGAGAGATCAGTATTTCTTCTCGATGGGCCGCACACTCGCATGTCGCGGGCACGTGTTCAAAGTCTTCGTACACCGGTAGTCCAAGATCGTCAAAATTTACTACGCAACCCCATGCGAGTTTCTCGCTCGGTCTGGTATGTCTATACGACATTTTGCCGCGTTTCCGGGTCTTAAAGTGTAAGTGGTTGTTTAAGTAAGAGGCACTCACTCAGAAGTTGTTGTAGAGGTAATTATGTGAATTTCTTGTTGGGAGATAACGGTGGTAAGCACGCTAATATTATGATGGCTGAATATCATGACAGAAATTTTCGTGGAGGCATAGAGTAGTTATATAGATATCGCTCTGGAGGACTAAGCGTAGTTGTCACGGAACATGTCACCTGTTAACGCGAGCAACAAAGAGATTATTGAACAATATATATAACTATTACCTAACACTTCCTTTCTGTCGGACGATTTTTGAATCGAATTATTATCTTTCTCAACGTTACAAGGCCTTAGTGTCTATCTGTTGTATTGTAGTCATGTTACCAACTCCTCCTCCGTGGGACCTTTAGATTTCGACGCGGATGCGAATCTCTATCACTATCACCTATGAAATTCAGATAAGAAGCGGTCGAAACTTACTTTCCAATTTTAGGATATTGAATTGAAGACCATCAAAAGTTGGCAATATCTCCATATCGATTAAAAAATATACCAATGTCGTCGCAATAAAAAAAATAAAAAAGGCGTAGGAGAGACCATGTGGAATGGAGTCAAAAAAAAACTGGACGAGCAGGGAGTCGAACCCTGGACTTCTCGCATGCAAAGCGAGCACTCTACCACTGAGTTACACGCCCTGGAAAACGAACTAGTTTTTAAGGCTAGGTCGCTAAGTGATAGATATTGCGTTAGCTCAGGTTATATAGCTAATGCAGAAAGTGGACTAATGACGTCACCTATTGAATAATAAAATTTAACAGGATGCAAACAAAGAGGCGCTTCAAAGGCAACGTTATAGTTCTTTGTGTTTTATTTTCTTTGTTTAACCTTTGTTCGTAAAACAAATGTATTATCACTATTATTGGCATCTTCGGTACCCGTACCCGAAGGATGCGATAATGAAAAGCAAGTGCTGGTATTGATTCTACTAACAGACTTGGCGATTGACGATACATAGGTACCTGAGGCAGTGGGTCTAATGGTGAGACTTGGGGATTTAGGTTGGCCTATCAGACCATTACTGATTTGTCACTGCTATACTCTTACTGGCCGCCTTATACGGAGGAAGCAACGGCCCCGTGCCAGTTTGGCAGAATGCCGTTACGTTACTGAAGACTACCGGAAGCTAACGGGGTCCCTTTCGTTCCTATGTCCGCATCGGACGACATCTTGCCGGACATAATACACTTCTCAGCCTCTTAGGGATTTGCTATAGTGTGGCACAGAATCTCCTCGCTACATTACTCTAGGTACCTAGCTCATGTGGGGTACATAATATCTTGAGATTCTGAGTCTTATCTAAAGTATATATCTTCTAGCTATCGACTTAAGCATCAGGTAGGTTAGATAGACCAAATCAAACTCAACTGCATAATCTTTGTATTATCTACATCTTCTCAAATCGCCATGGCTCCGCATAATATCCAAGACGAAGCGCCGTCGGGATTCAACGACGGACCTTCAGGCACCAAAGTACGACCGCCCACGCCACCGCCTATGTCCGCAAGCCCACCCCGAGTCGTGGTTATCGGCGCGGGGTCGCGGGGTCACACCTATAGCCGCTGTATCGGCGAATCTAGCAACGGCGTCGTAGTCGCCATCTGCGAGCCAGATAAGTACAAGCGCGAGGAGTTCGTGCGGAACTACATCCAGCGCGACGGCAAGAAGCTACCCGAGGGCTCTAGCTTCAACGACTGGCGCGATTTCGTCGAGTGGGAGGTGCGCCGTCGTGAGCGCGAAGCTGCTGGAGATAAGGATGTGCCCGAGGGCGTCGATGCTGCCTTCGTGTGTGTTCGCGATGAGATGCATCACGACGTGGTTGTCGCTCTCGCCCCGTTAGACCTGCACATTATGTGTGAGAAACCGCTCGCTGGAAACCTAGCTGAGTGCATCGCCATGTATCAGGCCCTAGCCCCTTTGCAGTCCCGCAAAGTCTTCTCCGTCGGTCACGTACTACGGTACTCGCCGCACAATATACAACTCCGCAAGCTGCTGCTTGAGGATCGCGCCGTCGGCGACGTCTTAAGTATCGTACATACCGAGCCCGTTGGATACTGGCATTTCGCACACTCGTATGTCCGTGGCAACTGGCGCAAAGAGTCTACCACGGCGCCATCTCTACTAGCCAAGAGTTGCCATGATATGGACATTTTACTGTGGCTGATGTGTTCACCGACACGTCCCGGATCTGATGAGCCCCCGCATATCCCCTCTGAAGTCACATCTATGGGCTCATTGCAATTCTTCCGAAAAAGCCGGAAGCCCAAGGCCGCGGGCGCCGCAACAAACTGTCTCAGCTGCCCCGTCGAGTCGGAGTGCATATACTCGAGCAAGCGGATATACGAAAGCCCGCGACACTTCGGTCTGGAGACAGGTAACAGGTCCTGGCCCATCAGCATCGTTCTCCCAGATATCGAAAGCTTCGGCGGCGACATCGAGCGCGCACGACCAGCGCTACTCAGCCGTCTAGCCGAAGACTACGACGAGTCGACGCCGCAAGAAGAAATCGACGCGAAGAACTGGTTCGGGCGGTGCGTATTCGAGTCCGACAACGATGTCTGCGACGAGCAAGTCGTCAACATAAAATGGGACGACGACCCCCTCCCCTCCACCACTTCCTCCTCTTCCTCCCCCGGGGACTCCGTCGGCAACCGAGGCGCCAAGCAAGCAACCTTCCACATGATCGCGCAGACAAAAAAGCAATGCGAGCGCTTCACCAACATATACGGGACCACGGGCGAGATCTACGCGGACTCGTACAAGATCACCGTCGAGGACTACACGACCGGCGCGACGCAGACGTACACCCCGAAGCTCGAGAGCGGGGGCCACGGCGGTGGCGACCACGGCATTACGCGCCAGTTCGTCCTGGCCGTCGACCGCGTCAAGAACCACGGCTGGGAAGCTGCGCGTGCCCAGAGCGAGTTCATCGGGTGTAGCTTGGAAGAGATCATCCGCAGCCATGCTATAGTGTTCGCTGCTGAGGATTCGCGGAGGGGGCGCAAGTTTGTTGATTTTAAGGATTGGTGCGCTGAGAAGGATATTGCTGCCATAGCGGCGTCTTAGACCTATGCTTTTGCTGCATCCTGATTGCTCCTATAAGCATTTAAAAGAGGTTCCTGCTTGCATATGTACCTAATCTAGCTATGCGTGGAGGTCTGGTCGTTCTGGCGTTTTTACTGTGCATCACGTTGGCATCTAACGAGTCAAGAAGTGGTTATGATGGTACGAGCCTTTGAGTCTCTTGGATTGTGAAAGATTATGAATTCTTATGAATACAACAGCAAGCTTGGTTTGTTACCTATTTCATATATCCGCCGCATTAGCCTGCTATAATACATGTTTGTCCTGGTGTACTCGTACAAACCCGAGGCATCGTGCCTCTCAAAGTAATTCGACAAGAATAAGCCTCCATCCATATCGGGAGAAGCACCTCCATTAAAATCTTACAAACTCGAAAGGCTTGAAGTATTCATTGTGAAGTCGGAGTGTTGGGCATCTCTACTCCACGACTTCGCTGCAGCGATTCCAGATAATCCTGCAAGCCCTTCTCTCTCCGGCGTCGTACCACTAGTTCCTGTTCCGTATCCCCGGCTTCGCGATGCCAGGCTTCTAGCAGCTGCATGTTCGCAAATACCTGCAACTCGCTAAAGCCATGCCCAGCCTCGGCGGTGTCGATAGCTCTTTCTAAAGCGTATCGAGCCAGCGCGTGTCGTGGATGGTCTTTTACCGCGGAGTTGTCCACGTTGCATCGGCTTCTATGAAATTGAGCAATGACGCGCCACGCTACCCAGTTCGTCCAGTCGTACTGATCTGATACATCGAGCCGAAGGGCAACGCGAGCCAGTTTAACTGAACGTTCATCGAGGGGTCCTTTCTGCCAGAGGTACGCCACTGGCTCGATGAGCGTCATCAGATCCGGTGAGTGAGACCTGCCGTGAGAATCAAATATTGCTGGTGCTGATGCTACTGCTTTCTGGAGAGATGGCAAGTTAGTTCTTGTCGAGTTGGAGAGAATCAGGTCCCCCAGCAGAAAAAAACTAATAGACGGTGCGATAGTCTGTGAGAAATCGTTCGTCTTGAGCAACATGTCCAATATGCTCTCCATACAGCTAAAGATGAAATCCACACCGGTTTCCAACGTATTATTACGGAAAACCTCGTGTATTGCAGTAAATAATCGGCAGAAGGTACTTGATCGTCCCAAGACGGCTTCTGCGTATCCCGCTAAATACCTCCATAATTCCTTCGCCAGCCCATAATCGGGAGATATCACGCTGGCTATTAGTAAGTCAAACAGACCAAGGGCAGAGGGTGTCTTGATGAGTAAGTGCAACGAGTTGAAAGCGCGCTGACCCAGCAGAGCACCGAGAGGGTTATGGTTCCTTGAGAAGAACCAGCAAGCCCTACTAAAGTCTCTAGTAGCCTCGCATAATTCACCATCGAAATAAGCGTCGAAATCTTTCTCGAAGGATGCAGGCGATTCTAACGAATCTCGCCAGCCCAAGGTAAGATCCTTAAAGCACGAGACGAGGACTTCCTGGGCGTGAAGATGAGATGGTAAGGTCATATGCTGGGGGTCAACCGGTGGAGGCGTGAGTGCTCGTAGATATTCGGGCAAGTCGACGCCGGCGACGGGTGCTACAAGTTCGAAACTTGAAATACCTTTTCGCTTCATATAAGTTTCAATATCAACCGACCTTCCATGGCGACGGAAAGCAGTAGGCTTGCCCACAGCGCCGCGCTCGCGTTGTAATCGTAACATCATCGCCACGTCCCTCTTCTTATTATTCTTAACGAACCCCCATTGTGAAAACTTAGCCTATACATAATTAGCTTTACTTTCCACACTATTACCCAGTGTGCTTTTTTTTATTTTATTACCTTATACATACGGGGACTATGAATAAATTAGCATACAACTCCAATACGCAAGCAATTTGCCGGTATATGTACTGACGTTGCTCCAAACCCCTTCGCTTGCATTATCTCCATTAGTTCATTTAAAGATTTGTTTTCTTCGATATAGAGTTCGTGTATCTCCTCTTTATATCGTTCCCATATCTCCGGTTGGAGATGGTGGCGCGTTGGGATTTTGCTGTACTGTACCGGTTTCGCCGGGCGAACGGCAACAGCCAAAGGGCCTGGTGAACAGCTTCCATCCTCAACCGCATATTTTCCCTCGTGCTTTTCCGTAGCTAGGCTTCTATATGGTAATAATGAACCCGAATTGCGGCGGCTAGCAATTGCATCCGGCCGATCCTCCCCGGTACTATACGGCTCTGAAGGGGTTAGAGAAGAGCCGATCGTTCCGCCATACTGAGCTAAAGTAGCACTGGAACCCGGACTCTCAATCTTCACGCTATAAGTTGGAGAGGAACCATCGGTAGTAACGCCATCATGATCGGCGCCCTCTAGAGTTTGGCGCGGTTCATCCGGCTTCACCGCGGGTTTCAAATCCGGTCCCGCTGATTGGCAATAGAATGCTGGCCTCATGTGATGCATCAACGCGTGAGGTACTTGGACAATCGGCAGCACTTGGTAAAGAAGCTACATGTCCTATACCACGTTTTCTAGGTTTTCTAGGTTTGAACTGACCTATGGAACTTGAAGAGTAGACGGGCGATTATGCTAGAGGAAGCACAAGGCGAGGAATAGCGGACCAATAAATGAGGAAATCGACGGTGGCTCCGTGGGGGGGTTTAAGACGCAATATAGAAAGAAGGCCGAGCAAGGTAAACACTTGGCAAAAAAGCACGTTAACGGTTAACGGATCCCGTTCTAGCGTCGTCGTAAGATTTCCTACCAGTCTATCATCATTACTTTAAATATCAATAGAAATGATATGAAGAAGATAAGGAGCAGTTATTCGTCGGAATCCGGTCGTATCGCATGGCTGAGTGATTATCTTAGGTACGGCCAGGTGCGGCTGGGCACTGCAAGGGATAGCGCAGCAAGACAAACAGCCAGAAGGCCTAAAGGGGGACCTGAAGGCCTGAAGGAGCCCGGACCAAACTACCTCCTAGCGCTGCCCTGTCGGTACTTGTGCTACACGTGTATTTTCTCCAATTCCAATATAAAACTGGTCAGCGCGGTAATCAAAGAGTATCTTGGGGGCCAAGATGCAATAGATATGTAGTGCTCACCCACGTGCCTCGCAACCCGACAACTATCGCAATACCAAAATAGTCCAGCTGAAACGTCCAAGTATACCAATGTGACGCAATTCTCCAAGGCTGAATAGTTCCCTAAATCCTATGGCTTGCACGATATGACATGCATATAGGCACGACATATGAGGTACCTTCAGCCGCATCCAAACTTAAGTTGTCGATCTCTGGTCGGTTTTTTCATCTTATGTACCTTACCTACCATAGCGGCAAAGGGTAGTTTTAAAAAACGGTTATCAAATGTAAAAATCATTTTATATCTAAAAATCATTTTTTAATAAATAATTATTATTAATTAAAAAGTATTTACTTATTTAATTTATATAAAAAAGTATAAATATTAAATATAATGTTTATATTAATAATTGTTTATATTTAAATAATATATTTTAAAATTTTAAAAATTAAATAATAATAATATATATTATAATTATTTAAAAATTTAAATAAATAATATATTTTATAAATATTTAATATTTTAAATTTATTTTTTTATTATTGTTTATATATTTAAATATTTAATTTTTTATTATTATTTATACATTTTATTTAAATTTTTATTATTATTTATATATTTTATTTAAACTTTTATTATAATTAATAAAAATTTTAATTATAAATAATTGTTTATTAAATATATATAAAAATTATAAAATATTTTTATAAATATGTTATTTAATATATTATTAAATACGTTAAATTTTAATAAAATATAATTAAAATTATTATAATTAATATTATGGTTAAAATTTTAATTAATATTATTAATTAAATTTATTATAAATTTAACTAATTTAAATATAATATATTTTAAAAGTGTAAATTTTATTTTAATATTTAAATAATTATAGTTTTTATAATTAAAATATAATTAAAATTTTTTAATAAACTATTTATTTTTTTTAAAAAAATTATTATTATTATAATTATTATTATATTTTTATTTTAATTATTTTATATATAGCAAATAAATTAATTTATTACATTTATAAATGGAATAATTATTTATATTTTATTTTATTTACTTAATATATAATAAATAAATTATTTTAAAATAATTATTAACATTATTTTATTTTATTTAATTATGGTTTTATTTTTATTTAATAAAAAATTGGTAAATATTAATTATTTTAATAAATAATTAAATAAAGTTAATTTAAATAAATATTTTTTTTTATATTTTTTTATTTTACCGTTAAATATAATAAATTTATAAATAATATATTTTATTTTATTATTAGTATATTTAATAGTAATATTAATAAATATTATAATAATGTTATTAATAAATATAATTTAAACAAATTAAGTAAAAAAAAGTTTTATAAACATATAAAAAAATAATAAATAATATTAGTTTTAATATAAAATAATAATTTTTATATTATTATTATTAGTTTTTTTAAAAGGGTTAAAAATATATATAATTAAATGGTATTAATTTTTTTATTTTAAATTAATTTTTAAAAATAAAATAATTTTATTTTAATTATAATAAAAATGGAAATTATTATAAAATTATATTTTATTTAATAAATAAATTTTTATATTTTATATTTATTTATAATTAAAATAAATGTATATATTATTTATTTATAATTAATT